GCATCGATTAGCGGTCTCTTAAGTGCACGGCATATTTTTTGTCGATATACAGCGATTTTTCATACAATTTTCATATAAACTGGAATGGAACGAACATTTTTTTCACTCTATGAAACGTTTTATTGGATTCCAAGTTAAATAAAAATCTCGTGGAACATTACTCAAATTTTGATTAGATAATTTCTAACATTATATAAATCAGTAAAATCCACAGTCTGCTTATCAACTTTCTATCCAAGGCTAGTACACTACATAAAGTACACAGCTGAAAGTACAATCGATCTGTAAGCCGTACGAATTCATTAAAATATCTCGTTACGTTTACGTTGTATACACATTACCGTTACGTTGCATTTCGGTCACGAATGGTTTCACTTTGTTCAATAAATCAAGTCCCTTATCGCGAGACGAATGTCAAGGTTGCATTTTCTTATCACAAAGCATACGAGATTCGTTTTATTGAATGTCTGTAGATCACCGTCGCCGATCTGACAAAAACTAAAATCAGCCTTCGAGTTGATTAAAAGAGAACTTCGTCTCGTGACAACATTTTTTTTACCCCGTTTCTGAAATTAAGATCCCTGCACTTAATCTCGGAGTGTCGTTTCTGACCGCGACAATTAAATCGTGCTACGCCATAAATTATGGGGCATTCACGGTGAAGAGCTAAAACTGATCTCGTAAAGCCCCCGAGCACGAACGAACGCTCACTTGATCTTCAGAAACGAGAAAGAAACGAACGTCACGTCTACTTGGGATTGGAGCTAAACACAGCGACGCGTAAATATAGGGTGTAACGCGGCCTAATAAAAACGCGCCGAGACACACACGGTTGATGAACTAAAGGAAATCGTAGATTCGTCACGGGTATCGCTTCACCGGCACGGATGAATTCAATACCCTTGACAAACGATGAATACGCGATGGCTACGATTTCTATCCTGATACTATATAGTCTGATTAAATCGCAGGAGCCTTTGAATAATCATTCGTCGTTTCATCTGTGTTCAAATGAAAAAAGGGGAAAGTATATGTAATCTAGGAAAGAAAAATCAAGTTTCGGTCGAAAGACGGGTATCGAGCGTATATGAGCTCATCCACGAGAATTTGTCCCACTTCAACGAACGCCTCTTCCTCCACGCAGGTTCAGCTTTCGACATCGCGCGGCTCAGAGACGAAAGCGCTAAAAATACGAATTTATACGCGCGTCCGCCTTATGCGTGCGCCACTTTTTCGAGGGAAAACGAAAAGTAGAGTGGGGGAGTAGGAGGGAAGAAAGCCAGGATAATTTTAAATGTCGGTAACGATCGGTTTGAAAAAAGAAAAAATTGGGGAAAGCTGCTTCCACGCTTCCGTCGTGCGCGTGGATAACTATTATGCGAGGCTGACTTCACGGGTGTTAAGTAACGACTCGCACGGTGATCAACAGTTGCGCGAATTGTTCCCTCTAATTGCGGTTTTTTCCTCGTGCACATTAATTCAACCTGATACGGCGCCATTTCTTATACGGAGTCGCGAATGCGTGTAATAAGATCTTGATTCGTTAATTATAATAATCTATGTATGTTCTTATTGAATTTTTATATTCGTATTCGTTATAAGTAGACTGCGGATGTTTATGAAAAATTGAAATTTTGTATACTAATACATGAAAAACAAAATTGGTCAGAAGTTTATTTCATGCATTCCAGGTTTTAATATGTTAATAATAATACGTAAATACTATTAAATTTTTGTAGAATCTTTATTTTTATACGTTCTGCAAGTCAAGGGACGCTATAAAAACATAATAACATGAAAGCTACAAACAACCTAATTTAAAATACAAAAAGATTAACGACTACCGTGCTCTCCATCTTGGAACTCGCCATTTCAGCTACACACGCGAACTGCACATTCTTCCGTGAATATCATACTTAACCGTATCGATACACCAGCTACCTATATTTCATCCAAATTTATTGCCGGTCTTTCAACATGTGAGACACCACCATCCCATTACACTACCATTAAATCAACTAAATATATTTGTTACTTTTATTAGTCATTAAGCGGCACGTACACGTTAATGAGCTCATACCTTGATATTACCTTTCCTTTTTTCTTTCACACCGTTCCGATGATCTACGAATCGGCGACGTTTTGTTCACCGCCCTGTCGAGTTTTTTGCCCGATTCTCTGATCGTCTAACGATCAAGACAGACAACTAAATTACATCCTTCGTCTGGAACGTGTAATTTCACGGCTTATTACACGTGCATTTCTTCGCGGCGCATATCAATCTTACGATCCTAAATGCACACTCGATAAATAATCGGAACAGAGATTTGGACTCTTCCATTTGTGTTCGGAACTACATCCTTCACTGTAATGATTATAATTCCAATTTCCAAATGAAATAATGATATTCACTAAGGTTCAATTTTTTATAAAATCTTAAAGTACACAAAATTGCAATCACATCTGCGTTCCGTGTATCGTTTCCTTGACGCATCACGGTTCTCCAAAATGGCGACCGCAGAAAATTACCATAAATTCCCGTCTATTGTGCTCGCGACAGACATCCTGAACTCTCTGTTCTTCTCGTCGTCGAGCAACAGTGGAGAATCTACATCGAAACGTGTCGGCCGTCTAGCACCCCGTGCGACAACCCAGACACGCATTCGAATCACGTGCGCGTCGACAGAACGCGTACACGCGTGCACACGGCCCCTCGTCGTCCCGTATGCACATCGCCGACGCAAGCTTTTAATTGACCCGCTGGGTCTCGCAATTTTTCCTCTCGCTTTTATCGGTCCGAACCATCGAGATCGTTTGCCGAAATACACGCCATCGCAACCCATAAACCGCAATTTATAATCCACTTCGCTGGAGGAGATCGAGACGATACAGTTGGATATCGTGGTCGCTTTTTCGCGAGGGGCCACGTAATTACGGTACGACGTAGTATTTTTTTCGGACGGAGGAACTGGGGTGCATAAATTACGGTGCCGACTTTGTTAATTTTTCAACTGAGAACCGCGAGGAACTCCGAGGAACGGTTAACGACTTTCTTGTGGACGATGAAACTGAAGAATTCGAGAAATTACATGGGAAGTTTCGTATTCGTATGCATATTCATCGGATATGGATTAAAAGATAAGGAGATAGTTGGATTTAATTATGCTTAACACATACAGTTTCTTCTTTGTCTAGTGAAAGTATTGATTGAGGTTGACAAGTTGCTGTTTAGTCATAATACGGTTGCATTATACACGCCATTACCACTAGAATTACTAACGATAAACGTACATCTATTATGGGCTCGATAAAGACGACAAACTCTTGAGAATATACAAATTAATAAAATAACTAAAAATAGATTTCGTATAAAAAGTAAAAAGGAAAGAAAAAGAAATTTATAAAACTCTCTGAATAAACTTCAGCACTTTCACATTGCAATAACATATTTTTCAGTAATAATAATTTCAAAATTGAGAAATAATTCTTTACCTATAAAAAATTGATACCGTTATGCTATCCAGATGGAAAGTTACATACGAAACAATATTTGGCTAGTGGAAATTCACACTGTGTAGTGTCGGAGGATCAATGGTCAGCACAAGTTGTTAAATGAAATAATTTTAAATGAGTAATTTCCACAAATTCGTTTCCCTTGTACAACACCAAGACGAAGTAAAACAATATATTTCTCGATGATCAGTCTCCTAGCTGCCGACGATGAGATATCGACGACATCAGTGGGGCCTGAACTCACACAGATGGTCTTTCTTCGTGAATACAATAAAAGTCTGTCGTAGGCGTACTGTGCGTCCAAAGGATATTTCAAAGGTCCACGTAACATTACCGGTTTACTGCCAATAAAATCGGTTTAATGGCTAACTTTACAATGCGAGAAACTGGTTTCCAGCCATCACCGGCGCAGCGTGATGCATTAATACTAAACCGTTGCCGAACCGAAGAATGTTTCATGCGCTCGAAAGTCTCGAACGTGGTTGAATCGACGGATACTTTCGCTCGGGCGGTTTGGCAAACTTTCCGTATTGCTTCGACCGTCACCGACGCAAACGGGAGCGTCGTCTCTGACACCGTTCACGGTTCACGGAACGTCGCGATCGCGAGGGACTACGCAATTGACGATGACGTAATGTAAGTCAAGACTGAATCGTTTACTCGACCGGCTACATGCGCTATCATGTAAGCACACACGGCGGCTCCGTTTTTCTTGATCTTCGTTATCAATGTCACCGGGTAGCTGTGTCAGGATTATTATTAGATTCGACAAACTCGTGAATATTGATCGGATCGCCAACACTACGAACGATTCGATTTACGAGATTCCTTATTTCTAGGAATAATCATTTTTTTATTTTTATTTTCTATTCAGATGAGTCGTCACTGGATGACGAATGCTTATACAAATATATATATATATATTTTTGTGGACCAATTTTGCTGAAAGTGGAATCGAATAACTCCAGGTTCCCTTCAGGTTACATATGAAATAATGGTATTTATTAAGGTTTAGGGAACCTTTGTAAGTTTTTTATGAAAGCTTAAAGTATACAAAGTTGCAGTGACTTTTACGTTTCTCTATCAAATTTGTTAAACTTCTTCGTCAAATAGCCCCAGGGATCGATTACCATTCATAAATTTTCAACATCCACAGCAGAAGATGTCAACTACGTCATCGGCTCCGACTGGATAAAGAAGACTTATTTTGACAGCAGAATGTATTTTGCATTTCGAGTGAAAGGGCATAATTCGTTTACGTAATCGCGCATAATATTTTACGATTTATCTTCGAAGACACCGCGAGGTTAGAACATGTTTAAGCCATCCGACATGGCGACCTTGGGGTTTGGCACGTTTCGATGATATTATAAAAACGATTATTTTATTACATTTTCCAAGTTAGAAGACATTACGAATGCATAAACATTCGCAGTCTAGTAACCTGTCCGCGAACTCTCACAAACAGGATGTTCTTTTTGTTGCAGATGAACAAGAACGCGTACAAAAAAAGACTTTCGTCAATTGGATCAACTCCTACCTCTCGAAGGTAAGTCAAGTGTTCTAGATAAAACTTATTATTAACATATTTTCCATGACCTCGGTGACACACGATCCACCAGAAGCACCGAATTGTCATTTCCTCTATCGATTCCCTTATTCGTTCATCTCCAGACGGAAGTCACCTGGCCCCTGTCAACAAACAATTTTCCTGTCAACACAACACGTGAAACGTCGTTACCTTTTTCCGACGGTTCCCCGCTGTATAATAAGCCATCGCTGAAATTACTCCGCATCACGAATATCAGAAGTTCGTTCTCGGATAACTCGTGCCTGGCTCCACGGGTCTCGATACTGGTACTCTCTCCCCTACTTCCGCACTTCCGGTTACTTCGAAACTTGAATTAGAAATCCCGCTCCACTTCCTCGCGACATGCATGGAACCCGAAGAGAACGTCACGACATTGCGTTCAACCCTTGTCCCGTTCGACCAGCGATCCGGGTTCGTGGCAGAGAAATTCTCGGCCACGAGAGGATCCTTCGAGAAATTCGAGACTTCGAGCATCTTCCGACGAGATTCTGACGGTGATTGACGGCTGACGTAGGCACGACGCGTACAGTGTTCCGCAAAAGCATCGAACTGGGGATACCGGGATTGAAAGTAACAGTTTTTGGTTTTCATGAAAGAAAAATGTCGATATTTTAATTAGAGATATAATGTTAATTTTTACGGATAGATTGGAGAATTTAAATTAGTTCCATAACGTATGAAATGTCTTTAAATTAATTGTTAGGAATATTATTAAATACCGTTACAAAATGTCTTCGTAAAATTAATATTGCAATATAATTTAAAGAAAGATGAACAACCTTTATTAACTAAACGCATATATTTTCCATGATTTATTACCTAAAAAACGAGGTAAAATGTGTCTGGCTACGTACTGCCCTTTTCACTGTGGCAGTCAAGCTGCTACCAAGTGTATGCATTCATGGCGGTAATAAGTAGAAACAGAATGCTATGGACAGACGCGTTCCAGCAGATTTTCAGAATCGCTTTCCCTGAATCACCTAACATTTTTCTGTAATGTATGTCTGTGGATTTCTTAATAATAAATTATTACGTGACAGAACTTTCCGACAGATGTGATAGTCAATGATTCTAAAGATAGAGAACGCGTGATTATATCCCGAAAGCCAATCCCGTCGCTTCGATTGTCCCGTCTGGAGCAGCGTTTACATTCTCAGAGGATCACGCGTCTCAAACGATCGTCTCTCGTTGCTTACTTTCAACCATGTGCGAACCCTCTCGTATTTGGTGGCACGTAATGCGGGGATGCTCGTCTGAATTTTAAAAACTGCATCTGCATAAACCACGCCGGTGATCTTCCGATGTAACCCGATGCCAACCTGTCACGCTGACTTCATCTTCTTTTGCGGCGGGTATTCTTGATATTCTTGCCCGCCGTGGCTTAAAATAAACCTTTCTGGATTTGTCTTTAGCGATAAATAAATTGGACTTTGCTCGTTGGTACACCGACTAAACCAATTCTATATTATAAGCTCCCTAGTACATCATCCTTTAAAATAGATACTCTTCATTTGTTTCTACTAAATACCATGCCTTTATTAAATACACGGTACGATATAATCTACGATACATTCCTGAGTGAATGCATTGAATAACTGTAAAGTCAGACAATAGGTCATTAAAATTTATAATAATTGTTCGCTTCATTACTTGTCTGATCTACAGAGCATCCCACACAAAACCAGCCCCCCACTGACTGGTTAAGTAAAATTTGAAAAATGGCGATCTTTCAAAACTTCATTTCATTCACGAACCATTACAAAATATATTGCGATATTTCTAGCCGGTTTTATGTGGGACGCTCTGTATAATCGAAGTGTCGCTATAAAAGTGATTATTATTATCTATTTATTTAACAGACAATAAGCCCTTTGGTCTAGATATACAGGATGGGAAATGAGATTACAAGATTATAAAACAAAGATAAAAGTTGTTGGATTATTTCAACGATTCGTTATCGTACTGTGAAAAAATCATTTCCAATTGTTTCTAACGTTTATATAATGCGGTAGAGTCGCAAGGATACTGAACGGATCTGCCAGAAGGATTTCAGTCTTGTTAAACCGCGTTTCCATAACGACATTTTATTTTCAGCGAATCCCGCCGCTACGCGTGGAGGATCTGATCGAGGACCTTAAAGACGGCACCCGCCTACTCGCGTTGCTCGAAGTGTTATCCGGCGAGAAACTGGTGAGTCCGTATAGCAGCTGCGAACCGTATAATCCTGATCGATAGAATGCTTTCCTCGGACGGCGTAGTAATGCGTTTCTGTTCGCAGCCGTTGGAACGGGGCCGTAACTTGAAGAGACCGCATTTTCTCAGCAACGCCAACACCGCCCTACAGTTCTTGCAGAGCAAAAAGGTGAACAGTAATACATTTGGAAGACCATTTCGAACTCACGTTTCCCTTTGATAATTAAAGTCGAAATTAGAGTGATGTTGAAGCAGTTGGTTTGCTAATAACTGTAAGTCAATTGTTACAACGTAACGTTTGAATCTTTCATGAACTGTAGAGTCAAGTACACTAGTGTCGGTTGACAGTGTACTCTAAAAAAATTAAGCCCCAATGGAACGTTCCTCAAAGACCTTTGTGCTTGAATGTTTCCCTACGAATTTATCGATGGTTGATTACTAGACTGCGGATGTTTATACATTTATAGCATTTCTTAACTTGGAAAATACAATAAAACAAAGATTTCAATAAAGTTTAATATTATTTATGTGTTATTAGTTTTTAAATATTCGCACCTAAAATTGTGAATCTGCATAAACTTCCGCAGTCTAATGATTACACAGACATTTCTGATGATCATATTTCATACGATTTTCTTACAGATTAAACTAGTGAACATAAACTCGTCGGACTTAGTCGACGGACGACCGCCAGTGGTGCTAGGCCTGATATGGACCATCATCCTATACTTCCAGGTAAACATGATTCCGTTCATACTAATACCGTCGAGGCTGTATACGCAGAAAGCACTCTTACCAACTAGAATGCGGTAGTTGCTTAAATCCGACGCTCGTGCCACGTATAACGTCGAATTACATAAACGTGTTACGATTATACGCCGGTAGCACTGCAATCGTTTACAGCGAGGATTAATTCGCCTCGCACGTCGATGATTTTTTTTTATCGAATTCATTCTACTACATGTTACCTCGTACCATCGTAAATCCCCTGTTCGAAATATTCTATTCGATCTTGATGAATCGAAAAGTAACCGTGAGATTAATTATCCATATTCTATAAACTCCAAAAACGCGATTAGTCCTCGTTAAGAGCGACGTAAATTACTTTCCATTCTGCTAACCGTGTTTATTCCACATAAACAAGCTACGATCGAAGGATCGAAGGAAGGTGAGTAGCTGTTTAAAAAAAAAAAAAACAAAAAAAAAGAGATTCTCGTCTAACTGGTACCGATCTTGATCGGGCAAAGAAGCTGTAGAGAAAGTCTCTGTGCACAGAGGACAGATAGAGCATTCACACCTGCATGATCTTATGCGACACACCCAGTATACGCACGCTAGACCCCTTTTTGGCCGTGGATTCTCATCGTCCGACGGTGTCTAGTTCGTGATCGGCTGATCGGCTGTTTTTCTAGATCGAGGAGAACACCAGAGCTTTGGAGTATCTCGGTCACACGTGGGGCAGCCAGAGCAGCCTGGAGAGTCTCAGCACTCAGGGCTCGGCGGCCAGCGAGAGGAAACGCATCAGCAGCGAGAAATGGAAACAGGGGGCGAGGAAGACTTTGCTTCAATGGGTCACCAACGCTTTGCCCAAGTTAGTATTAAAAGACAATTATTGGAAAAATCCCATTTCAACTATGACTTCAAAGAAACTTGTGGCTGAAAATCGGGTGGTCCAGATTTCCAAATACTAAATTTGACCGATAGATCTGAAGATGAGTACAGTAAAGCCATGTACAGTAAATCCTAGATGAGTGTTGGAAGTCTCCTCGACACTGACAAGGAGAGGTTCACAGATGTAACGCTGGCTTTTTAATAAAATTTAGCACAGTGATAGAGCTTGGGATTCTGAAGCCAATATTTGTTTCGGTCGCATATGGCCATTAATTTATGAAATATTTAATGCTTAGTGCCGAGGAGCCTTCGAACACTCATCGAGGATTTATTGTATGGCCTAAGTGGAATCAGACGAATGGATGTATAACCCTAATTTTGATTCTTCAGGGATATAGGCATCCAAGTTCGCGACTTCGGCGAGAGCTGGCGCGATGGAAACGCGTTTCTGGCCATCATCGACGCTATCAAGCACAATCTGGTGAACATCGCTGCCATGAGAGAGGCCTCGAACAGGGCTCGCCTGGAGACAGCCTTCCAAGTCGCCGAATTGGAGCTAGGCATCGCGAGACTCCTCGACCCAGAGGACGTTGACGTTCCTCAACCCGACGAGAAGTCGATCATGACGTACGTCGCTCAATTTCTACACAAATACCCGGAACCAGGATCCTCAGCAGCGGACTCTTTCGCAGCTGTGCAGCAGGAATACGATGCGTTATTCAGCTGGCTCACTGAGAGGATCAGACACCTGGAACAACTGGACAGAACCAATTCCTTCCCACTAAATTATGGGGTAAGATTATTTCACAAGGACGCAATTATTTGGGATAACTGATGGTGATTGATAATTGTTCCGTGAAACTGAGACAGAACCAAATGAATGAGAATACTTACTAGTAATGTCACAAATATGATTAATTTAATAGGAGTGAGGAATGATCGTAATTCGTATGATTTGTGCATTCAGGATTACGTTGCCTTAAAGACAGAAGCTGATCAGCAGCTGGTGGTGTACAATAAGTTACAGCGTCTTGTCGAAACGCCTACTATGATTAGTATTACCAGAGACTCTTGGAGACACATACAGACCCTATGGAAGAACTTCGAGATTCTTGTAAGTGACATCTAGCAGACATCGAAAGAATGAAAGCAATGAGATTCACTTGGTTTTTTTATTTTTTTTTTTCAGATGTTACACTGGCTCTGGTCCCTCGACTCCGCTCTACCAGGAGAGCTGGGCGAAGCTGGTAGATGGCTCGCTCGCGCAGAGGCCCTTTTGACCTCCGACAACGACATACCGGAAGAGATGACAGAGGAAACGGCGAATATAATTTCGAACAAATTGGAGGATCATAAGAAATTCTTCCTGGATCTACCGTCGATGGTGGAGCGGTTCCAGGCGGCCAAGAATTCTCAGCTTGCCATGCAAGTGCAGCCCCAACAGCTGAACAATATGGCGGCCCGGTTCGAGAGTCTGCCGGATCGCGCCGCAAAACGGCGGATCCGATTAAAGTTCCTGGAGCACAAGTGTTGCCTTATCGCCTTCTTGTTCCTAGTCGAGACGAAACTGAAAGGGTGGAGCGTAAAGTACGGCACCGAAGAGAAGGTGCACCAGATGCTCGAACAGTATAGGAACTTCGTGTCGAGGAACAGAATCTTCCAGGAGTTCCAGAAGGCCTACTTGGACATGCAGCAAGTCGTCGAGGACTATAAACGTGAGGGCAGTGTTGGTGAGTGCTACAATATGATTACTTCGTTTTTGACCAATTTGTACACCTGGTCTTTCCTTGTGTCTGGTACTTTGAAGCAGATATAATTACTTTATTCGTGGAAGATGATTCAAGACTTGAATGATCGTGACCCTAACGAGGACTTTAATTATGAAAAGTAATTTCTTATATTTTATTCGCTATTGGGAACTCTTTAATAATGAATTTTCGTATACGTAATTCGGAAGGTCGTAGGAAACCTGTACTTCTACGTTGACAGGTCCCAAAATAACCATGCAACGGTCCCACAAAAAATCCTAAACTAGTCTTAAGCAGATCACGTAATATTACAGATCGAGAAGAAAGCCTAAGCATCGACCGTTTCATGAGAGAAACCAGTGATAAGTGGAAGAAGTGGTTGCCTACTGGCGTCGATGGAACGTCCTCTCAGACGAATTCGAGAACTGGTTGAGCCGAGCGGAACCTGCCGTGAATCTTCCCGAAGAAGAGAAAATGGAGTTCTTCCAAGACATCAGCGTTTGGAAGGATAAACATCAACAGTTATCCGACACTGTCACTTTCCTGATAGCCACATCGGACGAACCGGTGGCTCTGCACTTGAAGCAGCGTTACACGAACCTCGCGTCAAGATGGGAGTCCCTGTTCCAAGAGGCGAAACAGTACATGCACGCTGGTGATCTGATACGAAACAGAAAAGATTACAGGGCTGGAGTGGAGACGCTGCAGAAGTGGCTGAGGAACGTAGAGGCTGCTTTAGCAGCTACCGATCTGACCACAACAGAGAAGATCAAAGCTTACGGTGAGAAGCTTCAGATGTTTCATAACGAAGTGGAAGGTGTCGAGGACCTCTTTAAGAGCATCAGCAAGAAGTTCCAGACGCTGATCCAAGACCTATCGCGTGACGAAGTGGACAAGATGATGAACACTCTCAAGAAAGAAAAGGAGTCATTGGTCAAGGTTAGAGCCCTGATACCGATGCAACTGCACCTGTACCATCAGCTACTTGTCCAACAGGAGTCCCTTGAGGCTGGCCAGAAAGAGATAGCTGCCTGGCTGGACGAAGCAGAGAGAATGTTGACGGGAATAGATCTTTCCGGAGGCAGGGAGCATATACTGGCACAGTTGGATCGCCACAAAGCGTTCTTCTCGAGAACCCTCTATTACAAATCAATGCTTGAGTCCAAGAACAAAGTCTTCACCAGTATCGTCAAGTCGGTGGACAGCCACGCCGATGTTCAGTCCGCGGAAGGTGGAAGAACATTGCGAGAACTGAACGAACGATTCAATAGAGTTTCCCAAGCTGCTCAGCTCTGGGAACAACGTCTTCAGGAAGCTGTTAGATGTTGGACCAAGTTCAAGGAATGTGAAAGACAAGTCTCTGAATGGTTGTCCGTAGCCGAGACCATGATCAATGACAAGCACACCGATAACAGACGGTCTATAGAGTATCACAAGAACTTCTTCAGCAACGTGAACGAGAAATGGATCCAGGACTTCGTGAATGCTGGCCAGGACCTGAAAAACATCCTGCCTGTCGAACAGCAAGGTCCAATTCTGGACGCCGTGGAAGCTCTTCAAAGACGCTGGAAGGAAGTGCTCACGTTTGCGCCTCTTCATCTCATGAGACTCGAATTCCGCTTGGACGAGACAACTTTCCTGCAGTATCTCAAGGAGATCGAGGTAGAGATCAACTCTGAACAGCAGGCTCTGATGAAGAACGACAACGTGGAGAGTATCCTTCAACGTAACAGAGAGTTTTTCGTTGATCGTGGCACTGTACTAGAGGTCGAGAAGTGTCTGCAGACCTTGAAAAAGATCAGCAATGCCTACAGCCAGCTGAAACCGAGTGACAATAGCCTGGCTGAAGCCACACAGAACGCTGAACAACTGTGGGAGGTCTCCGCCCAGAGAGTGGAGAGTTTGAGGGAACAATTGAAACAAGTGCCTCAGCAATGGGCTGCCTATAAGAAAAAGTAGGTTCATCTTCAGCTTTCTAGACCAATTGTTTTAGCTTTCTTGTGGATTTTGCAATAATATTTGTTGTTTCCATCAGGTTCGATGAAATGGTGAGATGGATGGACACTGTGGACAGCAACCTGAGGGCCATACTTCATGAAATGAACACTTTGGAGGAGTTCGAAAAAGAGAGGATGATATTCCAGGTGAATATCAATTACGAGGATCTTGAAATCTTATTTGTCTATCGTTTTCATATAATCTGAACTTCCAATGTAATAACAAAAATATCCTGACGCAAATTAACCTGTACTTTTATAACAAACCTTACACTGCTTTTCTATACTCTGTCCTTGCTTTCCTCTCGCTGGATAGATCCAATTCGAGCTGATAAACATCACGGTAAATATAAAACATTACAGTTCAAAAGCAAGAAATTATAATCCTGATATTAGTCCTTTACACAGTCCAACAGTGTAAATCTGATTAAATTAGAATCGCATTCATTCCCCAGACAATATGCCACGACGCTGACAAGAAGCGCGAAGAAATGAAGTGGTTGGTGCAGACCCTTGATAGCCTGACCTCCAATCGTTCGGATCACGAGGCTTTGATGGAACAGAATCGACTGGAGCAGCTTATAACTCGCTACAAGAATCTGATCCCAACAATAGAGATCACATTAACGAAAACCGAGATCTACTCGAAGAGCTATACCTACAGAAAAGAGGTTCGCGTGGTGTGCACACTACTGCACAAAATTCGCGAACAATCCAAGATCGACGTGGTCGCAGAAAGCCCCGAGACCCTGCACAGCGCGGTCGCCCATCAGGAGAATCGATTGAGCCAGCTGGAGCAGGAAAGATCGATAATAGTCAGCATGCTTCAACGAGGCAAGGATCTTCTGAAGGATCAACACGCGCCATCGTTTGTCTCCCAGGAAGTTCAGCAGCTCGAGTCCAGCTGGAACGATACTTATGGACTCAGCGTGGAGACCCTGAAGTCCCTGAAGAGCTCTCAGAAATTATGGAACACCTACCTGGAACAGAAAGAGGAGATCTTGAAGTTGATCGAACAGGCTGAAGAAGAGTTAAGGAAGATCGAGTCAGCCAGCTATTACGATGCCTCTCAAGTGTCGTCCGATCTGCAAAACAAACAGGACTTCAGTTCAAGCTTGAGAAAGTCCGCGGAGGAGTTGCTGAAGAAGCTCCGCGAGACCTACGCCAGTCTGACGGACATCGCTCCAACAGAGAGAAAGGAGATCCTGAGGAAGGAAATCACTCAGACCGAGAAGAAAATAGAGACAACCATGAAGACAGTCCAGGAGAAGGTGGTTTATCTTCAGGAGCACAGCACAAGGTGGAATAAATTCCAGACGAAGCTGAATGAACTGCAGCTCTGGACTCAGCAGAGTCCTCAGTCGATTGCTGACGCTGAGAATTTGTCTACCACGCCTGAAGAGATGGTCTATAGAACGGAGAGGATTCAGAAGGAGATTCAGGAAAAGAGCAAAACGCTGAAGTTCCTGGAGACTGAATCTCAGAAGCTAGTAAAAGGTAATGTTTATTTTTAACTATATTTAGAAACGACGAACATCTATAACAAATTCATTTTTAAAGTAACAATGAAATATCATTCTTTCTTTAGGTGACAGTGAAAGTGGCCCCGGCAAACAGCTCCGCGCTGACATCATAAACCTCGAGAAAACGCTGGAGGCACTGCAAAAGAGCATCGTGGTCCAAAAGCAAACCGCTAAACAGAACCTAGACACGTGGAAGGAGTACGAGAAAGGAATCCAAAAATTCAAGCCCTGGATCGAGGAAGCAGAATCAAAAGCAGCCACAATAGGCAGCAAACCGACGACCCTGCCTCAGGCGACTCAGATGTTAGAAACCGCGAAAGCATTCGAAGTCAGATGCCAACAACACTTCCCCCAAATTCAAGACCTGTCTTTGATCAGCCAACGAATCTCAGGAAAGACGTCCGCCTCGGACGAGGTGGACGCTGTTCACACGCGTTGGAACGCTGTCCATGATATAGCAGTCCAAACGACAACGAAACTGGACAAGCTTGTCACGTCGTGGAACAGCTTCGAATCGGAGATCAAAGATTTCAACGAGTGGCTAGAGAGGTCCGAGAAGGCGGTTCTGATAGAGCCCAATACCCAGACACCTGAAGTGTCGGTATTGGAGAAGGAATTGGCAAGGCTGAAGGACTTTAATAAGACTATATCTGATCACCAGGCTCAATTAATATCGCTGACACAAGTGTCCGATCACATCAGCCACGGTTTATCTTTAGAAGGAGCCACCAACTTAAAAGCTAGAGTATCAGACATCAAGTCCAGGGTCAGCAAACTGGCGGACACTGTCAGATTACAGATCAACAAGGTCTCCGATTCGCTTTTAGCACGCCAAGAGTTCCAGATGAAGATCGCCGATTTCGAGAACTGGATGTCACGATTGAGGTCAAATATCGCCGAGATCAGCGAAGCTACCGTGGACACCGTCGACACCAACCTTCAGGCGGTGCACGCGTACATTCAAGAACACTCTGAGAAACAGCCTAGTTTCGCTGCTATTTACGATGAGGTGAAACAACTATCGGCAAAGGGATCGGTTATGGAGGCAGCAGCCCTGGACGAGACGTATACCACCTTGGCGAAGAAGTACAAGGCGCTGGAGGACGATCTGAGGCAGAAAAAGAAGGGTCTGGAGAAGTGGATCGAGTTATTGAGCTGGTTAAATGACGCCAATGCTCAACTGAGTCATTGTAAATATGAAGCAGAAGCAAGAAAGCCAACTATCGCAGATTTGGAGAGATTTTCTTCTGAGCTACAAATTATATATGATAAAATAGATGGTTGGAAGCAACACGTGATGCCCGACAGTGCTGTTGGTATCCAGATTCGAGACAAACAAGGCAAACCTCTGTCCGCATCTGGCTTGCTAAATGACCTAGAGAACAAGGCTTTGTCTCTGAAGAATGAAATATCTGCCAAACGCGACAGACTGGAGAATCTAGGTGCCAGATGGAACAACTTCAGGACCCTGCAGCAGAACATAACGGAGAAGATACTGAACACTCAGACAGCTCTTCAAGAAGCTGTTTACAATGTAGATTCGTGCAAGCAATTGGCCCCTGCGGTGGACAAGATAGATCAACTGATCGAGGAACACCAGAAGAGGGAACAGGAGAAAGAAATTCTTCACTTTGAAGGTAGCACCCTAATGAAAGAAGATCAAAGATCGACGACTAATATACAAGTCGTCCTGTCTTCTGTCGACGCCAATTGGGAGAAAGTAAACGAGCTTCTCCGAGAACAAAGGAAGAAGTATGCTGACATGAATACAGACTGGAAGGTCTACGAAGACGCTAGGCAGAAGTTGAAGAAGTCTATTGAAGAGGCGAATAATCTGCGTCAGTCTGCCAAGGGCACTCCCTATGATATTACTCAAGCGAATATAAGTCTGGAGAAACACAAGAAGGCCCTAGAAGCACTGAAGAAAGGGAAGCAATTCTTGGATAAGATGGACTCTAAAGCCCAGCAACTGATGAAAGAAGCTTCTCTGATGCCTAGATTCAATTCTGATTTGATCGAGTCTGATCTGACTGAAATGAGGCAACAGTATCAGGACATTTACAACGATATCAGCGAAAAATTGCAGGCATACGAGACTCAAGTGATCATGTGGAAGCAGATAGAGGAGTGCAAGTCCGAGCTGACTAAATGGTTGACGAACACAAACGATGCTCTGACTAGCGCTAGCGATCGTCAGCTGGACGCCGAAAACTGTCAAGCAAGATTACTAAGGTATCGAGAAGAGCTACCGACTTATCAACAACTCTACCAGAACATTGTCAGCAAGATCGAGCAACTGGTCAAGGTGAACAACGAAACAGACATCCCAACCTTGACTTCTTTGCGGAAGTTATTAGAGGATCAGTTTAAAGTGGTCAAAGCGTCGGCTGATAAGCTAGAATCGTTAACATCGACGATGAATGAACGCGAAAGGACGATCAGGCAAGAGATGAAGAGGTGCGGCGATCTAATATCCAAGATACGAGAGGACATAATCAAATGCGACGATTTAACCGGTGAAAACACGAGGATTCTCGGCCGAATTAACAAGTGTCAAGAATTGAAAACTGACCTGGAACAATGCGATTACGCTTTGTCGAAGGTCGAGGAGACCCTGACGAAGATGTCCGCGGAATATCCAAGCATTTCGCGATCGAGTCTGCCCAAGGAGCTTCAAGCTCTACAGCTTCGAAGAGACGGTGTGGCCAGCCACGCAAATAAAGTGATCGCAACTTTGGTTGCATTCTTGACGAAACTCTATCACGAGAAGTTCGGAGCTCTTCAGCGTATGGTGGTCACTCTCAAGGAAAAGGTGGCTTGGTGTGAGCCCGAGCAAAGCAGCGATCGCTACAACCTGGAGGTGAAAATGGTGTCCCTGATGGACGTCGAAGCTGGTATCGCTGATTGTACCGCGAGAAAAGAGGACACCGACAAGTCCTTGAAACTTCTAGCCTCGGTCGAAAGCGCCGAAACGATGGCCATTTTGCAGGCTGAACGTGACAGAGTGGACGTTGACCTTGAATCCCTTAAATCCAGTTACAGTAAGATCAAGACCGACCTGGAGAGGAACATCGCCCTTTGGCAGCGTTACGAACTCACATCAGAAAACGTTCTGACATGGCTGAAGGAGAACGAGAACAAAATCAGGGCCGAAGCATCGGCGTTGCTGAACCTGGACGACATCGAACAGAAGATCGCCGAGATGACTGAAGTGCAGAAGACTGTGATGGAGTACCACAGCGAACTGAAGGAGCTGACTGCTCTCGCGGAGGATATCACCAAGGTCAGCTCGGAGTCAAGAGTGAATCAGTACATAGCGCATCTGAACACTCGTTACGAGTACGTGCTGAAGTTCCTGGCCCAACATCTGAACAGACTTCGTGAACTGAAAGGGAACCGTGATCAGTACACGGCGAACAAGAAGAAGCTAGAAAATTGGATCGGGAAAGCGGAGCAAAAGCTGAGAGTCTTCGACGAGATCACCGGGCCTAAACCTATCACGTTCTATCAGTCACGTCTGAAGGAGCTGAAAGCTTTCGCCGAGGAGAGAGAAGTCGGTCAGGCGATCCTCAATCGAACTGCTGAAGCTGGAGAGGCTTTGTTCGCGAGGATCACGCCTGATCAGAGAGAAATGATCAGGGCCGAGCTAAGGAATTTCCGAAACCGTGTGGACGCAATGGCAGATCGTGCAAACGTGATCTACAAGAAGATAGAGAGCGACATGATGCACAGATCCTCCTTCGAAGACAAGTTCTCCCAGGTGAAACAATGGCTCACGGACGCACAGAACAAGTTAGGGGAGAAACAGGAACTGCTGCCGACTCTTCAAGAAAAGAAACTAGCTCTTCATCTGTATAGAGCCGTCGCGCAGGACGTTAGTGTCCACAAAAACATCCTGCAACAGCTTCAGGAAAGGCTGAGCACAGCTCCTGATGATGACGCGAGTGAAATGTTGGGTAGCGTCATCGAAGCTTACGAGAAACTGTCCAACGAAGTGGAAGGAAGAATAAACATCGCTGAGAAACACGTGTCCAATCACGAGGCCTATCTTCAGACCTTCGAGAAGACTCGTGACTGGATCAGCACGGTTATAAACGAAGGAACCCCGATCGTAGAGGATTTTTCGGTGGATCGGGACACCGCGCAGAATAAAATCGTTTCGATAGAGAATCTGCTGCAACAGAAGGCCGAAGGTGACAGGATTCTGTCCGATTGCAACCAGCAATTGAACATTGTCCTCGAACAGACATCGATACCAGGACACCCGGCTCTGTTGACGAGCTTCGAGCAGCAGAAGAAGATCTGGGAGGAGTTCCTGAAGAAATGCGAGGCCGCTAGAAATAAATTGAAACAATTGTTCGATCAGTGGTCGGAGTTCGAGAAGATCGTGGAGGGTCTAGAGGCCTGGATCAAGCAGATGGAGACTCAGCTGAAGGACCAGAGCCTGAAGAGCACCGAGGAGGCCAAGAAGGCGCACTTGCAGAAGCTTAAATCTCTGGAGGAGAGTATCCTGGCGAAGGGGGCAGAGTTCAACGCCGCTATCGAGAAGAGTCAGAACATGGAGGCCGAGGCAGATCTAGCTAACAGGGTGTCTAGGCAGACGACGAAGTACCAGGCTGTCAAGAATCAGATAAAGGAGGCGGTGATGCGGTACGAACAATTTGTGAAGGAGCACAACGCGTTCAATGGAAAGTATAACCAGCTGTTGCAGTGGATCAAAGACATTCAGTCGGAGCTGAAGAAGCACAGTGAGATCGTGGGCGATTTATCCGTGCTGCAAAGCAGACAGAAGCATATTCGTGACCTGGGCGACACCAGGACGAAGGAGAACGCTCGTTTCGAATCGGTGATCGACCTCGGAGAGAAACTCTACGGCCACACATCTCCGGAGGGTAGAGAGATCATCCGACAGCAGTTGAGGAACTTGAGGTCGCTCTGGGATGGATTCTCCGAGGATCTACAGAACACTATGCAGAAACTGGATCAGTGTTTGATGCAATTCGCTGAATTCTCGTTGTCACATGAACAGCTGACCGCCTGGCTCAGGGATGTCGAACGAGCTATGCATCAACACACTGAGTTGAAGTGTACCTTGGAGGAAAAGAGGGCTCAACTACAGAACCACAAGATCATGCACCAAGAGATAATGTCTCATCAGTCTCTGGTCGAGTCCGTCTGCGATAAAGCTCAGCAACTGGTCGATCAGACCAAGGACACGTCCCTGAATGTTTTCTTACCTTCTATCAAGCAACTGTTTCATAACATTGTGGCCAAATCGAAGGATTTGCTCGAAAATCTGGCTGACTGCGTGGAGAAGCACAATCGCTTCAACCTGCAGGTGAAGAGCTTCTCTGATTGGCTGAACAGCGAAAGGGAGAAGCTCGCCGAGTGCAACGACGTTACTGGAGAACGTACCGATATTTCCCGTCGACTGGCCACTTTGACGGTGCTGAAAGATGATCAGATGCTGGGTGCTGAGCATCTTGGAAAATTGAAGGAGCTCAGCGACGCAGTAATTAAGAGGACCGCTCCTAAGGGTTGGGATGCCATTAACAAAGAGATCACTGTTCTAGAGAGTAATCTTCGTCAGTACCTGAGCGAAATAGGTAACTACTCTAAACAAAGTAACAATGAATACTCGATGTTTCGGTTTCTAGAGAGAATGTTTCATTTTACAGAATCTGTGGAAGACAAACAGAAGGCAGCTCTGCAGAAGTGGCAAGACTTCGAAGACAAACTGGAAGCGCACACGAAGTGGTTCTGCACGATGGAGGCTGCATTCAGAGATCAACAACTGCAGCCTACCTTGAAAGACAAGGAAGCTCGGTTGCGTGCTCTAAAGGAGAAACGCGACGCCATATTGAAAGAGGAGTCCAAGATCGACGAATTCGTCGACAAGTCCCACAGTTTGCTGCATGCTAGCGGCGTCGAACGAATAAAGCCGTTGATCTCTCAAATTAGTAACAGGTGAGTGTTTGAAATGTTGTTCGCTGTTTACGTGGTTCATTAACATGTAATAAAATTAAAACGAATAATTGTCCTCCAGGTACCAGCTGCTGCACGTGCTCAGTAAAGAGGTGGTCACTCGTTGTCAGAGCATCGTGGACGACCACCGAGCCTACGAAGACAAACTAAAGGCTTTTGACGCCTGGCTCACTCAGCTCGAGCAAAGTTTGTCGGGTCTGAAGACTGACGAGACCGGTGGAAACCTGGAGGAAAAGGTCTCGCGTCTCCAGATACTCCTTGCTGAGAAAGAACAAGGCGAACACCGTCTGGGTAGTCTGGTCTCCTTCGGGGAAAGGATTCTGGCGGACACTTCAGCGCAAGGGCGAGAGCTTATCCGCCACGAATTAAGACAGGCCAGGGAACGATGGGACAAACTGGTCGAGGGAATATCCGAGCAACAGAAGAAACAAGACGCTCAATCGTTGCAGTGGTCCAACTACCAGGAGACTCTGCAGCAGATCCTAGCCTGGTTGGATGCCATGGAAAGATCCGTGAAGCAAGATTCGTCGATCACCTGGTCCTCCCTTCAGGAAATTAAATCGAGGCTGTTGAAGAGCAAGGTAACTTTCAGTTCCCTTTTGAATTTTATTTTCAGACTAACACTGTTGCATTTCTTCGGGCACTATTTATAGAGAACATGTTAATGTTTCTAGGCGATGCATCAGGAAATCTTAGCCTACAAACGCATCATCGAAGGCGTCTCCGAGAAAGCCAATGCGCTTACCCACGCTGTCCAAGCGCCGTCAGACGCTAAACAAAAGGCGGCCTCGGTCTCTGGAAGATACGAAGGCCTGGTCGACATGTCACAGAAGAATATATCGAACCTGGAGACACTTTTGGACACCTTCCAACAGTTCTACGACCTCCAGAAGTCCTACCAGGACTATCAGAAGCAGCAATGGGAACAATTGGCCAATTACAGCGATTACACCGGCAATAAAGCTGCTCTGCAGGCTCAACTGACTAAAATCATGGAGCTGCAGGATGGACAGAGGGAAGGGGAGCTGAAGTTGAATATCCTAAGCGAGCACGTCGCGCAGAGCGCTCACAATTTAACACCGAGGTCCTTGGAGTCTATGGAGAGGGATCTGGCTACGTTGAGGTACGGAGACATACACCTGTACCTTTTTATGTATCGAGACTTTCCGATTATATTTTCTGGAGTATTTTATTACATATCAGAATTTCTTATGTTAGTTCTATGAATTACATTAATGAATTATGGTAGATTCGAACACAAGAAATTCGCCACCGCTGTCACAGACATTATCAGGTGCATCGAGGAGAGGATTCAGCAATGGAGCGAGTACGAGAACTCGTTGGAACGTCTGCTGGCCTGGTTGGCTGACGCGGAGTCTTCCTTGAAAAACTATTCGTTGAAGAATACACTCGACGAGAAACAGGAACAGCTTGAGAAGTATCAGGTAACATTCCCAAAGAGCGAAGAATTAAAATCATGTATTGTTGTGTATTTCACTTTAAATTTCTTATTATAATGATAGTTTCAATGCAAATACACTAGCACACTACACCTCATTTTTGACACGTTGCTATTTTGTTAAAAATTACAACGAGGACACGGCAGACACGGTTTTTTGAACTTTGCATATTTTTGATTATTAAGAAGAGGAAAAGATGCGAGAGAGAGAGAGACAGGTGAAAGTGTAAACGAAATCAGGCACTGTATTTGACAAACTTTCTTAGGCACTACAAAAAACCGCCTTGTCATGGGACACGGAAGTGACGGAACTGGTGGCCCTCGGAGACCACCTCGATCAAGTAAGGAGAAACCTGGAAGACTCTTTAGGATCGGCGTGTGAACGCTTTTCTACGAATCTCTCGTTACTGTCCCCCTTCTATTCTTTTTCTTCTTCTATTTTTCTCTCTCTACAATCAACTACAATTTTTTCTCTTCCTTTCTCTCTTCGTCTGTTTTTTGGTAACGATTTTTGCTCGGTAATAATTTTTGTGTTTTTTTTTATCTTTTTGTTTTTGTACACCGCACACAATCACCGATATCTCACTGAAATCATAACGCGTATATAATAAATAATTAAGGAAGGATCAAAAAGGTTGACGTTTCCTGTGGAAACATGTGAACACACGTGTGATACGACCATTGTCACCTCGATGCATGCGATCGTGTCATTTTCAACACGCTTGATCGAAGACTTGTGGTCTCGTAATCCTATTTTCGCAACGATGATTGAATTCGTGGATGAAGCATCTTTGTGCTGCCAATGTTTTCCAATTCTGTGCATACATGGATATCTATGAACCTATGTATTCTACTTCTTCTTCTTCTAATTGAAATATTTAATATAAATTGTACCATTTTCGTACGATGAACTGTATCACAAGTTAGACGACTACGAAATATAATACTAAATATCAAAGAAAGTTAAACATCGTTGTGTCCCATAGATGTTGATCGTGAATCTACGGCAAAACGAGGCAGAATTCGACAAGATGAGCGACGAGTCATCCGAACTGATGCAGATCAGTGGTGAGACCAGGTTCTCCGCGAGTGTTCAGCAAATCACATCCCGTTTCCAGTCTATCCAATCCACAGCCAAGGTAAATCCCATTCTTCGTTAAATCCAACATACCCCCATCAATATACAAAGTCAAACTAATATTTTGAACATCATCAAAATCGCAGGAACTAGTTAAGAAGTGTGAGCAAGCAGTGGCAGACCACGCAGCCTATCTAGAACGCTACAAGCAATGCTCTGAATGGCTAGCCAATGCGAGGACCGCCTACCAATCCATCAAAGACGACATCAGCGGCACTCGTCAGGAACTGACTTCCAACGTGTCGACCTTAAAAGACCTTCTGTCACGTCAATCCTCAGCTAACCTGTTGATAAACAACACGGTAGAAGCTGGAGAACGTCTATACCCGACTACCGGGATGGAGGGCCGAGAAATCGTTCGTCAGCAACTGTTGGACCTCCAGCAGGCCTTCGAAGAGCTATACGACAGCATCGCGTCGACCGAACGCGAGCTACAATCGAAGATCTCGAGGTGGTCCGGGTTCGACGAATCCAACGAAGCTTTCGAGAGGTGGCTCAGAACCATCGAGACCCAACTGAAGCCAGAAATCGAGCTGAAGACCACGTTGGACGAGAAACGTGCACAACTACAGATCTATCGTACGTTCTTACACGATGTCCAATCGCATCAGCAGGACCTGCTCGATCTTCGCGACAAGGCAGATAACTTACCAGATTCGACCGACAAGGTACACCAGACCCTCAGGAAACTGAACGAGAGACACGCAGCCGTATTGAAACGCGCTGCTGCTTTCGTAGAAAGGTACGAAGGAATCGTAAGCGATCATCAACAGTACAGCAAAGCTGTCCTAGACACCCACGAGTGGCTGGACGCAACACACAACGCAGTGATCCTATGGGGCGACACTGAACTCGAACGAGTGTCCCTTCATACGAACCTCGATCGCTTACTGAACCTCCTGCGGAATCTACCCGAAGACACACCCAGGGTCGAGCAGATAGCGAGTTTAGGCAAGAAGGTGATACCTGGTACTTTGGAGTCTGGACAGATCAACATCCGCTCGCAGATAGACTCCTCCCAGCAAGAGTTGCAGAGCTTGGTCACAGCTGTCGAGTCGACCATAGAGAGTCTGGAGAATAAGCTACAACAATGGAACGAGTTCGAAACGTCCAAGGAAAGATGTCTAGCCTGGATGAGGGAAACTGATACCAAGCTCCACGCAGTGGACTTGAAAGCTACTCTCCAGGAGAAGAAAGATCAGTTGGAGCTGTTGCGTACTCTTCAGGGTCAGGTCCGCGCGAAAGAGCTCGAAATCGACGCTGTTACGGAGAAAGCTCAGCAGCTACACAAGAATCTCACTTCTCGGACGACACAGATGTCGGAACTGAGCATCAAGTACCAGCAGATCTCGAACAAGGTCAAGGACCTCAACAGCCGCTGGCATCAGTACGTCACCACTCATCAGGAATTCGATAATCAGGTGGCTGATTGCACCAGGTGGTTGGATGACATCCGGAAGAAGCTGGCATACTGTTCAGATCTTGGAGCATCTTCGCAGAAGGACCTGGAGAACAAGATGGAGATTGTTCAAGGCTTATTACTGTACAAGGAGGATGGTTTCGCGAAGGTTCAGGGAATCGTCGAATTGGCTCAGGCTGTTCTAGCAAACACTGCGCCAACCGGTCACAAGGCTATAAACGACGCGGTTGGAAAGCTACAGGAACAGTGGAGCGCACTGGCTTCGAAGATGCTGGAGACCAAGACCAATCTCGACGACTCCATCAACAAGTGGGCTGGACTCCTCGAACAGATCCAATCTATGAATAAAACAGTGGACTATATGCAGTCGGCTCTCAACGACATTCTGCCCTACCAGACCACCATGTCCGAAAAGAGGTGTCAACTAGAGCGTATAAAGGCTCTCGAAGAGAAAGTTCGTTGCGAGAACATCGAAGTGGACAGCCTGAAGATCAAGGTGGCGGAGATGATCGCCAGTGGACCTCAAGGTTTAGCCGCTTCTCAGGCTCAGGGTATCTTGAACAGATTTGACACATTGTTCGAGAAGATTAAGTCACTATTGGCTGAAAGGGAGGAACAGTATAAAGATCATAGACTCTATAAGGAGGCTCATGACGACATAATAAACTGGTTGAGCAGAGCTCGTGAGAAGATCCCGTCCATGAAGCAGAGACCTCTCAGCGATAAACTGGCGATAGAAAACGCTGTGGCCCCGTTGGAGAGCTTGTTGAATAAGAAAGCTCAAGGTGAACTGTTAGTGGAGCATCTTCAACACACTGGAAAGGTTGTCTGCGCCAGTACCAGCCCGCAAGGTCAGGAAATCATCAAGAACGAGGTGAGGGCTTTGACGGAGAGCTTCGAGGAGTTGTTCAAAGGTAAGGAGACACGGTGATTCTATAATCTATGATAACAACGAAGAGATCTTTAGTGTTATGTCGATAAATAGCGACTCGATCGCTAGAATTTTTCGTTTGTATTCACTTATATGATAATTAATTTCTTTTAAAGATAATGATCCTCTGAAATAGTTCCCAAATAACTCCAGAAATAAATTTCGTTCCAGATATCAAGCAACAGAAGGACCAACTGGAGAAGACAGTCAGCCAATGGCGCGACTACAAGGACGAATACGAGAGGCTCAGCGACTGGCTGCAGCAATTCGACATCCTCATCAAGGCGCAGAAGAACTCCCTTCTACCAAATGTCGCTGAGAAAGAGAAGCAGGTGCAAGAGGTCAAGGAGATTCTGGAGAACTTGCTGAAGGGTCAAGAACAAATCGACAGATTCAACAAGACAGCGTCGGGTCTGCTTTCCTCCCACCTGGACACCTACGTAAACAATCAACTGCGTCACCTGAACTCCCGATACCAAGTCCAGGTGAACCTAGCCAAGGATGTATTGAACAAAGTCGAAACCAATCTGGCCCAACACAAAGAGTACGAGGCGAACCTAGCTAAGACACACGCGTGGATCGAGAACGCAAAGCAGATAATTCGCAAAGGGACCGAGGCAGCGTCTACCAGCAGCAGAGAAGAACTACAAAACAGATTGGATAACATTCAGGAACTTTTGCGAAAACGAGAGGAAGGTCAGAATTTGGTGCATCTGACTGTGAATTGTGGGGAGAAGGTGATGCGAAACACCAGGTCTGACGGTCGCGAGGAGATCAACGCGCAGCTGAAGGAGATCCAGAACGACTGGGAGAGGCTGGTGAAGAAAATCTCGACCACGAAAGTTCACCTGGAGACGAGTCTTCTTCAATGGGCTGACTATAGCTCCTCTTATCTGCAACTTCAACAATGGATCAACGATCGCGAGGCAAAACTGCAACAGGTCTGCGAACAGAAGGTGTCCAAGGCTAGAAAAGGCCTAGCTGGCCTGAGTTCCCTGGCCATTGGTGAAAGGAAGGCGAACTTGAGACAGACGAACAGTATTGTTCAGGACATCGTCGCCTTCGAACCGATGATACAATCTGTCACAACCAAAGCGGAGGATCTTCGTCAGGCCACGCCAGCCACCGAGATCTCGATCAAATACGAAACACTCAGCAAACAGGCGCAGGAGTTGTACGCTAAGCAGAAAGAGACCGTCGAGCTGCATCAGGCCTTCATCGACAGCGGGAACGAGTTCATTCAGTGGATACGGGCGGCCAAGGAGAGACTTGGAAAGTGCTCTGAACCGACTGGCGATAAAGAGTCACTGGCTAATAAAATTACACAGCTGAAGGTTCTGCAGAGTGAGCTTCCGGAGGGACAAAAGAAGCTTGAGCATGCTTTGGAGCAGGGTAACGCGGCGTGTCAGATCGCGTATGACGAGGACAAGGAGATAATCGAAGAGGAAGTGGCGTTGTTGCAAGAGGAGTACGACAGCTATGTGTGAGTATAATCATGAACATAAAATTCTTTCTCTTTTAATCGATTTAATTGCGTAAACATAAAAATTCTGATTAGTTATCGGTTTCTACGAATTATACAATCATTTTCACCGCAGGGACTCGCTGAACAACACTAAGAGCTTGCTAGAGATAGGTATAGTTAAGTGGACCGAGTACGAAGACCAATTCTCCGAAGCTACCGAGTGGCTCACGCAGACCGAACAGCTGGTGCAGTCCTTCAATAAGCTGCAAGACAGCCTGGAAGAGAAGAAGAATGTCCTGGAACAGTTCCAGATTCACCTGCAGACGTTGTTCGATTGGCAGAAGGAACTAGATCGTTTGAACATGAAGGCTCAGATGTTGCTTGAGACATGCGCCGACACTAGAATCTCTAACGCGATCACTCAGCTGACTACGAAGTACAATGCGTTGTTGTCGCTCGCGAAGGAGATCATGAGACGTTTGGAGCTCCATTACCAGGTATGGCTAGATCTTAATGTATCATTTTCTGTTTAAATCTTACCGTAGTCTTTAGCCTTCTAACCGTAGTTTTTACTATATTCCTAACCTATTGAAATATCTAACAGAAGGAATAAACTTCTGTCGCATTCTTATTCTAATAAAATGATTTTAAAATCGCAATTTGCAAAGTCAGTGGTATAATAGCAACATCTATCGCCCACTCTTCAGGAACACCAGCAACACAACACTCTCTACCAAGAATGCCAGGACTGGATCGAGAGAACACGAGACAAACTTGGCGAATGCAAAGAAATTCCTAGCACCCTAGCCGAAGTAAACAACAAATTACACACATGCAAGGCCATCAGGCAGACCCTAGAGCAAGGCCAGAACAAGCTGAGATACGCTCTCGAGCTAAAAGAGAAGGTGATCATGAACACGGAACAAAATGGGGCGGCGAAGATTCAGGAAGACACGGAGAACCTGAAGACAGAGTTCGAGAGGCTGTTAGTCAACGTCGAGGACATTAGACAGAAACTGTCAGCGAGAGCCAGCGCGCTGGAAGAGCTGAACAAGATCCATAGGCTCACCACGGACTGGATCGAGGAGATCGAGGGAAAGATTCAGCCTGGAGAAATGTACAAGAACGATCTCAGTGAAAAACGTGCTGTCTTAGAGAAGTATAAAACAGTTCAGAGGGATATTCAAGGCCATGGCGAGACCGTGGATCGTTTGAAGGCTCGTCTTGCAGAGGATTCTAGTATTCCTGTTGGTCCATACCAGTCGACAATCGCGAAGTACGACGAACTGAATAAACTTATTGCCGAAAAAATACGGGTGAGTGATTTTTTTTATTATCTGCTTATCAATAACCTGTTTATAATTAAACCATAACATCGATTGACTACAAGATAATTCATGGATCACTTGATCCAAATCAATACCCAATTTCCAGAATCTGGAGGAGCAGGTAAACGACCACGAGAAGTTCCAGCAAGCACTGAACGAAGCATCAGACTGGGTCCGTCACACGAAGCTGGAGCTTCAACAGCACTGCGATACCCACGGTGAAAAGGATCGGATCATCGAGCGGGAGAGCAAGGTCAACCAAATCATTGCCTCTCTTCCTAGGGGCGAAACCTTGATCTCGAAAGTGATCCAGCTCAGCGACGGAGTGATTGCCAGTACTGGACCAGAAGGCCAGGAAACGATCAAGCAGGACGTGGAGCAGCTTCAGACCAACTGGAAGTCATTGCAGGCGCAGTGTCATCAGTCCCAGAAGACCTTGTCCAACTGCATCTCCAGCTGGTCCCAGTTCACCGCCGCCTTGGACAGCATGAAGAGGTGGATAGATCATTTTCAGAAGAAGGTGAACGACGAACAATCGAAAGAGAACAAGACCCCGGAGGATCTGGTTCGTTGCAAGAGTCTCGTAGAGGAAGCTATCCAGCAGAAGCCTGTACTTGAGGATCTGAACGACAAATGCGAAGCTTTGCTGGAGATGAGCGCCTGCAGCTGGGCCCGGGATAAAACCGTGCAACTGCAGTCGGCTTACACATCATTGTTGACGGACATGCAGGGTCTGGTATCGAGGGTGGAAAAGAATCTGTCAGACCACACGGAGTTCCTGAAAGCAAAGAAGGAGATGGAGGACTGGCTGCGCATCGCTCGTGGCTCCGTGCAGGATTGCATGGGCGTCGGTGACGCTGAGTGGGCGAAAGATAAACTGGAGACCATTAAGGTAAGTTATCGATTTCTGCCAGTTTTATTTATCCCGTGTGAAAGTAATGGCCATTCACGTTGTGATACTTGGGTAAGTGGTGTGTATCGAGGTTTTTAATGTATGAGGTTACGATGAAATAAAGAAACCTTGAGTCTCGTCGATTTATATTAAGAATAGACCAGGAAATTTGACAAAGCTGTAATTACAGGAAATTTAAGTTGTCTGTTAGCAGACCTTTAGTGAGATTTGTTGCACTCGTGTCTTAGTAAACAAAGATTTTGAAACGCGCGATAGTTTCTGGAACATCCCAGTATTCTACGCACTTAGTGAACCTATTTTCTCCACGTCCTCCCACAGATCGTCGCAACTCGAATTACCGAGGGTCAACACCTACTCTCGACGCTACAAAACGCCTTCACGAAGGCGATCGATACCGCAGTGCCGGCGCAACAGGAGCAGTTAAGATCAGACATGGCTGGGCTTCGTTCCAGTTGGGAGCAGCTGAGCATAGATCTGAACACAGTCCAGGCTCAGTTGAAGTCTCTCTTGAACCGATGGGACGACCACGCCGAGGCTCACGGAAAGCTAAAGCTCTGGCTGGAGGATACCCAGAAGAGTATACAAGAGATACCAGATACTAAAGGAGAGTTCGGTGACATGAAGACGATGCTGGAACGATACAAGCACATCCAGGAGGAAGTTCGAGGCAAAAAGACCGAGCTGGACCACCTGATGGAAGAAGCCAGTGAACTGTCCAAGTTAGCGAAGAAGAACACACCTGTGGATCAAACGGGGGAGCTGCTGAAACTCTGGCAGAGCTTGAGCGATCGTGTGGACGAGAGGAAGAAAATGATAGAGAACGAAATGCAGGAGTACAACGCTTATCACGCGGCTCTGCAGGAGACTGAGAAATGGTTGCTGCAGATATCCTTCCAGCTGATGGCCCACAATTCCCTCTACATCACCAACAAAGAGCAGACCGTTGCGCAGATCAAGCAACATGAGAGTCTACTTGGGGAGATCGAAAATTACACGAGCGTCCTGGACGATCTAAAGGTGAAGGGCAACGGGCAGATCGATCGCTACGTGGCCGTGAACCCAGAGATAAGAAATCTCATCGAGACGCAGCTGCAGAATGTGCAAGAGAGCTACAATTCGCTTCTGAACACTGCTCTGCAGATCAAGAAACGACTGGCCGAGTCTCTGGTGAAGTTCCAGGACTACGAGAACACTCTGGAGAGTATTATGAGGAACTTGGACGTGTACGAACCAGAGATCGCACAGGAGATGGACGCACCCATGGACAGTCTCGAGCAGGCGAAGGAGAGATTCGAGAATGCACGCGCGTTGCACAATAAGCTGCAAGGCGAGAAGACTCGATTGGCTCTAGCTGTTGAAGCCTGCGAGGCTGCGGTAGCTTGCGTGTCCAGGCCTGGAAGTCCACTGGATGCACCACCTGTGCAGATTCCAGCGAGGGAGGTGGAAGTCAGGACCAAATTAGAAGAACTGATCGATCAGGTACGAATGATTTTTCTCTCATTCTTTCGGAGTAGCAACCATCATTTGATTACGAAACGCGTTTTGCTTAACATATTATTGAATCATTAATTCCGTCTTAACAGGCCCAGGGACATCTGATGAACGTCACGAAGGCCGTAAACGAACTAGAAGAGCAGACCAGGCAGAAGAATGCCCTTCGAGCCTGGATAAACCAGCAGCGAGCTCTCTGCGCCGAATGGAAGTCACGGCCAGCGAAACTGCGATCCGAGGCAGCCCACGCTGAGCTTCAGGCGATGAACGATCTTCTAGGGAACGTCGGAGAGCGCCGAAGTCACGCGATGACCGACCTCGCGCTCCACGAAGACGACCAGGACATCGAGGAAGGCCTGAATAAACTGGAGACCGAGCTGATGGACGCCATCGCCGGGAAGCAAGCGGCCCAGGAATTGATTCAGAAGTATCGATCGCAGGTGCAAAACATCCAGTCCTGGTTGGACGCTCTGTCGAAGAAGGTCGACGTGATCGAGAAAGGTAACGGACAGACAATCGCTCAGAAGATATCGAACGTAAAGGAGATCACCGCCGAGTTCGAGTCCCAAGGGCCTGGCAGACTGAGCGAGGTGAAGAGCCTCGGTGATCAAGTGATGGACTCCGTGAGCAACCTGGACTCCCAGCAGATCGAAGAGCAGATCAAATCGGTGGAGAGGAGGTACGCAGACATCGCCAAGAAGCTTCAGCGAAAGGCACAAGTCTTGGACATGACTGCCCAAGGTATCGATGCCACCAGGCAAGAGATAGAAGAGAACAGGGACTGGATACTGCAGAAGAAACAGCAGGCCCAGCTGACCGAACCTGTTGGCTACGACAGCAAACTGGCGGAGGAGAAGCTTCTTGCTCTGAAGGTATGCTAACGTTTGCTTGACAAGAGTTAGGTGGTTTGACTTGGGTAACTCTCAGAACAAGCAATTTGGTAATCATGACATGATGGTGGCAATGTATAGGTTCATTTAGATAGGGATATAAATAAACATATCGCCAGGAAATGTACCAAGATATGACTAAAAAAGAAGATAACTAGAGGTTGTCTTCTTTTCTAGAGATAGTAGTAATTGAAATTCTAACTAAAATTCTAGGCTCTGCTGAAGGAAGCCGAAGGCAAACAAATGGTGATCGACACGCTGGAGAAACGAGTCGGTAACATGCAAAACGAACTAGAAACCAATGAGCAACAGCAGCTAGAAAACGAGACGAAGGCCCTGCGTGGAGAACAAGCAGAACTCTGCACCATCTTGACGGAAGGAATCTCGAGCGCAACGGCTGCAGCCGACGCTCGTCGCAAGTTCGAGGGTGAACTAGATCGCGCGAGAGCCTGGATCAAGTCCAAGAGCAACAACCTGAAGAAACTGAGCGGTTACCTGCCGTTGAAGGCGGCGAAAGTCGAGCAAGACATCGCGCAACACGGAGAACTTGAGGCAGACATCGATTCCTTCAGCGAGAAGGATCTGAACGATATCTTGAAGCAGGGGAACAATTTGCTGAAGGAATGCCGGGACGAGGATCGTGCTAAATTGGAAGCTATCCTAGATGAGCTGAGCAAGGATTACGACGAGCTGAAGAACGAAGCGAACGAGAAACAGGCGGCTCTGGCGGATCTTCTTCAGGGACGAAAAGCGTTCGAGAGTGAGATCGACAAGTGTCAGAGGTGGATAAACGAGGCTGAAGTTGCTACCTCCTCGGATCTGAGGTCTTCCAGTATCGATATTCTGCGAGAACAGCTTGCCAAGGTAGAGTTTTATGAAAGGATATAATAACATTAAAAAACACTGTGGTACCTGAAGTACAGGAGACGAGAATTCTAGAGAATTGAATGAATTATCGAATATTTAGGGTATTACTTTTATATACTTCTCAGGTAACTATATCCTGTTTATTATTTCAGTACGATCGTCTGAAGAAGGAGGCTAAGGAATACGCGGACGACATCGAGAAAATCCTCCAACAAGGAAAATCCATTCTCCCAACGGTGAGCGACGCGGACAAACTCGAGCTGAACGAACAGCTGCAAAACATGAAGGAAGCGCACGGCAGAGTAGCCGGGATAATAAACGAACGAGCTCAGGCTCTTCAGAAGAGCATCGACGAGGCCGAGGAATCGTTAGCTCGAGTCGCTGAAGCTGTACAGTATATGACAGACGTCCAGAAGGAACTTCACGAGCTGAACAAGCCCATAGGTTCTCGAGTCGAGGACGTCGAAGCCATGCTGGACGCTTACGAGAGGATCTTGAACGACCTGACAGCGAACAAGGCGAAATTATCTGACTTGGGATCGGTTAATGTCGCAGATCTTCATGGTGTGCTGACTCAGCAGGACGATCTCATAAAGGCCATCGAAGCCCAAATAGCAAAACTTCGTCAATTGCTGCTGTTACGACAGCAGTTTATCGCTTTGATCACCGAGATTACGACCTTCATTGCCAAGTACACGGAAATCGTTCGGGACATCGAGAATTCCGGTCAGCCTATAGAGGAGAAAATCCGAAGGTATTTATTCCGTTCAGTTCTTCCTCACCCATTCTTTACTACTCATTGCTTTTAAACATGTTTGTTATGTGCTTGAAATAATACTTTTTTGTAATTAGGTACGATGACGCGATCCTCAAAATTCAAGAGTGCGAGGCTACTCTCGCCAGCGCGACCGATAAAGGTCAGCAAATCGCTGCAGAAGGCTCGACGGTGGATAGGAACAACGTAACAGAGCAACTGCAGTCCCTGAAACAACAGTTACAGGGTCTAAGGAGAGCCGTAGAGACACAGAGAGAACAACACGAATTGGCCGCGGCGGAACACAAGAGGCTGGCGAACGAACTGGCGGAGATTTTGGACTGGTTAGAAGATGAAGAGAAGGAAGTGAAGTCGAGGCCTCTTCTGGAAAGGGATCCAACCAGTGTCGAAGGCGAATTGAAGAAGCACAACGAGCTCTGCAAAGCTGTCAACGAACATCTGGATAGAATCAGGAACTTGAAGAACTCTATACCTTATGAAGAAGGGATGCCTGGATCGTTGAAGGAGATGCTCAGCGAAGCCGTGTCCCTGCTATCGTCTTTGCCCAGGGAAATGGAGGAACGTGGAAATTACTTGGAAAGTAATATGAAGATGAGACAGGAGTACGCTGCGCTTACTGACAAGCTTCAGAGTTGGGTCCGAGAAGCGGAAATTCGGCTGGAGAACGATAAGGATGGGCTGGACTTTGAGAACATCCTTAGCGACCTGGAGGAGCACAAGGTCAGTGGATTGTTGACTATTTCCCTTGGAATAAATATACCGCCCTACAATTCCCTTTGGATTACCTATAGCCCTTAAGATCCCACAGAGGCCTTCGGATCTCTTAGAGACACCTTCAACGTTTGGGTTTTCTCGAAGTCTTTGGGATCCCTTAGTATCCTTTGGTCCTCCCAATGCTTCTACCCTTGGGTTCTCCGGGACATTTGTGATCCTTTAGGCACCGTATAATTTTACTTTCAGATTTACTTCAGCACCGAGCCGTCTATCCGCGAACTGGTGTCCCAGCAGATTCAACAGGCGGCCGACAAGATCTGGCCGTCGCTAAAAACGTCAGAACAGGAGGAACTGAGCGCTGAACAACAGCAGCACACTCAATTGTTGAAGAACACGCTGAACACCGCGAAATCTCAACGAGCCAGGCTCGAGCAAGGCGCTGAAACCTGGAGGGACTACTCGCAGACTTTGGAACGGGTTCGAGCTGTCATCGCGAGAACCAGATTCACGGACGAACCAGTCACCACATTGGCTGGCTTGCAGTTTAACATTCAGAAAATCACGCACGCTCTCAATGACATACAGGTAAGTTAAGAATTATATCGACAACTAATCTTTGAGTATTGAAAATCAAATAAATAACTACTGTTGGTTCTGGTGGAAAGATGGAATAATCAAATAATATTATAACATAGTTTGTATAAAGGAAGTCGCTAAAAAATTTGGAACCCTTTTTGCTATAATAAATTACTTCTTAAAATTAAAGCAGAGCTGGAAGTTATAGTTCCTAGAAGTACATATATCAGGAACTATAATTCCTGTTATAGCTTCCAGCTCTGCTATAATTTTAAGAACCAATTTATTATTCAGTATTATTTTATTGTTCTATATTTCTTTTAGAACCAACAGTTCGAACTAGATCTCCTGAATGAACGAGGCGAGGAAGTCCTCCGATTGGCAGATGCCAGCAACAAGAAGACGATAGAAACCCAGATCTCCGAGGTCACCGCCGAATGGAAGGAATTGGTCTCCGGTTTAGAGGGTCGCAGAGACGCCCTGGAAGCGCTCTCGAAACACTGGGAAGATTTGGAAGCCCAATGGTCGATCATCGAGACCCGTGTCAATGCCACCGAAGAAAAGAACAAGCTCGTGGATACTGTGGTTCGATCGAAGCAGCACTTACTTGACACCATCAAAGCTTTGCACGTACGTATCCCTTAAATATTTCTTAGAAAAATATTTATTACCAAATTTACACTTTAATATTTATTATCAATGAACCTTGCAAATTATTAAATCTGTCAGTGGTCATCTTAACTTCTACAATCTTCAAAATTATAAAAGAAAAACAATGCGATGTGATTTAAATTCCAATTGAAGAGATATAATAAGAATTTTGGTCTCGATAGAATAACAAAATCTCGAATCATATTTTATACAGTTATATTATTGTAGAAATTTATTGAGTTTTTCTGATGATACAGGAATTAGTGTCGGAAGCTCAGAAGCTGAAACCGATGACGGAGGAAGTAAGAGCCCTGGCAGGACCTGTTCTCGCGTATCTCGCAGCTTTCACCGAGGCTCCGGCGCACGCTCTCGAGAAGAAACTGGACAAACTACAGGGTTCCGTCGAAGCGTGAGTCGAAATGCAGTTTTCTTCTTTTTATTCATGTCTAGACGCACCGCCAACGACCTAACGGACACCACATGCCTATGTGTCACTGTTACTGCGAACCACAAATTTATTCGCGAAAGAATTTCTATTGATCTTCAAAACAAGTTTTTTTAATCACCCTTATAATCTTATATTAGTTAATCATCCTATTTTTCAATATTAGCCGTTTTTCCTTCTTTTGAAAGTAATCACTTAAGTCAGCATTTCAAGTAGAATAATTTCGTGAAAAGGTAATTTCCACTAGTCAATTGATTAATTTACTATCTTCAGCTTTTATCTATTTTATTGCATATAATTAGTAAAACAGATAGATTGTTTGTACCTTTTTTGTATTTTTTCTATCACTTAACTGTTTTTTTTTTGTAAGAATCATAAAGATTTAGTATTCTGCGACAAAACTCGCAGAGTAAACAACGAGGGAACCATGCGGTGCGCCTGTGTGCGATTGCGACGCATGTGCATGTCTGTGCTTCCGCTTTTGCATATTACGATCCCCTCCGAAGGGAGAAACAATGTCCGTTTCTCCCTTCACCCTTTCTCACGTTCTGTTGCAGGTTCTCACAGCATCGAATATAATCAATGTTTACCGGTATATATACTTTTCTTGATCATATTATTCTTTTCAGGGTTTTTTATTTAATTATCAATTTCAGGTACAATCACGATCAGACTGCGGATATTTATGCACGCTTCCATTATAACAGAATATGAACAGAAACGTATTAAAAAATGACACGAAGACATTATCTAACGTTATTAATAGACGTTAGAATAAAACTTTCTGAATTAATTTCTCGATATTCGACCTTCAGAAATATTAATTTACCCTGCCAAAGGCTCTTAGTAGGTTTCGAAATAATAAGAAAACCTCAGTGAACTTTCTGAAATTTTTTACTATACTGAATATTAGACGATTGAATATTTTATATGTGCATAAAATCCGCAGTCTAGTTACCGAAAATCTTACGTTAGTGCACTTAGATTAATTACTTCTTCTCACAGATATTATTTTGAAAGTATGAAACCCATTTCGATATATAAAATAAATTCCATTAAGGATTGACTCTATTACAGTACTCGATATTATAAATGCAAAAAATTCTGAATCTAATCGTTCCAATCGGGCTATTAGTTATAAACGTATTACCTCAAAAGTTCATTCATCTTACGAGCGCTATTTTCTTTTACCGATTCAAGGTGCATCTTTTAGTACCATGAAATACACAACTTCAGTGATGATTCTAGGTTCCATTGAAATGTCAGAGGTTCATCGAAAATGCGTATAGTTGTTGCAAAATCGGACGAAAACATTATAGATTCTGGGGGGGAAGGATAAACGTGAAGTTTCTCGGCAGGAGTAGATTCCTTATGGGTTACGACATGTATCGATTTAGCATGCATTACGTGGCGTATTACGTTCTATCATACCCAAATTAGTCCCATGACGTAATTATAGACCTTGTAAATAGTTGTGCACCGTGCGTTACAATACTCTGCGTCAGATAATTCATAACGGACGCTCAAATTCATGATAGACATGCTTCTTGATCGTAATAGATCCAATCTAACAAAGCCTGCTAATGAAAAACAGTTGCTTGAATTCTATTTAACGAAGGACATTTCAATCTTCAAATTAAAAAAAATTTCTTTTAATAGAATTAAACGATGTATCATAATTGTGCGAAAAAAAATATATCCTTCAACGGGAAAAAGGTCACACGAAAACTCGACTAAAACGAATTGAGGTATACTATATGTATATTATAATGGTTACAACCTCGCGATATACGTGTGGTCTCACGTTTCCACGAGCCGTTTGTAAACACGCGACGAGAGCGTTGCACAACACGTATCACGAATTATTTACAAGCCAGACGGGTCATTAATCGAGCGACATTAGATAATCCAAAATTCTCTGCATTCCGATCGATTCAATGATCGCGTGGCAGTTTCTCGAAAAAAGTTGTACAACATGCGATCTGGTTAATGATCAAGTCACTGATTAACAATTACGATTACCGAATAATCTATTATTAGAACCAGCGAATGAATCAATCATGACAGTAATTATAGCTTTCAGTCATAATTTAATTTATTCACCCCTTGAGTGGAAAGGACAAATCTATTCGCCTTTTGTATAGAATTTAATGTCAGAAAAGTAGCTGTCATGTCACTGCATTTTAATGATATTATAAGAAGAAAAAACAGTCTTGTTTTTAATTGAGTTTAAAAATTGGAATTTTTTATTCAGCTTTTTCAGTCAAATATTTCACAGTGTGAAAATTCTATCTAATCATTGATCGCGACACATTAAAAATTTTTATTATGATACAACCAGCCACCTGATAGAAAGTTAAACAATTTAAACAAAGAATATATTTTTACACAAAATGTTCGTACGACTCTCTATGTATTTATTCAATGAAAAATGATAATAAGAAGTATTTACAAACATACGAGACTCACATATCGGTATATTAATAATTTCCAAATAACGACTCAAGGAGCGATCAAAAATCACCGATTATGAATTTACAGGCAATAATTACTAGACTGCGGATTTTTACACAAAAGAATAAGAATTTCTTTCTTCTCTAAAGTATTTCATTAGGTCCAGAATAAAATCGAAAACCCATCGCATCTCATGAATGTTTTGTCTTTGATTATATTCCACAAAGTCCTAGAAGCTATAAATACATAAAATCCGCAACCTAATGATTACATATAATCGTTTATAACTGCCGATCGATATCAGTGATTACTGTGACAATTACTTCCATGAATCATCGAACCCTTAATACAGTCGAAGGACGCAGCACGCCCACGGAATCATCCCCTATCTAATTCTATCCGAATTTTCACCCCTCGGCTCGGCCCGAAACGGGGGCTTTCCTCGGCTGTCGATCGAATTCACCACTAAATATAGATTTGACGAAGAAAAGTGAGAAACGTTCGGCTGAGGTGGCGGTGGGGCACGTTGGCCCGCTTCTGAATTTCATGGCGTATTATCCGCGCCCGCTTGGGCCGGTTACACGGACGCCCAGTCGCCATTTGTACGCGGCGCGGCGAACTGGAAATAAAGCATGACGACGGGACGTCGTCTGGCCGTCGGTTCAGACGTCACTTTATCGCGTGAATAATCCGTGGAAGCGTCCTTTAAGCGGTTATTAACGTAATATCTTGGACGAACACATGCACAGAGTCGTGATAGTATTATACAACACGTCAGTGGAACAGTCTTCTTGAGATCGTCGTCGAATGCAACCAAGAGTGATTCACACCGAAGCAATCTCTGAAACTTCTGTTCTTCGACAGTTTTCTGTGATCGTGGTTATCATTTAATCGTAGTTTCGTCAGTTTTGTACAAGTTGTTCTAGTGGAAGTTAGTGTTATCTTTGAGGTGGATTCGTGTAATCGAGACGAGCAAGCAGAAATTGCGCAAGAATTGGAAACAGACACGGATAGATCGTTGTTGGGGGATCTGTCCCTCGGTTTTCTCGGTCACAACGGATCACGGCATGTCGATTGGCAGTACGTAACACAGATTCGAATTTTCAACGATGTTTTTCTTTTATGTTCGGTTGTTTATTGGGTTAGGGGGATTGTGTGCCTACCTGCACGGTTTATTGGCTTAAATATTATGACCGCCTGGGCAGGCTGTCTCTATCATCGATCGATGGCGAAAGCGTGTTTCGGTGCACGTGTGTATCTGTCGGCGGCGTAGCGTGGTTAAACTGTAACGTGCCGAACGAGGAACCGAGTTCCCGTCGATTGAGGGGTGCAATTATCTGCCGCGGACTAGTTCGCGACTGTTGATAGGAAATTGGCGAGTTTGAGCTTTCGTGGCCTCTGAAAATGGTGATTTTCGTTTCGTTGAAACTAATGTGTATTATATGCTTTCTTTTGCATAGAGCTGATAAATTTGGAATCGTGAATTAAAGTGTTTTTTTCGCAAACTCTGAAAATGGTGATTTTCGATTTATTGAAATTAATGTGTATTATATGCTTTCTTTTGCATAGAGCTGGTAAATTTGAGACCGTGAATTAAAGTGTTTTTTTTACAGAAAATATTTAGGGGTAAACTTTAGCTTAACCCTTTAGGGTCCAAAGTATTGTAGGCCTTCCACTCGGTCATTTATACAGAGTGCCTCATTTTCGTTTTTTTTTTCAAATGCTGTTATTGTCTCGAAGTTTTCAAGGTCACCGGTGTTTTTTTAAATAACTATATACTTTTTCAAGATTACAAGATAGTACATATCTGTAGTCGACATGGGGTCTGCAAAGGGTTAAGGGCGATAGAATGCTAGATCGAATTGAAACACTAATCTTCGATTAGTATTAGGTATCTATTAATTGGTATTATGGTGGTTAAATTGAAGTTATTAATTTAATTTTTAAGCCTTAACGTGACTGTCTTCGATAGATAGTAATGAAGTATTCTTGTATAGTACTTGAAAGAGTGGTGAAAGATTACACAACTGACTTCCAAGTATGTACTGACAGCAGTAGTTGGTTCATAGTATACATTCACAATCAATAATTTCTAATTATGTCTGTTCTACACCAAATACAGAAATATACGGTATATAATTAGCACAATTGCACTTTGCATAACCCGTTATATTTATGTTTCTACCGTGTCTAAAATTAGGATCGTAAATCACCGGGGTTAAAGTTCAATGGATCGATTTTCAATTGCAGAACGCGAAGATTTAATCGCGACACGTGATATAAAAGTCACTGCTTCTGCGGTAGAATTCTTGTGGACTGAATTTCCATTAATGGAAGTGAAATATCCATCGAACGTACGGTGGCGTTTTATTGCATCGAAATAAAATTTCGATTGTATTCCAATGTAACTTTCGTCCATCGCCCCAAATTCGTAGAATTTTCGATGAACCTTTGTCGACCTTCTTCTTCGATATTTTCTCAATGGAATCCAGAATAGTATATATTCAGGCGTAGCAAATGGATAAAATCGCCGATCCAAAGGATCGTAATCTCCGCCTCAATACCTCTGATACCATTTTCTCCTAGTTCTATACGTAATATCGTCTTCGACCTAGATCAGAAACTAATTCTAAACCCGCTCAAAACCGGAAGAATATTTAAATTTCCGCATTGCAAATAGATAAACTCGTCGATCCAAAGTATAATAATCTCGAATTCGAAACCTCTGGTACAATTCCTTCCAAGTTCCATACGATACCTCACATTCGTCCACATGGAAACAAATCCCCCCCCCCCTGAAAAAGGGCGGGAAAACGTTAAAATTCAAAACTAAAACACAACCAGTTAATGATAAAGGCATAGAATACTTAATTTATACATCTAATAATTTCTCTGCGCAAGATTGCGACACCGAGCGCGACCGTTCGATCCGCATTGTAATCATATCGGAACATCGTGTCTGCCAAGGGGCCAGACGGAGGGTGGAAAAAAAGGCGCGATGGCAAAGACGCGACCGCGAGGAGCAATGAACCCACGGGGCAGGCTCGATTCTCTCTAGCCAGCGAAGAAGACGACGAAGACGACGAAGAAGAAGAAGAAGAAAACGGGTGTATTATTCTTAGGTGCGGCGTGCGCGCCGCTTTTCGGGCTAGTCGTCGATTTTCGTTCCTGGGTCGGCATCGCCTCGGTTTCAAGCCGCATGCGTCGAGGCGCCTCGCCAAGACGAAAATTCAAAGCTAACCGCACGCTATTACGCTACCCCTCGTCTAATAACGTTTCGAACCGCGAACGCTGCTGTTTAGCTTGACCGTGCCGCGCCATACTGTTGTCCGATTTCCACGTCGATCTCTCCCCGGCCGTTTCGCGACAGAACAAGATCGATAACCGGGCGAACCAACGAAAATACAGAGGGATAACAGGGAGATTTATCGTGATAATCGATTATAAATTTAATCACGACGATCCTGACGATTCGCCGCGGATAGGTACGATCACAGGGATACACAATATCTCCTCGATCGATCGCGATCGATCCTTGAATCGGAGGGAATAAACGTTCCTGGAAATTTTAAATGCTTCGATCGAAGAAGGTTTTTCTTCGATTCGTTTAGTGGTTTCTGGTGATTGGAGTGGTCGGTTGGAACAGTGCTCGTTCGTACGATTCCGTGGATCGTTTTGTTTTCGGAACCTTGGTGGATGATCCTTGAAGAAAGTGAACCGTTTCCGTTCGTGTTACGGAAATATCCCGGCGAATGATCTTGCCGCTATGATATGGCCGGAGCACATTGGGCCGAGTCACATGCCCGCATAAGGATTGCATCACGTGGACGGGGATACTTCCGCTACCGGCGATTACGATAACACTTGTTCCGGAATCGTGTTTCGATAAATGCACACAAGCATATTGCTCTTTCATCCTGAGTCTTGATAATCAGGTTTCAGTACTTCGAAAGACGAATGTGTTTTCATCACCTTTTTAGTCGTCTTCATCAAATCTTGAATCTGTCGAAAAATTCGTAAAACGGTCCAAATGATTTTTTCGAAATCAAATATCTTCACATATCTTGGACATACTCTCTGAAAAGTTGAGCAATGTTCCTAAAACATTGATAGAAAGATCTTTTCGAAATATTCAGATATCGTCAAATATCTTCGACATACTTTCTGGATCATTAACAAGAAAAGCTGAGCTTAACGAAAAGTCTGTAAAACGTTCCAAAAAATCTGTTTGATGTCTTGAAATATCTTCGACAGTACTTCCTATATCACTACTAAGAGAAGTCGACGAGAGGTTTATAAATATCCTCCGACATAATCGTATTGTCCACTCACGAGAAAGGTTATGCAAATTACCCAACGCTGAGTGCATCGTTCGAATATCTTCAAGCACGCTTTTTACAATTATCCGAAGCAGAAGTTCCGTGGAATGTTTTAAAAATATCCTCTGACATCAAACGTTATCGCATCCCGGAGCACATTGTAATAAAAGTGACTAACGCTGAATACATTATTAGCATCTCGCTCTAATCTGTATCAGTCGGTGAAACGATACACCGACGAATGTACATCTCATAAAACTGTCTCGAATATACATATACCGTTCTGGTGATTGCACCTCGTGTAAAACACACCGTACAGTATTAGCGTCGATGATGTCACCGCGCGAAAAGAATTCTGACAGCGTGTACGAAACTTGACATTGACACCAGCGAACCTTCCTCTGTACTTTGGAATCGTGGTCGCTTCCGGTTCGATTCGACACGCTCGATGCACTCGTACCATGAAATTTCTTACTTTCGACATTTTTATCGCTACCATCCTCAGTCCCCCAAATTTCTCAGGATTACCAAACCAACGAAAAAATACTCCGAAACCTTTCGCCTAATTCGATTTCGTCGATTTATCTCATTCAGCGGACACAGCAATTCCTACTCGCCAAGACTAATCAGTAGATCGTGGATGTTTATGTATATATAGCATCTCCTAAATTGCAAAACATATTCAAACAAAGATTTGAATAAAGTTTAATAAAATTTACGTATTATTATTACCGTAGTAAGGTCTCTAATACAGCATTCAAAGTTCTATCCAGTTTTAATATTTACATATTAGTATTCAGAATTGTGAATTTGCATAAAGTTCCGCAGTCCACTGATCAAACAGCGTCGGTTTATCGTTGATGTCATTGTTGACCAACCAGAAACACGACGAAAACACGATTGCACCCGCTTTATACGAGCCACAAACGACAAAGACGTGTGTGTGTGTGTGTGTCTTTGGTTGCGACATCCCTCTCACGACACGCTATATCGACGATGTTGTCATTCTTGTGAAAACACTTGGCAATAACATACCAACGAAAAACATTCTACGATTCACACTCGCGAGCACAATGGAACCAAATGGACAGAGTAACCTATACGAATCCTTGACGGTCGTATCCATCATCCACCAGGATAGGGATCCAATGACAAGTCTGACGGAATCGTTAGTCTTGCACTGCTTCCAATTCAATATATCGTTTCGAGGATCGAGATAAAGAACAGCATGAGATAAAAATAGGCCTGGACAGTCGCTAGCAAAAGAATAATTTCGAATCTAACAACTTCTCGAAACATTCTCTCGCACACGGACACAGAGACCGTCTACTTTTAGCCAAAGCGTCCTCCGCTCTGGCTGGAGGGAAGCCAGCTACGGCCGAACCAGCGACACGCATTTCCGATTCTAAAATTGTCCTACCTCTGCCTCGAACAATTCCTTAAGGCCGCGACCGATCAATCCGAGTTATTCCCTTCTCTCCATTCTTTTTTTCCTTCAGCTTCGTCCACTTCTTCGATCGTTCCTCTCTACTAGTCGGGTTCCTTTAAGTCACCCAACGCCTGGCTTTGGACGGATCTCGGGGCTGGCACGCATTATTCGAGACCCTGCTCGAACAGGAAATATGCTAAATTCTATTTTTACACCGCGACGCGCCGTGCAGAAGTATGCTCGCTAAAGGGGCAAATCGTTTTTCCGTTAGTGAGCCAGCGACCGAATTTGCTGACGGCTCTACGTTGGTATTTCGACGGTCAGTAAACATTCGCTGTGAAATCTATTCGGAACACGCGTGTACTCGCCTAGAGGTGTGGGGGTGGACACGTAAGTTGTCACGATCTTTGAAGTTCCTTGGCCTCGCGGGGCTCTTTGGCGTCGAGTTTTCGACGCAGTATGATTCTAACGTTCCGATGTCCGTTTGACAGGTCCTGGTGATCTAGGATATACCGTTTACGCTTTAAATATGATCGATGTTGTGATGGGATTCGTGAGTCTCGTTTGTTTTTGACACGTTCACTGTTTGGCACGTGGAATCTGAAAGATCCATATCGTCTCTAGACAATTGAATTTTTAATAATGAATTTTTTCGTGTATGTTCTTTTTATTATAGCGTGCGTAATAGCGTCAATAGGATGCATACCTTAAGTAGGTGGCACTCAACGTTTTGGAATTGATCTACCTCATTTAAATCGATGCATAGAGAGTCTTTTGAATAGATATACAGGGTTAGACAAAAAGTTACAAAATCATATAAAGTTTGAAGTATTTATTTCATCCCTCAGTTATACCTTAGTTTTCCCACAATCGTGGACGAAAAGCAGAACCCTTCATTGTGGGGACGTAATGTACCATGCTAGCTAAAAGAAAATTCAGAAGATGATAGTTACACCTTCCTCCCATCATTCTACCCTACAAAAAAACAGAATATTCTATATTCTTTTCTATACTGAAAAGAAAAACCTTTCTTTCAATCATCACTGTACTTTATAAATTCTCGAGCACATACCAGTAGCACTTAAATCTACCCAGGAGTAAATTTCGATAAGAGGATAGGCAATACCGCTAATTTATCACGATCGATCTATCCACCCAATCATCTACAATTCTACGTATCATGTGCTTCATGAAACAATATATCACCTACCTGAAAATCATACCAATCCTCCATGATACACCGCGATAAATCGTGATGGAATCGCGAATGAGAACGAATCCGGTCCTTCCAGGCTCGTCGACTCCCTGCAGACGAAATCCCAGAAGGCGGACGAGGACTTGGAGGCGTTCGAGAGCACCGAGCGTGAGATCGAGCACCTGAGGAAGCGTCTGAACGAGGCGCGTGATCGCGCCTCGAGCCTCCACGTGTTCGGCCCGGACCAGGACGCGACCGAGGAGCAGTTGGAAGAGCTACGGACGACCGTCGAGGATCTCCTCGACACCGCGAAGAAGTTCGCCGGAAGCACTAAGGCGCGGTACCAAGCTAGCCAGCAGCTTGTCCCGAGTGATCTAGCCCAGCACCTGACCGGCCTAGAACTCTGCGCGGAGGCAACCGCACAGGTGATGGAGGAGAAACAGAGGGAACAGAAACGTGCCAGAACAGTCAGGTCGGACTATTTGACCGACCTAGACGAGGTTCAGGCGTGGATACGACAGGCCGAGCTGAAGGTTCAAGACCGTTCGGTCGAGCCTGGCCCTCTGAAGGAGCAATTGAAACAGGTACAGGATGAATTGGGCACGATCACCGACAAGCTCGAACGACTAACGAGAAACGGGCGCACGATCGCCGAGAACACGAGGGACGACACCGAGAAACAGCTGATCGACAGCACCGTGCACAACGTCACCGAACAGTTGAATCAGGTCAGGAATTGGCTGGACGAGAGGAAACAGGTGGTCGCTGACACGATCGACGCCTGGCAGCGATTCATGACGTTGTACGAGGCGGTCAAGGCGTGGACCGAGGAGAAGAAACAGTTCCTAGTTGAGCCGTTGAAGCTCATCACCCTCGTGCAGGCCAGACAGAGGCTGCACGAGTATTCGGTATGTGGAGGACTGTGATCGACTGGACGGTTCTTTGGATCCTCTTCCTGAAGACAGGTGGACGTTTCTTGGTACATTCAGTTTTTGGGGTGGTTCAGATAGGTTAGGGCAGGGGTGGCCAACGTATGGTGTATTTCATCAGAATGATTTCCTTCCCTAAGCGTAGCAGATCCTACCTCTATCCCTATTTTCCAACCCCAACCATGAACGTAAGATGGTAGAAAAGATGCTTGAGTTTGAAATTGGCGCATGGTATGTAAAGCGTTGGCCACCACTGGGTTAGGGAATCATGGTAAAAATCAGATATCCAAAAGTGGAATTCGAAATTCAGCCAGCTCGGATAGACACGTTTCTCTGGATCTTCGGTCAGAGGATCGATAACAGATCCGTTCAGTGATCAGACACTCCAAAGAAACAACTCACCGACGACTCTGCTAATCCACGAACCCATTTGATGCCGCGTTACAGACAGCCGTGAAGAGCTGCAAGCAGATCAACAAGAATCTCAGCGACATGGGCAAAGAGCTCGAGAGTATCGGTCAGGTTTGCAGCGTGGGCGATCTGCCCGAGAAGCTGTTGGAGGCGGAGGAGGCTAAGGTGCACGTGGAGGGTCAGCTGTTGGAGAGGGTTCGTGTCGAGTCTTTCGAAAACTCGATCTAATTTGGGAGCGCGTCAGAGATACAGTGTCCAAGAACAAAAATTGTTCCTTTCAGAACGCTCTGCTGCAAGAGACCAGCGAGGAATGGGAGCAATGCGAGAGGAAGATGAAGGAGGTGAAGTCGTGGATCGAGAAGGCGAGGCAGAGCCTCGAGTCGCCTCAGGGCAAGAAGAAACCGCTCAGGGATCAGCACAGCGTACGGGAAAAAATGCTCAGCGACGTAGCGATACAAAAGACCAAGATCAGTATATCGATGGAGAAGCTACAGGTACACTTCCGATCCGGGATCGGCGGTGACAGTCGGATCGGGGAAACCGTGGACGAGCTTCTGGCCGAACTGGACAGCCTTCATGGAACCGTGAAAGAACAGGCGACGTCGTTGGAGGCCTGCTTGACACAGATCGATCAGTATCAACAGGTTAGGGGCTGCCTTTGCCTGTCGACCCAGTGCCCGCCATGATCTGGCGCGCTTGGATCTTCTTGTCTCTGGCCTGTATTCTTTTTGGGACGCGATTACCGATCCGTCTGAAGCTCCCAATCGACAAGTATTTCGAGGATTTAGAAGTTGATCGTAGGATTTGTTCTTGATTCTATTGATTATTCGTAGGGTACAATTCTTGAAGGACAAATTATTAGCCTCTCAGGGACAGGACTAATCAGACGATGTTTTATACATCGTTTTTAACCTGTAGACGTGAACATTTCGTAGAATCTCAATTCATTGATATTTCGGAAATATTAAGGTTGAGAATATTACGGAAACTGGAGTTATACAGGGGGTCTCGTGTAAGTGTGATAACCCGAATATCTTCTTTAATTGTAAAAACCTAAAAAATATACAATTAATACCATCTAAATCACGTATAAAATATTTTTAGCGTTTTCACAGTTAACAAAGACATTCAGTGGATCACACTTAAGTGAAACATTGTTCTGAAACACATAAAATTACAACTGGGTCTTTCAATTTTGACTGAAGAGGAGTCTCTAGCTCTACCTTCGCAGCAAAATGTAAAAAAAATTAATATTGTCCATGTTGACTATTGGGTTAAAAGCAAGGAGGATCGGTAATCGTGGGCACGGTTCCCGAAAGGAGCACAGCTGAGACGTACGTGTCTGTAATTCCAGGAGATACAGCAGCTGCGACAGCAGATCATGCAGGTGGAGCAGCAACTGAGGACGGTGCTCAGCCCGACGTACCTGTCCGCGGACAAGGAGAAGGCATTGCAGGAGCAACAGGTAGGTTCGCTTTGGTCCCACCTTTTCATCACCTGCACAATTGCGCTACAAGCAGCAAGTTGATTTTTTGCATTTGCTCGATACCAACTGAAGACCACCACCAGGATATATAACCTTGTCTCACTTCCGGTTCTCCGAGGGGCGTACGTCCACGCTCGGGGGGATGATAGTTTCTCTCTCCTTCGACACGCGCGAATTTCTCTGTACTACCTGCACGCCAGAGAGCAATGACTAACAAATTAACCGTCGACCGAGCCACGTTAATCACCAGACTGTGGATGTTCGCGTGAATTCACGCGTTTATAAATAATTTTGCAGAGAACAAAAACAAATAGTTATGTTATATTTAATCTGCTGAAGAACTTATTAAGGAAGGCTTTTCTTAAGTTTTGTTTTATAAATGAAGAAAATCCGCAGTCTGTTAACCATTAACCACGACAGGGCGAACTACTAAAATACTCATTGCCTGATTAGTCGTTAAACCGTTTCTTTCGTTTTTAAATTTGTCGAAATTCGTGTTGAGTCAATCTTGTTTAACAGTCAGTAGAATGAAAATTTTAGTCGTACATAATTGAAAGAAAGTTATTCTCATAATTAGTTTCTTAAAAAGAAAAATTACACGTTTTGTTGTAGATGTCTATATATTATAATCTTCTGCTCTCGGTTTGAATGAATTTAAATTAAATAAAACTCTGAAGAGAAAACTGTTTTGAACTTATGAATGGGGAAAGAAAACATTTTCAATTTTTACAAGTCAATTTATCAAAATTTTATGTTTTCGCATCAGCAGTCGAACAAAAGAATCTAACATACTGACAAAAATATCGCCCTGTCACTGGAAACATTTTGATGCCTTCGGAGGTCCCATTTACGGGGAGACAGAGGTCGAAATAAAAGTTCTCCTCAATCACAAGCTTATGATCAAGGTGTTTCCATTCAGTTCACCCCGATCCAATTTTAATCTTCATTTTTAATTCCACGCGATCCTTTCCATTGAAGCTTTCCGCCTTAACAGCAAGCTTACCGATCGACGTTTTAATTTCATCCAAAAATAAATTCGACTCGCGACGAAAATAGCCTGGATCCCATTAACAAACTTTAACCGCAACCTTCTTCTGTCCCCCTTTCTCTCTCTCTTGATTTATTTCTTGCATTCGATACACTCATGCTTGCCAAGCTTCTCAAAAAAGAATTCGTGATTCGTAATCAACGATCGCCGTGAAAATTGCATCGACGATCGATCGTTCCCTCAAAAATTCGATCGAACGATCCGCTCCGCGAAGCATGTTATCATCGTGGTGGTAGATTTCTTACGGGGTACTGGTTGGTATCACGCTCTAACTAAGGTTTTCTCACACTGTTCTGTCTTTGTAACCCTTTCGTTACTATCAGCGACCATGATCGGCCGCCTGAAAACTATAATAGGTCACTAACCATGAAAATACAGCTTTATACTACTGAACCCTTTGAGTATCAATTTACTTGAAACAAAATTTTGCATATGGAACAGATTTAATTTTTTGGAACTCGCCAAAAAATAAAAATAATTTCACTACTTTCAGATGAACAAGAATGTACATATTAAATATTGTCTTGACTAGAATGACGATTTAGATTCGACATCTTGCACCTAGGCAACACAAATACATGACTAGTCTCAGTCGTCAAATGTACCCAAGGGGTTAAAGTAGATTAAATATCACATTCTATTAAACTAACTTTTCACTCTAGAATATTAATTTTGTTTATTCAATAATTCTTTACAATCTAATATCTAAACGTACAGAAGTCTCGTATATGACCGTAACGAAAGGGTTAAATCAAACGAGACCAGGTCTCGTCGACCGTGTCACACACTCACGCACGTGTCCTGTCTTTCTTTAGCAAATTTAGTTTCTTTTTCTTTCTGTTCTGTTCTCTGTTCCGTGTATCATCTTTCTAACGACACACACACACACACACACACCAGGTCACATGTATATGTGTTGTTCTACCGAGAGGGGATTACTTGATTTTGCTTGTTTTTTTTTTCTTCATTTTCTTTTCTGTGTAATTCACGTGTTTCTCTGTTTCTTTTATCTGTATCTCGCCGTTCACACACACCGACGTCTTAATATTGTGTGTCACACGCGACGCGAAACAACGAGAGATCGTCGCCACGCACACACACGGGGAATCGTCTGTTTACCGGGACGAACCGTCGCCAGCGGCACTGTCTATTGCAAAACTGTCTCGTCCACTCATATGTTGAGTCTTTATCAAACTCACACAAACACACACACGTTCACCGTAGGCTTTTTCTCGAGTGTTTTTGATCGTCACACGTATATAGCACAGCCGACGTAAAAAATATTAGCCAGCGTTCGCGCGACGAATATACGGAAGATACGCAAGAAAATCAAGTGACCTCCAGATACGCGCGTCGTGACTTGTGGAGAAACGCAGCGAGCACAAGTCGAACGAACGCCTGTTCCGAAATTTCATGGATCCCAATATATATATATATATTTCTTCTACTATTTTTTTTCTATCCTTTTTTTTCTGGTTTTTCGTTGTTTGTGTGGTTTAACGAGAATTTGGTTTCTACTATTTTATTTTTCTTTACATCCAACGCCATCGGCTATTCGATTAACGAGATTCTGTTTGCTGCGCCCCTTCATCCCCGCCACCTCCTTCAATATCCGGTTCCCGTTCGTACTTCTCTGTTACGTTCACTTTCTCTTTTCGTTCTTCGTCTCGATCATCGTTCGATTTTTCATTTTTTTTCTTTCATTTTTTTGCTTTGTCATCGTCGTCTTCTTGGCGTCCACGTTGGTTTTACTCTACCATCATCATTCCCACTCGCCCTTTTGGTTTCTTGGATCTCTGTCTCTCTTCCCCGCCTGTCGTGCGCGACGACACGCTTCTCGATCCGCGGGATCTTGGCGTCTCCATCCCTTTCGATCGCTCGCTCGGCGTGTATCGTTTGTACGAATCAGTTCTGCCGTGAGAAGATCAAGTCGTTGCAGAGCAAAATTCAGGCGCGCACGGAAAGGTCGAAGATTCTCGCGCAACGCGGCACGCCCGATCCAGAACCGTTGGATCCATGACAGTAGAGGGACGGTCGGATGGTTGACAGGCCTTCCGGACACGATACGTCCTCGTTCTGACAGCTAGTGTCGTAACGATCCTCGCGTTTACTCGTTTACTCCTGTGTACTTCCATCCGGAACGATGACAGAGTCGGTGCTGGAGGGACTAGAAGGATCTCGATACCTATTTTAAAAATCTGAGATCCTGGGAACATAAGGACTCGGGGATCTAGAATTCTGGGAAGCCTAGGACCCCAAAGATCTAAGATTCTAGGGATGTAAGGACTCGGTGACCCAGAAATCTAAGTACTCGAGAACTTAAAATCCTAGAGATCTAAGATCATAGTGGCTTCAGGACCTACAGATCTAGAATCCTAGGGATCTGAACACCTAGAAATTCAGTAAATATAGGAACCTTGGATCTTGGAAGTTGATTTAAAAATTGAAGAGCCTAGGTATCCAAGGGGCCCATAAGCACAGAATTCGTCCCCGTTCTCGGATGGAAATCGTTTTTAATACCTCAGGATCTTTTTTAGCGAAACTTTATACATAACATATACCGTACCACCATATCGAGCAAATTATCCTAAAATGTTCTATATCGATCAGTATAGAGAGCGAATCGCCTCGTGTAACGTCTACACTGTCTATATGAGTTTAAGGAGAGAATAAAGAGCCCTCTTTGCAAGCTACGAAAGAGCAAAAGGAAAACTAAAACCAAACAAATAATGGGATAACGGTGTTAAGTTCTTTTTTAATTTCTTCACCAGCCACCGCTGATCATAACGTTAATCTAGCATACACGCATACTAAAAAAAGAAAACTCTTCGGGATTAATTTACTCTCTCCCTGATCAACCCCCCAAGTGTATTCCATTGTTGTGCCTTGGCTGTTCCTCCGTGGCGGATAACGCAGAGCCTGCAGCAAAGGATGGACGATTCGAGGCAGCGGGTCAAGACACTGCTGGAACAGATATACGCCGTGGACCCGTACTATGTACAGAGCAACAACGAGTGCCGGCCGATCGCCGGTCAGATCTCGTACGCGGACATCGCGGCCGGTCGTACCAGTCCGAGCTCGAGGGGTTCTAGCCCGTTTAGAAACCCCCGGGACGAGGCTGCGCCCTCCTCGTCGTCGTCGCCGCTCGCTGTTCAGCTGTTAAGGCCGTCCATCCAGAAACCAATTGCCAGACGTGTTCAGGACGATTCACCGTCCACGAGAACCGAAGCACCAAGCATGCCTGAAGAAACAAGAATCGAGACCACGACGGAACATAAGGAACCACAAGAGCCTAAAGAACGGAGTCAACATGTGTCCAAGATGGACACGGTGAACTCCAAACAGAGACCTCAAACTAGACGAACCATTGTCAGGAAAGAAATGTCAGAACCTGCGAAGCAATCTATTAGAGACATGTCCAGGGAGAAGGAGAATGTTCCAGAGAGAAGAAGAGAACTGTTAGTACTGAAGAACACCTTGGCTCTCAAGGAAGAGAGGAGAGGAAGGTCAGCCAGTCCCATTTGGGCACCTGGATCCACTACCTACGCTGATATCCTGCGAGGACGTGCTAGTGCTTCCAGGAGTCCTTCGGTGGAGACCAGCAAGAACGCACAAACGGTGACCAAAGACGTTGATGTGGTTCGTAAGATTAGCGACACGACTGATCAACAAGTTGGAGTTCATATGCCCAAAGTGGAGGTCGAGCAGGATGTCCAGGTTCAGCAACAAATTCCAGTGGAGGAATCAAGTCACCAAGTGGTGGAGACCTACCAGCAACAATCTGAGATCGTTCCTGCTCCTATGAAACCAGAGGAGATACCAGAGGAGATCGCCGAGACCCAGAGCAACTGGGCCGACGAGCCGATCGAGGAGTACAGTCTACTGAACGAGAAGAGCTACGAGACCAGAGCACAAGTTCCTGAGGTGTACAGTTACATTCACCCGCCGATGACCGAATTGGTGGGCTTCATTGGGTCACAGATCGCCTATCCAGTAAGTTCCTACGTCTACATGCCGACTGCGCCGCCTCCGCAGGTGGCTCTACCTCATTACGATAGTCAGATACCGTTCCCATCGGAACAGTACGTCGCTCAGTCCAGTTACCTGCCGGAGACGGAGATGTATCAGCCGAATCAATTACAGAAGCATCAAAAACAGCCCAGGTATAAGAATCCCGCGAGGAATCCACCGATGGTTGCACAAAATCCGGAAGAAAAGTGTGTTCCTAGTCAAACGTCCACTACTGTGGACGTTCAGCCAGTTGTTCCATCATCAGCCCAGCCTGTGGCCCAACCAGTAGAGCCTGTTGAACCAGAGATATCAGAAGCAGAGGTTCAACGATCCGTTGCTGAGATTCCAGAGACCACAGGTGCCAAGCCTAAAGTGCAGTACGAGAGTAAGGCTTTTTCGTATGCTCAGATCCTGTCTCAGGGACTCAGTCCACGCCCAGCGACCACCACAAACACCTCGTCTCCGAGTATGACCAGTTTCGCGGTGAAACAGGTGAAAGAACGATCTAGATCTCCTATAAATTCGAGAACTTCGTCGATCCATGAGTCTACACCGCCTCGGGAAGCTAGACAGACGAGGGAATCGTCGGTGGTGAAGCAGGAAAAGCAGGAAAAGATGGGTTGGGACACTACGAAGAGAAGGGAGGCGAAGAAGGTCCAGCAGGAGGCGCAGAAATTGAAAAAGAGTCGACAGGAGACGCCTTCAGTTGAGAAGAAAGGGCGTAAAGCACCTGAACAACCGAAGGAGAAGCTGGAGAAGGAGAAGAATGGTCAGTCTAAAGTAGTCGAGGTGAAGAAAGAGGTTCGAAAGGAGGTCCCTGTCGAGAAAAAGGTCAGTCCTGTGAGAAATACAGAGGTCGAAGCTCCTAAGGAGAGGAAGGATGACGTTCAGAAGAATAAGCAAGCTGAGAAGAAAGTGGATCAGCAAGAGAAAGCTGATGGTCAGCAAGAGAAGAAGCGAAAAGCCAAGAAGAATAAGAAAATAGAAAAGGTCGATGACGAAATCGAGAAGGCTCTGAAGGAAATTGAGGATATGGACAAGCAGCGAATGAAGAATCAGAGGGACAAATCGAAGGAACAGGGTAAATCTAAAGATATTGTCGCGGCACCGGAGAAACCGAAAGAAGAAAACGAGAAGAAAAACGCGAAAGGTGACGAGAAGAAGAAACAGAGCAAGTCGAAAGCGGAATCGAAGGCTAAAGATGGAGCGGTGAACGTGGAAACAGCTGTGACTCAGCCAGAGACGAACGAACCGATTAAATCGAGAGATGAGAAGAAAGTGAAGAAGGAAGAGAAGGATTCCGAGAAGAAGAGTAAAGAGGATTCTCAAGTTACGAAAAAGGAAGAAAAAGAATTAAAAGTTGAGACGAGCGAATCGAAGAAATCTGAGGCTAAAATAGACACGGTGAGTGACACAACGTTCAAGAAGCTCGACGTAAAAGAAGAAAAAGCTCAGAAGGAATCTGGGTCAAAGAAGAAACAGAAGAATAAGGAACAAGCCAGTGTGGCGAAGGATAAATCTGCTAAAGATACTGTGAAGCCTACGAAGACTGAAAACGATGCGCAAAAAATTAAGAAACCTGCAGCTGCTGATAGTTCAATGAAAGAAGAAATGAAGAAGGAGGAAGACAGCAAAGTGGACAAGTCTAAAAGTGTTGAGAATGTTCCAGTTAAGAAAGTAGAGTCTGCGAAGACTACTGATGGACCAGCTAAAGATGACAAAGTACCCGAAAGTGCAGTGGAACAGAAAGATAAAGTACAAAATGAACCTGAAGGTAAAACTGATGGTAAAGTTGAGTCACAGAAACTTGAGGAACAGGATGCATCGAAAACAGTGAAGGAAAATACTAAAGGAAAGGGTAAAAATGCGAAACAAGGGAACGAGCAAGAGCCCTTGAAAGATCAGACACATAAAAAACCGACTCAGCAGAAAGATCTAGATGAGAAGAAATCAGAGCAATCTAAGAAGGAAGAAATATCTATAGAAGGTGCAAAAGAATCAAAGTGTATGAAAGGCAGTAAACTTGGAGAAAAGGAAGAATTGGGAGCAGAGGGAGGCGTAAAAGAGCAAACAGATCGAAAAGATAAGAAAATTGTGAAGGAAACAGTGAAGAAAAAGGATGAAGAAATGAAAAATATGGATCAGAAGAAAGATAAAGTTCAGGTAGAGAAAGAGTCGAAAATGGACATCGAAGAACAACAGAAAGCCGTAATTAGTGAGCTAGATCGTGCAATAGAATCTGCGATTGGAAAAGTTGAAAATGTTGATTCAAAGGAAGAGTCTGTAAAACCTGAAACGCCAAAAGAAGAAAGTACAGTGAAGAAAGAAGTAACACATAAAGCTGAGAAAAAGGAAGATAAATCTTCCGAAAAAAAATTAGACGATACCAAGGACTCGAAAACAGAATTAAAGACAGAAGAGACAAAGAAAGCTGAACCAGAGAAACAAGCTAACGTTAAAGGAGGAAAGAAATCGAAGAAAGGGCCTGCAATCGAAACGAAACAAGTTTCTGAAAAGGAAGTTCACACGACTGTCGAGAAACAATTGAGTCAAGAAGAAGAATTGAAAAAAGAAAGTTTGCAATCTGAAACAGTAGTTGAAAAGAAAAAAGACTTAAAGTCCCCGCCAGCAACAGAGGAAAAAGTAACATCCAAGAAGAAGGATAAGAAAGTAGCAGAAGAAAAAAAGCAACCGGAAAAGAAAGTCGAAACACAAGTATTAATGACTAAAACGGAAGAAAAGCTTGATATTGTTGATGACGATAAACAAACATCTGCGAAACAGGAAGACAGTAAAGTTTCCTCTAAAGAAAAATCGATTTCTGAGGATGTTACACCTGAGAAGCCGAAAGAAGATACTACTAAACAAATAGAACAATTAATTGTTTCTAAAGATAGCGTTGAAAATGTTGTCACTTTAATTCAGACTGAAGAAGAGCTTAAAGGAATGGTTGCCAACGCACCAAGTGAGCCCGATGTTCAAACGAACGTAGAAATAACAACTGAAAAAGTTGTTCTTCAAGAGAAACCAACAGAAACAGCTGCTACACCTGACAAAAATGACAAGGAGGCTACCTTGCCTAGGTTAGAACCATTACAAAAGTCGGAAGACAAAGTTACTGATAAAGTTACCGTAGAAGGAAGAAAGGAAAAAGTCCCTGTTCCTCCTGAAGTGCCTCAGAAATCTACTACAGAAGCAAATACAGATAAACCAGAGACTCCTGAGAAACAGAAGAATCTTGGGACACCGTCCAAGATCAAGAAACCGAACAAGTCGAAGGAGCAAGTCGTGATCGAAAAGATCGAGCCAACTTACGTAGTCGAATCGAAAGAAGAGCCTAAAACCAGCCAACCAGGTACACCAAAGCTAGACAAGAGAAAGAATAAGAAACAGGATAGTAAAGATAACGATTCACCTGTGTCTCCAAGTAAAGACAAACCAACTGTTACTGAAATTAGTGAAAAAGTATCCGAACTAAAACCAAGTAAAGACACGATAAAGACTGAAGTTTCAAAAACAGTAACCAAGAAAGAAGAAATGTCACCCAAAGTAGAAAAGGAAGAGAAATCTCTCGTTGAAGGCAGTAAGAAGGAATCTTCAGAGCATCCTCTGTCTCCAGAAGCATCACCAGTATCAAAAGATAAACCTCCATTAACCGAACCTACGAAGAAGAGGTCGAAACCCATTGCTAAGACCAGCGAGTCACAATCAAGTGTAGAGCAACAAAAACCTGAAGAAAAGTCTCCCACTGTTAAAAAGGAGTGTCCAAAACTTCCTGCCCCACCGAAAGAACCTTCCAAAGATGTGACATCAATGTCAAAAAACAAATCATCTATAGTGTCCAAAAAGGAACCCGCAAAGAAAATCTGCAAAGAAGCTAAGTCGCGATCAGATGTGACGAGCTCAGAGACAGAGAAGAAAGAAGAAACTTTGAACCATTCTGAGTCGTCGTCCGAGGAGTCATCGGCTGCTGGGAAAGCATTGATCATCGAGAAGATGGTGACCACCGTGACCACGACCACAAGCATCCCTGGCTCGGTCGAAGTGAAACCACCCAATGTAAAATCCGTGAAATCCGTCGAGATCTTAGAAAGCATCCCTTTACCCAAGATCGTAGGCTCCAAACCCACCGAACTAATCACCCTGCGTCCCGAAACCGTAGAGGCTAGTCTAACCACCAGATATGCTAGGGTATCGGATGATTCAGTCGGTGTACCGCCAAGAGGCTCGTTAGAGACGTTAGCGGACACTGGGAACACGGAACCGGATTATGCGGTCTATATCGAGAGTCTCGGGGAAAACGATCAGCCGGTTCTGTTCGGTAGCGTTCAGGATAGGAGAAGGGGTCGTTCCGGAACACCTTTGTCGCCTAAGTTGGTAGAGTGCTCGAGGGACGAGAAAGATTTCGATGGTTCGACGAGGGAACAGAGGTTGGATCTGAGGGATTCCGTGGGTAAATTAAACGATGGTAATGTTGAGGATGGTAGAGAATGTTCTAAGAAAGAAAGTAAAGATTCTGGTGTGAAGAAGGGTGACGTTGGGGCAAAGAAAGAGGGGGTTGAGTCTGAGAGTGTTGTAACGATGAAGGAATCAGGTAAGATGGTAGAGGAGGTGTGTGGTAAGAATTCTGTTGCGAAGGAAGAAGACAAGAAAGAATTGTCTGAAGATGAGAAGAGAGTAACTGTGGTTGAAGTTAAGAAACCTGGCGTTGGGAGGCAGCAAGGAACTGCTGCGAAAGATAGGGTTTCTGGGTCTGAAGCAGTTTTCGTGGAAGGAATTAGTGGTAAGGATTCGGCTGTTAAAGAATTGGTTAAGGAAGAAAAGAAAAGGGAGTCTGGAATCGAAAAGAGTGAAGAGACCAAGGTCGAAAAGCAAGTAACTTCAGTGGAAGAGAAGAGTCTTGTAACTGAAAGTCAAAAGAAAGATATCCCAAAAGCTGACGATTCTAAACCTGAAGAAAGTAATGCTTCTTCTTATTATTACGAAGACTTGGTTAAACCGTATTGGTCGACGAATTATCATTCTTATACCGAAGCAGAAAGTAACTTCCATCAATGTTTTAAAGTGGTGGAAGTGGTGCAAGAAAATGTTCCTGCTTCTCAACCACCAAGATCGAAGAGTATTGAGAGGATTGTTCAGGAATCGGTCATGAAGAAGCCTGAGCAAAGGGGAGAAAAGAAAGAAGAAATGGTACAGACTGAGGTAGAGGTTAAGAATCTTTCACTTGTTGAAGAATCTGTTAAGAGTCCTCTGGCTACGTTCTGCGAGTTAGACTCCCAGTTGGTGAAGTCAAAAACGTCTGAAGATAAGATTATAGTAACTTCAGAAGAAAGTAAATCTACGGGTGTTGCTGATGTTGAGAAGAAAGCTATGGAACCTAAAGAAGCAGAAAAGCAGTCTGTGAAATCAGACATTGATAAAAATGAAAAGATTGATAAATTGGATGAAGTACCTCAGAAATCTTCAGACGTTAAAGAAATTGTTAAAACGACAGAAGATAAGATTTTGGATGAAACACCACAAAAGCCTAAAGACACTGAATGCAAGAAAGTTGAAGTATTACAGAGTACTAACGCCTCAATTCAGCCTCTTGTTAGCAATGTAAATACAAAGGCTGACACAGAAAGTAAAGATAAAGGGCCAGTGACAGAACAAAAGCAAGAAAAGGTGACAGAAAAGTCGGAAGGGAAGAAAGAAAAGACGAAACAGTCTGCGACACAAGAGAAACAAGAGAAAGCAGTTTCTGAGATGTCGATCGTGGTAACTGAGAAAGAACAGAAGCTCGAAGTTCAAAAGAAAGCAGATGATATAAAATCAGAAATGAAAATAGAGGAAGTTAAACAGTCTGTAGTTCAAAAGAAACCAGAGGAAAAACAACCTCAGGTTCAAAAGGGGCAAAAGAAAAAGCAACCTGAAGTACAAGGAAAACAAGACAAGGAAGAGTCTGTAATTCAAACCGATCAACCTGCTGGTCCAAAGGAAGAGGCAAAGGAACAACCCGAAGTTCAAAAAACAGAAAAGAAGGAAGAACCTATAGTTCAAACTGAACAGGTAAACAAACAACTTGCGGTTCAGAAGAAACAAGAGAAGAAACAGGTTGAATCTAAAGAAAAACAGGAGAAGAAGCAACCTGAAATTAAGAAACAGGAGGAGAAACAACCTGAAATTAAGAAACAGGAAGTGAAGCAACCTGAAATTGAAGATAAACAGGAAAAGAAACAGCCTGAAGTTGTAGACAAATTAGAAAAGGAGCAGCCTGAACCTCAATTGAAACAGGAGAAGCAAGTGTCTGACGTTAAAGACAAACAAGAAAAGAAACAACCTGAACAACAAACAAAACACAAGGAGAAACAGCCTGAAATTCAAAAGAAACAAGAGCAGAAGCAAACTAAACCTGAAGAAAAACAAGAAAAGGAGCAGCCCAGCCCTAAAATGAAACAGGAGAAAAAACTGCCTGAGGTCGAAAACAAACAGAAGAAGAAGCAGCCTGAACCTCAAACGAAACAGACACAACCTGAAACTCAAGAAAAACTAGAGGAGAAGCAATCTGATCTTGAAATGAAACAGGAGAAGAAAATGCCTGAGGTCAAAGACAAACAGGAAAAGAAGCAGCCTGAACCTCAGACGAAACAGAAAAAGAAACAGCCTGAAATTCAAGAAAAACAAGAAAAGAAACAATCTGGTCCTGCAGAGAAGCAGCAGGAAAAGCAGCCTGAAATTGTAAAGAAAGAAGAAGAAAAAGTACCTGAGGTTCAGGAGAAGCAAACAAAAAAACAACCCGATGTTAAAATAAAACAGGAAAAACAACAGCCTGAATCTCAAGAGGAAGAAGAGAAGAAGTCTGATATTCAAGAGAAGCCAGAAAAGACTGAAGAGAAATCGAAAGGAAAGAAAGAAAAGAAGAAGGCTGCAGCAAAAGAGAAACAGGATGAAAAGTCACGACTCAAAATGGAGAAAGAAGAGGTGCCTGAAACTCAAGTCGAGAAAGAAGACAGTAAAGTGATTGCATCCACAATTGAACATCAAGTGGTGCCAATTAAAGAAGAAAATATCAAAAGTCCAGTCTTGAAACAAGAAGACTATGAAAGTACTACGAAAGTACCAACGGAAGATGAAGAATCAAAAGCAGAAAATACCATGAAGCCTTCACTTCAGAAGTCCACTACCATCGATAAGACGAAAACACCTGAAAAACTAATAAATGGTAAAGTATTACAGCAAGGACCGGCGTCTAAAGCTGGAGATGAAAGTGATCCTGCATCTCCAATAAAAGAAGACAAGGCTAAACCTTCAGACAAGTCCAGATCCAAAGAAGATGCAAAGGCCCAGACACAATCTGAAAAACAAAAGCAACCAACAAAAGAGAAGCCTGGAAGTAAATCGAAACCAGTCGCAGCAGAAAAGGACTTGAAGAAACAAGATAAGGCTGAAGTCAGTTCTCCAGAAACGAAGAAGAAACATGATGGCAAATCTAAGAAAGAAAATCTTCAGTCTGTAAGTTCTTTCGAGCAAGACTCCAAAGCAGAAACTAATCAAGAAGCTCAAAGTGGGAGTTCTACGACAGAAAGTAAGAAAGAGGAAAGTCCATCTGAAGTGAACATTCCAAAAGAAGATATTCTTCACCCACCTGCATCCACCAAATCTTGGGCGTCTATTGTAAGTATGAAGGAAACCATGGAAACAACCGATATTCCTTCAGACAACTCACAAACTAAAGTGACCAGTGTGTATCAAGAGTCAGTAGTTGAAAGTACGAAGGCAGAAAAAATAGGCCAGACAGTAGAAGCCATGCCCGAAGAACCTCAAAGCCCTTCAACCCAACAGAAACCACCAAAACATCAAAAGAAGAAAGATGCAAGGCAAGAAATAATTACTGAAGTCAAAGTATCTTCCCCTATGACAGAAACCGAGAAGGAGAGTGTGAAGACCATTCCAGAAAAGATTGCAGAATCGAGGACCGAAGATATATCTGCCAAGGACTCTAACAAATCGTATGCTCAAATTGCAGCCAAGACTCGAGGGACTCCTCCTCCGGGTGTTCAAGAAGACATCCTACTGATCAAACCAATTCCACTGAAATCTGATCTGGACCTGAACAAAATGACAGAAGGTACCCAACCTGTATTACAAGAGACAAGAATTACCGAATTCAATGTACAGGAAGTGAAAGAAGAAGCTAAACCTGAAGCAGTTATTTTTAAAGAAATGCAAGATCTGAACAACATAAAACCGTTCGCTTTAAACGTGTCAGAAGTTGAAAGTCCACATAAAGCGAAGGATTCGTGGGCTGCCGTGGTCGGTAAACACGTGGAACCAGCTGAACCAATCGCGACACCTGTTGAACCGGTTGCTAAGAAGGAACAGTCTTCGGAGCAACGTGCTGCTTCGCAGGTTCAGATTTTCGTAGAGGAAGCACCGGAACCAGTGCCTATCGAGGAGGTAGTTCAAGTCGACGAGCAAGGATTCATGGAGTTCGTGAACCGTAAGGAGCTGCGATCCAGGCGATCCAGATCGCGATCTAGAAGCTCCAGGCGAGACGAGACGGGTTCGAAGCAGGTCAGCGATAAACCTGTTGGCTTTGAAGTCTCCAGGGAGGAACAGAAAAAGGAGAGCTCGTTGCAAGTAGAGGAAACGAAGAAGAAAGAGACGGGTAAAAGAAAAGACACGGAGGAATCTAATAAAGACAAATCTAGGAAGAAGAGTAAGACCAAAGCTACTGATAATGAACTCAATCAGATGAAAGATGAACAAGGAAAGGGTAAACCTCAGAAGAGTAAGGAGAAGACAAGTGATATCGAGGATAAAGAAGGGAAACAGACGGAGATTGGTGGAGAACCGAAGGTTGAACAGAAAGGTCAGAAACAGTCGGAGAAGAAAGATGCAGCAAAAAATAAAGGTAAATCGAGAACGAAGAACAGTGAGGTAACCCAAGAAACTAAGAAAGAAGGTCTGACTGAAGAGAAGACGCAGCAAGTTGAGGGAAAGGTTAAACCGAAAGAAATCGAAGAACCTGCGAAGACCTCGGAACCAGATAGATCGGTGGAAGTAGATAAGAAAAAGGTACCAGAACAGTCGAAGCAGGAGACAAAGGAACAACCTGCGAGTGCTTCGAAAAAGAACAAAAAGTCTAAGAAAGGAAAGCCTGATAAGGTAGAAAGTGAGGTGAAACAGAAGGAGGTAGATAAAGCATCTCCAGAGAAAGAGAAGAATGTAGATATAAAAGAACAAGCTGTCACGAAAGATGTAAAAGAACCGGAAATCTTAGAAGTGAAAGAAGTCAAAGATATTAGCAAGCCAGTAACTGAAGATAAACCTGACACCTTGACAGAAACACAAACGGAAAAACCAAAAGCTCCCGAGAGACGTAAAGGAAAATCGAAAAATAAGAACACGGAGAAGGTACCAGAACAAGTAAGCGAGGTATTGGCTGAGACCGAGAAAGAACCCGAATCAAAAGATAAAAAAGAAGTGAAACAAGAAAAAGTAGTTGAAACGAAAGAGAATAAAATCACTGAGTCTAAAACTAAAGCAAATGAAAAGGAAGAAATGAAGGAAAAACCTTCTGAAGAAATATCTGCTCCCTCACTAGAATCTGTTAAAGAAAAAGTTATAGATGAAAAGGCAAATATAAAAGAAGAAAAGAAAGAAGAAGACTCCCAAGTGGAAGAAAAGGCTAAACTGTCGAAGCGAGATAAGAGGAAACAGAAGAAAAAAGACAAGTCGGCTTCGAGGGGACTCAGTGAAGAAAAACAAAAAGAAAAAGCAGAGACAACGGCTCAGAGTATCACAGCACCCGATGAAAAGGTATCCTCAAATGAAGAAATAGATAAGAAAGCTATCAAACCTGAAGATAAAAAGGTGGAAGAGAATCCTAAAGAAACAGTTTCAGTCGATCAAGCTGTCAAGCAAGATAAACTTGAAGTAACGAAAGATGAATCGAAAGTTGAAAAAATAACTGTCAAGGCTCCTCAAGCTAGCGAAGTGAAACTTGCCCCTGAAGCTGCGCCTAAAGTATTGCTCCAAGAAGAAACGAAACCAGATAAGAAGAAAGCAGAGACGCCAAAGTTGAAAGAAGAAAAATTCGTAGTGACAAAAGTAAATGATGAAAATATCGAAGAATCGAAAGTGAATGAAGATAAAGTAGATACACCAAAGCCTGTGGAGGAAAAGTTAGAAGAATCTGTGAAGGAAGAAGAATTTACACCTGCTTCGAAAGACAAGGCGAAACGAAAGAATAAACAGGCGAAGAAAGGTAAGCGTGAAGAGCAAGAGACATCAAAATCTACGAATGAAGCTGAAGCAGCGAAAGGTGAAGAAGATATTAAGACTTCGAGCACAGATTCTCCTATTACACCACCTCAAGATATCCCAAAAGAGACAATTAAAGTAGACAAGACTGTAATACCACCTGAAAAGAAATCAGAAGCAAGTAACGAGCCACAAAAACCGAAGGTGCAAGAAAAACAAGCCCCTGAAAGCAAAAAGAAAAAGAAAGAAGACAAAAATGTAATTGCAGTCAAGAATACCACTACAGACATAAATAAACAGAACGTCGACCTTCAACGTCAGATCATCACCGAAGAGAAAATGCTCTTGAAAGAGCAAACAACCATTCAAGACACACAGAAAGTTGAAGAGATTTCTAAAGCACGGTCTACAAAAGAAAAACCCATCAAAGAAGAAATCATTAAGTCCAAAGGAATTGAAGAGAAAGGTAAAGAAGAAGCGACTAAAGATCGTCTGAGCAGCGTACCTGAAGTTAAACCAACAAGCACAGAAGTGAAAATAGTGGACAAGCCCTCGGGCAAAATTGACGATCGTGAAGTGAAGGACAAACCCACTGAAGTAAAAGAATTGATAAAACCTAAAGAAATCCAGGAGGTTCCTCCACCGTTCGCAAAAGAACTGGAAAGTAAGATTCAAGTTGCTTCAAACCAAGCCACAGAAATCCCGAAACCGATAAATCTATTAACAGACATTGCACCAGACCAACCCTCAGAAATCCCCAAACCGATAGATCTATTAACAGACGAGATCGAAACGTCGCCCATAGTGATAGAATCGATCGAGTCCCAGTTAGAAACCGAAGAAGAATTCGAAAAGTGTATATCAACCGAGCCTGAGATCGAGACAGTTGACATCGTGATCGAGCCAGCCAAGCCAAAGGTGCAATTCTACATAGCTGACGAGATCCTGGTGTTGACTCCCGAGAAAAAGAAACCCACTCAGGCCCCTCTGATCTTGCGAAGCCTGTCAGAATTCAGTAGAACGAAATTCCTCTCCCTCGACAGCGGTTTTTGGCCGGACAAGCACCCCTATCACGAGGCTGAACGCTACCTATTCGAGAATCTAGCCAATTACACGAGAGAAACTTCCTCGAACAGTGTCAAACGCGATTCAAACGATCCAGACGATTTCGACGAGGATCGTGACGGTGGTTTGAACGATCGTGGCGGGAACGGCGGTCCTATGAACTCGTTCTTCATGGGCGGGCCTCATACGGAACGTCTGATTGCTGATCTCCCAGGTGGTATAGGTAGCTGGAGCGATTATAGTACTTACCTGTCGAGCGAAAACGACAGCACCGATCAATTGTCAGGGCCCATTCGCGAAACGATCGAGACTCCAGCGTCGGTAGACCTTCCTAGGGACGAACCTACCCAGAAATCCTTTCCTGTAACAGACGAATCATCGTCGATCCTAGATCCCACGATTTCAATCTCTGAGGGGTTGAAACTACAAACCACTACTAGTGAACTCTCAAACGTAGATCGCGAAATACCGCCTTTAATCGATCAATCTTCCACCAGTTTGCCTCTCGAGCCCAGCGTGTTAAACTCCGTCGCATTCGACCTTGACGATCAATCCTCAATTCCAAGCATTCCCAGTCCAAGTCCATGTCCCAAGGATCATTTAGGTAAAGAAAGAGGATCGATGCAGCGGAAGACTCCGAAGACGGAGAGAGAGACGGGGGTAGCTGAGGATGTGGCTGAAAAGAGGATACGAGGGATCAAGGTGCGATCACGTCACAAATCAGCGGCTCGATCTTTACAGGATCGAGCTCGAACAACCAGCTCGAGTTTTTTCATGCAGAAATTGTTGTGTGTATGCGGTGTATGTGTTCCGAGTGTTGCCTATTGTTTTTTTTTTCCTTCCACCATTGTTTTACTCGTGTGAAGAATAGTTTCTTGAATAATTTTTCCTTCTGTTTCTTTTTGTTTTTTTGCGTGCTGCTGATCGTTTCGCAATTCTGGATCTCTATACTTCGAGCGTATCTCTTTTGTCTACCTCGCTGACTCTTTGACCTCGACTGTTTAACGTAATATAATGTCGCTGTGCTATTAATATTGCTATCTCTGCTTTTTTCCCCTTGTCTGTCAGACTGTCACCGCTATTCCTCACGTTCTGCATGACCAGTAGCTTAGAGATGCTTGAACGTTACTTGATTTTCGGCTTGCGTTGCGGTTCACACGGGAAAAGCTTCGAAGATCACAATTCGACAATCTGGTTTTTCTTTTTGGTATCGAAAACTGTGAAGTATTCTTTTTCAGATGGTGCTTTCGAATCACACATCACACGTTTCGTGAATCGTGTGTTAGATCATCGTGTCGTGATCATTTTTTTTTTTTCTTCGTCCTTTATTCTTTTGCAACCATTTTTAACCCCCTACTCGAAGCTCATGCGATCTAAAGTTCGATTACACAATAATTTGAAATATTCTCTAGCGGTGTACACTGTTGTTTAAAGGAGAGTCAGATGTTTTGTTTTTTTTTTGGGAGGGGGTCCCTGTTTTTACTGACGAACCTGCATGGCAATTGTTTTTTCGGCGCGATTTAACGATAACATGGATTTACAATAATTTACATGACTCCGATAGAGAGATCGCGAAGGATGTCATTTTTAGTGTATTTACGTACGTATTTATGAATTGCTAAAGATTTCGTGATTTCCCCACCCCATATGCTAATCCATCCATTAACAGATTATACAGGGTGAGTCACCTAACGTTTGCACCTCAAATATCTTTGTTGTTTTTACAGATACGTCAAATGTCTTAAGAACAATGTTGAATGGTTCAATGGGGCTTACACGATGCCAAAAATGTTTATTTTTATGCCATTTTTTTAGAGATATCAAGGTCACCTTCATTTTTTAAAATTACTTTATTTTTTAGTTAATCACATTGAATAATTATACTCACTGAATTTCTAATGAAAGGGACAATCATTGTAGGTGTTTAAAAAGGGTGATTCCATTTTGAAGAATGAAGGGGACCTTGATATCTCTAAAAAAATGACATAAAAACAAAAACTTTTTTGGTATCGTGTGAGCCCCATTGAACAATTTAACGGTGTCCTTAAGACATTTGACGTATCTTTAAAAACAACAAAGTATTTGAGGTGCAAACGTTAGGTAACTCATCCTGTATATTGAAGCTCGTCGTGTGCACGCCATATTCTCGGCCCCGCGGGACCAATATGGCGGATCAGAATTAATTCGTCGCTGTGTTACAGGACATCATACAGGAGCGCCTGATGGTTTTACAGCTGAGACTGTCGAACTTGAAGGGAACTTGCCTGCCACGTGATAACATAGACTCCATGCTGTCGGCACTTACGGTGAGATTGAACTCGATGAGTTCCTCGAACGATTAAAATTATTCTCAAAATACACTTATTGGGTTCATTGTATAAATTTTATAAGATTCAATAACGTGATATGTGAAAGAAAATTTATAATGTGGAGAAAATCCTGAACAACTCAAACGAATTCACAGAAGTCATTTCTGTATGACTAAATTACGTACAAAATTAGCGAAATTTTATTTCAAAATTCAAGAAATTTATCACAAAAGGACAATAAAAATATAGATATAATATATAGAAACAATTTTTACCCTTAATTGTTATTTCGAAAGTATATAAACGAGTGTGTGAGTACATTGAAAGTTTTCTGTTCTCTTCCACGATGTTTGCTAACCATTCAAGTTCCCAGTTACAATTCTGAATCAGTTTGCAAATCGTTTTTACAATGTTTATCGAATTAGAGGAAGAATTAATTCGTTAATTCTAGGCTTTATCGACGGAGCTGCGAGGTTACGAGGAAGAAGCGAACCAACTAGAAGACCAAGTACATAAAATTCCAGCGGACGCAGAGTCACAGAGGCTCTTACTCAATCTAGCGGAAGTTCAGACGCGTATCGCCACCCTTTTGACGCAAGCGGAAGAGGGACGAGCCACCCTCGAGGGCGCGCGTAGCTTACAAGAGCAACGTGGCCACGATATTCACGCCTACAAACAGTTCCTGGACGAAACCGACGCCTGGTTGAAGAGTATAGTGGCTGGTATGAGGGAACAACCACAGATCGCTACGAACAAGGTGCGTTTATAGTTAAAAAAGAGAAGAATAATTGAACATAAATATCTGACCTTAGATGTCTGATGTAATGACAATCTATGGAATACATTGAAATCTAGTCTTCGATGCGCACTGCCTCGAAAATATTCATTTTACACAAAGTTTATTATTTAGGATGTATATATGCGTAAGAATGCGACTTAACTATTGAATACTTCTGTTTGAAATTAATTAGGTTCGAAACATTATTCGTGATCAATTGGTATCATGAGATTGTAGAAGAAATTACTAAGCTTGAGTTCTTAAGTATTCAACTCACAATCAGATAAGATTCCACGTACAAATTAGGGATGGTACAGTGTGTGACAGAACTTGGCGAGTTCCTACATGGAAACCCACCCTATAAATGAAATTTAATGAAAATTGAGACTTAATCGACCAGGTCATAAATTTTTCTAACGGATAACATAACATAAAGTTTATTTCGCAATCTGCCAGAATTCCACAAAAGAAAGGAATAACAAACGTATCAATTACATAAATATAAACGTTAAATTCAACCCGAAATTCTAACATTAGCCTCAATGGCAAAAAAAAATCCTATAGCAATAGAGGATTCCTCAGGTACGATTCAGCTTCTCTCTGGCGCCGGCGCGATGCCACTCGTGTATGTAATATCCACGATTTTCGAATGCCACACAGTTTATTTTCGAGCAGAATCGCCACGATATTGTAACATAGGTATATACGTGTCTCTGTGTCCCACGGACAGGCATTGCAGGACGAGCTGAGCAGTCACGCGCAACGTGTGTCGGAGCTTGAAACCCTGCCAGAAATCAGCACGCTGGCAAAGGTCCTGAAGAATGCGCTGCTGGAGGTGATGTCGCGTCTGCAGCAACCAAGGCAGCAGGTACCCAACGTTTTCCAATGCTCGGGGGCTTTCGCAAGCTTCGCTGGTCTTCGCGCCACGGTCTCGTGAAGTGTGCTGATGGTAGAGGGGCTAAAAAAAGAGAGCAATCGATCGACACAGACCGTCAGATTTACTTTTCTTTTGTCTTTTTTTTTTCTGGGAAAGAAGCAATCAGTAGTGCGACAAGTAGAATATACAGGTTTACAGTGATGGCTGAGAGAAAGTTCTGTTTTTAATTTTGTTCGATGAGGATAGTGTGTGAAAGTGATTTTATATTTAGAGTAGGACAGAAATACGGATTTTCTTGTAAATAAGGTTTCCATGATGTGTTCGGCATTAAATGGATTTGAACGTGATCAGTTGGGTGGATGAGACAGTGTTTTTGTGGAATAGCTAGGAGAAGGTTTAGAAGGTTACTGAGGTAATTGAAATCGCTATAATGTAGTAGGGAGATAGGTTTATTCTGTGATAGATTTGGATTAAAAATAAAATACCAATTTCATTAAGATCTATATATAAAAGTTGGTTGCTCGAATATGTCATGAAAACAGTGAAGATAAGAATGACAGGAATTAAAATCTGTAATATGGATAGAGGTAAAAGGTTGACTCGATAACATATATTTCTTAGAAGTTCTGCGGCATCGTAGACAGATTATTAATATGGATATAATATAGACATACTTGAATATTTCGACAATAAATAAATATTTCTCACAAAGTGAAAGAATTTTTAAAAGAATAATTATAACACAAAGAGGATTTTGTATTTTTAATTCGAAACTTTCTTTCGGCCAACACTGTATCACCGTAAAAACCAAAGGCTAGTCAATTCTAGTTATTTTCGATCGTCTAGTCTATCTAGTCACTTCGAGAAGGAAGAAAAAGATTGTTCGATCTCTTGCCAACGCAAGAGACTTCGAAGAATAATTATATATACGTTGCACAGTATGTATATGAAGGAATGATATATATATATATACTGCTTGTATCTTGTACATTAAGAGGGAGTAAGGTGATCGTTCGATGGTGAAGCATGTAATAATTCATTTTTCTTTCGCTGCTTCGACGTAGTAATTTATGTTCGGTACTATCATTTCATTTTGCACGAAGTATATAATGTATACATATGGGTAATCTAGGTGGTTAGAGAACGTTTTCCACGCAAATCATTTGCACGTAGTCATACACCACGTTAAGAGGCTTATCACCATGCAACATTATTATTATCATCGTTGGACGGTGGATGTTGAAATGTCTGATTTTTACAGATCGATTGACAAAAAATATGTAATTCAACGTTTCGTTTGATTCGAGAGAAGAGAAAAAGCTTCCACCGATCTTCAACGTAAATTTAACGAACACAAATGCACAGAGCATCCACAGTCCACGAATCCCCGTCACCATATTTGTTTCTTCTTCATCTTTTTGTTTTTTTTTTTTTGGCTCATCACGTCACATTGTGTATTATTTATAACTATATAACGCACTTTATGTTCCTTTAGCTTAAGGTAATGGATGTAATATATATACGTATATAAATATAGGCCACGGCATTTTGTTTAAGGAATGTTAATACATTGTTACTGTAATTTTTTTCATGCAATTAAAGTATTCTCATTAATTCCCCCCACCTACCCCTTTATTTATCCCCTGATTTCACTGTACGTGATGATGGTAACCACAACGAGAATAATACACGTGTATCCGTATATGTATATCCGTAAACGTTATGTGTTTAACGTGTAAAATACCGGAGTCCGAGGTCAGACCTATTTAAAAATCAATGATCGATAACACTGTGACCATGAACATTTTTTTTATTCTTATATCAATGTATATAAATTTAAAAAAATATCTTTTTTTTTTAGTTTATTCGTATACATTTTTTCTTCGTGCATATATTTCACGTGGACAAGTATGCTATAAGTACGCCCTAAAAATAAACGCATTAAGGTAAAGTCGAACGCGGCATTCACATAAGAGCTAAAAATACGACAGTGTTGCGCGGAGTGTTCTTGTCTGCGGATATTCTCGATCCTCGCTCCCCGACGTATCATGCTCGCCGTATAATAATTCTTTCGTCTTCCGTTTCCATCGACGCCATGCAGGTGCAGATCCTGTGCCGTGCGATATGTTCGGGGATTCATCGTATCACGTAACAATCGACACCGACATTCACGTAACAAACGAGTGATTAACGTTAGGGGATCATTATTAACACCAGAGGATCATTAACCGGGAATAGATCTCGCTACATGGGGGCGCTGTGTTGTTGGCCACGCCGCTGCTTTTAGATACATTACGTAATAAGACGATTCTTGGTTAATAAAAAATACGAAAGTTGCATTAACATTTGCAGAGCTGTCGATAGAAAACAAACTAGAATAATAGATGCTAAATGTATGTTTTATAGTGTAAATATCGTGTATTTTACAATATGGGAGTAGATAGATGCTTATTTGCTTTAATAACATTTGGTAATTATTCAAGACATGTCAGAAAAAAGATATAACTTTGTGTACTGTATCCTTTTACTTTCACTGAAAAGAAAAAATAGCTGTTAATTTGGACGATATTAGATTTCTTGTTAAACTACATGTCAATTCAGATTATTGACCTACAGAATGTGAGTTTCAGAGATTACAAATAGGAAAAGGTTATTTATGGAAGATATGTTAATAAAAATAAACTCGAAGAATATATTCGACATTATAAGAAAACATGAAAACTCCAGAATACATTCAGAACGACAAAAAGATTCATACATTCTCACATTCGTATCTAAAATACTCAGCTATTTATCGAATTAGTATGAATTTTGATTGAATATTAAGAAGGTTAACACGTTGACTGCCAGACAACTACTTGTAGAACTTTCACAGGCCTCAAACTTACTCCTTAACTGAGTTGAACGAATACAATTTCTATTTAAGCTTTCCAGAAACTTGTAAATACTAGCTTCAATAATTTCATTGGAATGTTTCACAGTGAGGTGTAACTGTCACCCCCAGACGAAACATAGTAGGGCCCCATATGTAACTGACATGGCAATCAAACTGTTAATTCACCAAAGAACCAGAGATCACGATCCTCAGGCGGGTACCTTCAGACAGACCCATTTCACTTTTTCCAGGCGGTTTGCGACGAAGAGGCGCAAGCCGACGGAACCTCAGAGCGAGATGACGCCACCCTCGACCAAGCACCCTCCCTTCACTCGTCCCTCGAAAGTAGCATGCCATCATTAGCCGATGTGTCCCTCCAAACGGGACAGAGTCTGCTAGCGAATGATATCGTAGAGAGACCCCAGCAGCTCACCAAGCAAACCTCCACGAACCAGGTAGCGGTGTGTCACTCGTTGACCACGCAAACAATGGACACCAACGAGAGTCCACAAACCCAAGAGACTATAAAGATCCTAAAGACAACAGACGGGGACCACGACGTTATCGAGATAGCCACTAAGAATCTACCATCCACGTCTGTCCAAGAAGTCGTTCCACAGCGATCAGACGCCATGCCTGAAGACATCGTAGTGGACATGAAATACCAAGACCCAAAGAACGCTGACAACACCACCAGCGAGCTGAACATTGTCCATGCTGCTCCCCAGTCCTTCGAAACGATCCTAGTCGAACCTGACGATGTGACCACCGAAGTGGTAGTTGACGAGGATGGCTCGAAGAGGATCATCGTGAGGAAACTGAGGAGAACCACGGTCACTAGCAGACAGACCACACAGCAACACCTGTCCTCGACGTCCACAGCGATAGGAGACGCTCCACCTGTAGTGCAAGCTTTCTCAGAGGCCACCATGAGGGACCAACAGGTCACCGTGACCACCACCAAGCCGAACGGTACCATAGAGACTACGACGAAACAGGTGTACGGAGGCAGAGTCGCCACTGGAACGCCTTACCAGAACGTGAACGTTGAAGAGTACGAGTCAGCGCCCAAATACACGCACACGGTGACGCAAGGTAACATCAAGGACGTCGGTCCTCAGCCTCTGGAGGAGGGAATCCTGATGGAAGGAGGGGAATACCAGGCGAAGACCTCCAGCGTCCACGCTGTGGTGCAACAGGTGACTCGTCGTGTTGTCAGGAAGACCAGAAGAGTCATTCGTAAAGTGACCATCATCGATGGCAAGGAGACTGCTACCGAGGAGGTCATCGAAGAGCCTGAAGAGGTGGAGATCGACGAGAAGAGTATACCTCACATAAGTATTAATGTCGTTAAGCAGGAGGAACATAGACAGTTCGATGCCGAAGGACAGTCGATGGAAGAAAAGACGCGTGGAGAGCTCGAAGATAAGGGAAGAAGAGACAATGAGGGCTTTGGATTGGAAAGGCACGACGATGTTCCCATGCAGGGACCATTCTTCGGTGCTTTTGCTAAGGACATGCATCCTTCGGACTATATGCAACCGAGGAAAGGCGATCTCCTTGATGTTAGGAAGGAAGGTGTTATAATTGAAGAAGTAGTTTCGGATACGGAGGTTTCAAAAGACGATGCAGGGAGCCCAGATTTGCTTACGGATCGACAAGAACAGGTGTCGGAAAGTCTCGAGGAGTCATTGGAGAGGAAAGCAGAGGATGATGTGAGCAGGAGACCTTCGAAAACACCTCAGACAGTGGATAAATACGAGCACGAGCAGTTCACCATCGAGGTAACCGATAAAAAGTCCCTTCTGGCGGACAGTCGAGCGTTCATCGATGCTGAAGTGTCCGCTTTCCAGAGCCCTGTCCAAGAGATCAAGGTACGCGAGGCACGCGAGGAATCAGTCGCGTCGCCAATCGATTCCGTGGTCTCGGACGTGCCGACCATCACGAAAGCGACCTGTAAGTCTGTCGATGCACCCGTAACGATCGAAACACCTGGTATCGAGCTAGAAGGTCGCACGGTAGATGTAGAAAAGCACCATGACACACTTGGCACCGTAGATCCTGATGTCGATAAGTCGAATGTCCCTGTGTTAGAGGAAAATCCCACGACCAACGAGCCACCAGCGATGGACGTAACATTGAAAGAAGTAAAAAGGGTTCAAATTTCAGGAGGAAAACCGAAAGAGCCGGAAGAAGTGCGTGAGAAGGAAGTTTCAGAGAAACAGCCTGAAGTGTCTTCATCCACAGACACGAAGACACTTAGCAAAGAAGAATCCACGAAGGACACAGTACCCATTAATGACAAACAGGAGATGGTGAAGGCATCGTTCGTTCCTGAATTGGAATACGATCACGTGGACGAAGCTCTGAAGCCAGAATACAAGCCTGTCTTCCATAAAGTGGAAATATCCCTGGCGGTGAAGAAAGAGGGAGAAGACATCCAACCCACGGTGTCCGTGAAGAGTCAAGCGGAACCAACCGTTCTACCGTATCGCATGGTGAAAGAGGATGTAGACATCCGTCTGCCGGCGGATAAAGAAACCTCCGTGATCCACGACAAGATCGTTCAAACGTCACCGATAGAGTCGTTAGAAATTGCCACCGTGGATAAGTCTGTTATCACGTCTGAAAAGGAGGAAACTTCCGATAAGTCTATTATGACCTCGGAGAAGGGCGAAACAACAGACAAGTCTGTCATCACTTCCGAGAAGGAGGACGAATGTCAGACTGAACCTGCGCTGGAAGTTGATACTATGGCTGATACAGAAGTGGAGGAAGAAAGATCCCAAACGAAGTCTTTAGAGACGAAATCTAGCACCTCGATGATCTCGAACATCTCAGAATCGGTGGAGCTCAACGTTCCATTGTCAGACTCTTCTAAACACGTCAGTGAAGCGCCGCAGCCCGATGTGGCAGAGATGATCGAATCGGTGAAACTGGACTTGACCCTGGAGGAGACGTCGGAAGGCGAAGACGGGTACCAAGCGGACGACAGAACGATGGTGTCCACTGCTACCCCTGATGATGATAGCGTGACGAAGAAAAAGAGAAGGAAGAAGAGGAAAGAGAGGATCAGGAGCTCCAGGGAGGAGGAACCATCTGAATTCCCTAAGACCACCACGGACGACGGAGAATTCACCGACGAAGAGACGCCGGTGGAGATGGAGGACGCAAAGGCCACCAAAAAGAAAAAGAAGAAAAAGAAGAGGGAAGACTTTGGCAAAGAGGAGACTCCTTCAGTTCCCTCTTTGCACGAAGTGGACACGCAGACGGCTCCTACACGGTTCACCGTTACCATTGCTACGTCTCCGATGGAGGAAGAAGCGTCTGAAGTCCACGTGCAAACTTCCCCGCAACCCATAGAAAAGAGTACCGTAGAAGAAATACAGGAAGTTCACGCACAAGTGCAAACTTCTCCCCGGATACCAGAAGCCTCGAAGGCAACTCAAGTGCCCAAGATGGAAGAAATTCATACAGAAATGCAGACTTCTCCTCTAGTTCCAGAAGAATCAAAAGAAACTCAAGTACCCAAGATAGAAGAAGTTCACACAGAAGTACAAACCTCTCCCCAGGTTCCAGAAGAATCAAAAGAAACGCAAGTACCCAAGATAGAAGAAGTTCACACAGAAGTACAAACTTCTCCCCAAATTCCGGAAGAATCAAAAGGAACTCAAGTGCCTAAGGTGGAAGAAGTTCACACGGAAATTCAAACGTCACCGGTGGCTGCGTTGGACTTCAGCACTCAGACCGTTCGCGAAGAAAGCCCGGAGCCTGAGAAGCCGAGTATCCAGCACGCTGAAATGCAGACTTCTCCGCTCCCTGCGTTGGATTCCGCTGTTCAAGCCACGGAAGTGCGCCAGATCGAAGAAACGAGCACACAGACAACTGCAACGCAAGTAGAAGAGTACGCTATTCAGACCAGCCCAGTGGAAGAGCAACCTCCTCCACCAGAAACTGAAGAAATGGAGGTACAAACTTTAGTCACGCAGGTAGTGTCCACAGAGGCACAAACTTCACCAACGACTCCACCTGTAAAGATAGTGTCCATTGAGGCGCAAACTTCACCAATGACTACACCCATAAAGATAGTGTCTATGGAGACGCAAACTTCACCATCGACTCCACCCATAGAGGTAGTGTCCATGGAGGCGCAAACTTCACCAATGACTCCACCTACAGAGGTAGTGTCCATGGAAGCGCAAACATCACCAACGACTCCACCTGTAGAAGTAGTGTCCATGGAGGCGCAAACTTCGCCAACGACTCCACCTAGAGAGGTAGTGTCCATGGAGGCGCAAACTTCACCAACGACTCCACCCATAGAAATAGAAACCCAAACAATAGAGAAAACTCTCGTGGCCACTGAACAGCAGACAACTCCGCCACCAGTCGAAGAAAAGGTACTGGCTGGCATTGCTGTTCAGACAGTAACTCCTGACGGTCCCAAGACCATCGAAACCGAGGCACAGACCAGCATACCAGCCAGTCCAGAAAAGACTACGCTGGACTTCAATATCCAAGCAGACTTGATAGAGCAACCACCTGTAGACGTTGTCGAGACACAAACCACCCCGGATGAGAGTCCTAGACTAGCTGAGACCCAGGAGACAGAATCACAAACTAGCAAACCAGTTAGTCCAGAAAAGACTACGCTGGACTTTAATATCCAAGCAGACTTGATAGAGCAACCAATTGTAGACGTTGTAGAGACACAGACCACCCCGGAAGAAAGTCCTAGACTAGCTAAGACCCAAGAGACAGAGTCACAGACGATCATAGGTTCAGGACCTTCTCAGGAAATGATGATCCAAACAAGTCCGATTAGTATGTCTCCGGACAAAATCGAAGTCTGTGAACTATCCGCTCAGACCAGTTTAGAGGAAGCCAAGGAGGTGATGGAAGAAGAGTCGCAAACCAGCTCACCAGGACGGGTACAGACGTCGGACACTTCGGTGCAAATAAAAACTGACGAGCTAGTGCCACTGGTTGAGGAGAGTGTGCAGATAATTCCTGAGACCTGTGATGGAAGTGCACAAACGCAGCCGAGTGAGGGGCGGAAGGAACTGGTAACGGTTTCTCAGCAGACCAATGGAGTGTCTGTTGATACAGCGGTGGAGGAGATTAAGGAGAAGAAAGTGGTAGATAACGAAGAAGAGAACTTGATAACAGTCACGTCTATGGATGTGGTTGACGCGTCGATGCAAAGGACGCCTGTAAAGTATACTGAAATTCCAGTAGCACCTGATGTACAAGTACAAGAAGCTGAAGATGACTCGAAAGAGGAATCGAAAGCTCAAACTGTTGAAGAAGTCCCTGAAAAGGTGATGCCTAAGTTAAAGGAGGAATCGATACCCAAAGCGCCTGTAAAAGACGCCAGTGCAGACTCCTCGTTCGAGATATGTCTGCAGGCGACTATAGAGATCTCGGATACGACTGACACTACAAGTCGGCTGACCGACACCTCGCAAGACAATACAATCACAGAGGATCTGAATAACACGGCGAAGGAGGACGTCAACGCCGCGAAAAGACAGAAACGAAAAAGAAGACACAAGACGATCGAGATCAGCTCCACCGGAGATAAGGATCTTGAGTCTATATTTGGTCAACCCATGGAGTCTCGAGACGTTTCGTTGAAGTTGTCCTACTCCGACGTCACCAAGAAGAACGCAGGCAAAGAAAAGTCCCCTTCTGGAGATGGCCAACTGGAGAAAGTGTCTGATCATATTCTTGATAATTCTAAATTCATACCTGAACAGAGAGTTGAAGTAATCGAAGAAAGCATGCAAAACGCTTCACCATTTACAATGACGACAGAACCACCTGTGATTAAAGGTAGCCAAGAGGTTTGGGCTTTAGGTAACGAAAAGATCGACTTACCATCGATGTCAGGCACGCAACAATCAATTCTCACGAGTGAGGACTCTTTCGAACCAATGGACACGACTGAGGAACCACTATCACCCGTGGAGTCAGTTCTGCAAGTGGAAGAACGACCCAAGATCAGAACCTACGCGGACATAATCAGCGAACCTTCCAAGAAACAATCCGATGTGCTTCACCATTCTATCCCTCAAAAAGGCGCCAGTTCGAAGGCGTTCCTCCTTCACGAAGCCCTAGAATACGAGCCTCTCCATCAACTGACCCAAAGCAATCAGACCACAAAGGTGATCTCCGACAGAATGCAGAGTCTCCGAAACGCCAAACAACCGAGTCACCTGGGCAACATTCTCCACATCGCTCACCTGGACAAAGTAGCCAATGAGAAGCTGGCAGAGGAACGCGCTGCTGACATCCGTAAAGAGCTGTCCCACCTGAGAGACGCTGCTCAGGAGAAGGATTCGATCGCTGTGGAAGAGACCCTGGTAGTCATCGTGGAGACTATTTCCACCTGGCTAGAAACGATCGAGTACAGAATATTCTTGAGCAAGGAGTGTCCCAGCGGTCCCTCCCACGACGATAAGACCTACGTCGAGCTTAAAGATGAAGTGGAGAACGTGGAAGAGAATATTCAAGAACTGAATCATATCTGGAAGCTGGTCGAGACTAACTACCCAGGGAACGATCGTGCCAACCTGCAGGAGTGTCTTGACGCCCTGTTGTACCAGGTGAAAATGATCGAGGAAGTTACCAACGATGGCGAAAAGCATCTCACCAGCGAGCTCGCCAGATGGGATGAGTTTGTTAATGGAGTGAACAACATGTACAGGTAAGAATTCTACTCCTTACAGTCTCAAGGTTTATTTTATTTTTCTCGTTATCGTAGACATTGTACTGAGTTTAATTAACAGATTGATCGAAGAACAACGCAGCCAGCTGAACCAACTGATCGAGCTCGAAGCGTCCACAAATTGGAAGCTCCAGGAGCTGGACAAACTAGAGAACATGAATCGTTGTCACATGTGGAAGACCGCGGATCTCCTCACAGCGTCACACGAGTTGCTCCGCGATTATCCAGGGAAACACATACCAGAAGAGACCTACGCCGCCCACGAGATCACCAAAATAATCGAGCATGGTATATGCATAGAACGCGAACGTCTGCTGCAACTGTCAGCCCTGGCTGAAGAGTACGAGCAAACTCTTCGAGAATTCGCACAGATCACCGAGATCGCTGAAAACTTGCTGGGTAGTCCGATCTCGGTGATAAGCCTGGAACATCTTCGGGAGGAGATGCAGAAGCACAGAAAATTCTTCGTCAACTTGAACCACTGTCGAGCGATTCTGGAGTCCTTGGAGGGGAACCTGGATCCTGAAACAAGGACCAAGTACTCTGATCTTCACGAGGAATTGCATAGTAGAGCTATATCCTTGCTGGATCAAGCTGCATCTAGGGCTCAGCAAATGGCCCTGGCTGCTTCCAGGTGGATCCTCCTTGAACAGGGCGTGAAGGAAGAAAGGGGATGGCTACAGGTTGCTCATCAAAGAGTACCTGATCTTCAGACGGTGACCTCGTCTGATTACGATCAGTACATCTCCTTATATCAAGTAAGCATTGTTACTGAATTCAGCGTTCACTCATCAAGGATTTACTGTACTATGAAAAATAAGTAATAATTCTTACACTGTTAAATTACTCCACTAAATCATAATCGTTGGTTTAAGGTTCATAGTCTAATCACGTATCGATCGTTATTCAGATTTTTCAAAGAAAGATATAAATAAAGTAGAAGTTTACGTAACAGGATCAAGTGTCAATTTAGTAGATATTGAATTTCATTGAGAGTGGAGAAATATATGATTCTAATTTCATTTTTCAGTCTCTGGTGACAGACGTAACGACGCATCATGCCAGACTGATCCAGCTTTTGAACATGGCGCGGAGTCTTCAGGAGCTGATCAACATCGAAGACCCGGAGGATCGTTACGGCGAGGCGTTGGATGTGATCGTGAAGCTTCAGGATAACGTCGAGTCGTCCCTGCACAGGTTACTGGCCTTCAGAGAGAGTTGGTGCAATCAGGAGGGGTTGATGAATCGGGTAGAGAATTGGATGACAGCGGTTGATAGGGAACTGGAGATTATACGTGATCCCTCGGGAGGACACATACGTCAATTTTGGGTAAGAATATTGTTAACAATTCAATTTAAAGAGATTTCTCATAGAACAATGAGGGGCGAAAGTTTTCATACAGTAAGGATGTTTAAATAAACAGAGTTATAGTTCATATTACTAATGACCCAATAAGATATTTAAGAGAAGAACGAAATTCCCATCTTTGCTGTTATCGTCAAAAAGTACTTTAGAAAATATCATTTTGCATAAAAATCCGCAGTCTACTAATGACACTGAAGCATTTACTAGGAATAGCTAGACTAAGATTATTGATAAATTTAGGCCAAATTATGCAGAAACCTACCAGCCCTCAAAATAACAAAAAATCAGTTAAATGCACTAAGGATCCCATAATGTTAAGGGACTGATTTTTTTAGGAACTGAAAGCCCAATACGAGGTCCACAACAATATAAGAGAAGAAGCGAACAACAGCTTCGAGCAAGCCCTCAGGATCATCCCCTTATCCGACGAGATGCTTCAACGACAATTCCACGGCGAGATCCAAGATCGCTGGAACGACGTGTCCCAGCAGATCAACAACATCCAAGAGGAAGTCACCAGGAACATCTCCTCCGAGGAGATATCTTCCAACGAGAAGTTAAAACTTCTCGAACGGGAACTGAACGAGCTACGAATGACGATCGACGGTTTCCACGGTGTTCTGAAGACAGAGGAGGAACTGGACCTCTACATCGAACGTCTGACCGTCCTCTTCGACAGGATCACGTGGATCCAAGACGAGCTGGGTCGACTTGGTCTGTTACCAGTCGCTGAGAACGAGAAAGTCGGTCTTCTGTTGTCATCCGCAAGTCGAATAGAGTCCCAGATCAGCGAGGAATTGGACGCCGCTCAATTACTTCGTGAAAGGCTTCAGGCGATCCAGCGAGGCTTCAGTCGGGTCAGAAAAGCCCATCAACGTCAATCTTCGATATTGGACCAGTGTGAAGGCAGTGAGCGACAAGGAAGCGACGTGGTCGCCGCTGCTGTCGATCGTTGTCAATCGGTCGCTGACGAACTTGGCGTTCTGTGGCAGGACATAATGGGTCTGAGACAGATGCTACATACTTTACCAACTGTTATGAGAGTTTCGGTGTCTCCTGTGAGCGTCGAAAGGGATATATCGAACCTTCAGGATGCACACACCGATCTGGAGGCTAGATGCTCTCGTCTGCTGGCGTTGCTGAAGAACAGGCTCGCCTTGTGGAGACGATTCGAGAGACAGCTGGAAATGGTGCAGCAATCTGTTCAGGAGGCTGACTACATGATGGAGCTGTTGACCGTTCAGGGATCCGTGGATTATGATCGATTGTTAAAGGCCACTGAACGTCTCGAGGTGAGTTTTCGAATTATTGTAATTAGTATAATGGGATGATTGTTGTCGTGAACGTTGATTAATGGGGGGATAGAGTTTCGTGTATTCTTTTGTCACGCGAAAGGAAATTACGATAATTGACCGGGAATTTCAATCGGAGAATGAGTCGATATAGGAAATTGATTATCTCGTAGTACGAAGTTCGTGGAGAAGCATTCGAAGTATTCGAGATTTGTGACACGAACGAGTACGGTACGAACATTCTTCGTACCGTTGACAGAGCACGGAATGCGTTAAAACTTTCAGAAGTTCGAATAACTGGAGCTCGGGGGTATCGAGCGACCCGCATACTTGCAACGGAGCTCTCAATTGTGGTGGAGAAAAATCGCTTTCATTTGCGCGTACAAAAAATATGGAATACCGATCGATTGGGCAATGTGGGCACTAGATGATGCATTGATCTAACGATCTATCCTTCCAGTAATGTAATGATTCATTTTGAAAAATTCAAAATATTCATCGTTACCAATTTCAATGCCAAAATGTGCTCCAGAAATATACTTGTACTAATTATCGATAGTTCTATCGCAATTAGGACAGGAAATATTCAAAACGTCTTACTTTATTAGCCTTAACACTAGAACTACCAAGCAAGTCAAAATGACTTGCCAATCCACTCTTACAACGATGATTAAAATCTTATAACAGTACATTTTCTCAGATCTTTTGTAACTTTCATTACGATACGACATTAAAAAAATTAGTTAATTTATAAATTTGTAAATTTTCAAAAGTTTGCCATATTTATCGATCGGTCGGAAAAGAAATGCGTTTATCGTTGGTAGTTCTAGTGTTAATTAATTTTTTTCCAAATTGGTCCCACCACCTTCAAGAAAAGAACGGCTGACATATTCCGGAAGTGCACCAGTACCAATTACCGATCGGATCGATCGTGCCTCAGAGGACCCGGAAGACGCACTTTCGAAACGCGAGTTAACCTTCGCCACGTGCGAGAGTAGCGCGACGGCGGACCCTGTGGTCGACGCGTGCGCTTTGCACGGTGTTATCGTGGCTCACCTATCAGTGGCACGAGTTCCGTCGTCGCGTTCGCATCGACCGTGCGCGCGCGTTTGAACGGTCAGCACACCGTGTTCCGTTCATCTGGTCGCGAAGTGACTCGTGTTCTTCTGAAATTTTTCCCTTTTTTTTCGTTAATTTTGTGCGTTTACTTGCGATATCGTTGGTCAATGGACGAGTGATATCTGTTCCCCCGTCGGTGGTTTCGCCGACGAACAGAGTACAGTGATCGTGAAATGGAAGAATGAGGAATGATCGACGAAACGGTCGACGATACGTCAGTTCACGGAGGGCCGAGTATGTTTGCGCTCGGCACACAGGATCGGCTGATCGGAAGTAAGCGTTTGGAATATTCATACACACCTCAGCAAGAGCATCTGATGATTCTAGTGTGACCCGTTCGTGACACTCGATTTATTACATTGTTTCCAATGCGTAATAGCACTTTTTCGCTTCTGATTTCGTTTCCTTCGAGTACTATACTGCCGGTTGAGATTCACGTAACGATTTAACGTATTCGTTTAAAAAAGAACACCTATTAATACAAGAATATATAGTAGAAAGTTGATTAAATGTGTGGTGGGAATTCGTCAAGTAATCAGTGTCAGTTTCTTTTTGAAATCTTCAGTTTGTTATGGAGTTCTTTTTTAAAATCCGTAGAGCAATGTCGGTTTTTCTATTGTATACGTTCTGAAAATAATCCATCGATCGAACGTAAGTTTACTTGTGAAACATAAAGCTGGTTGTTCGTTAACATTTTTTTTTTTGACAATTCACGTTTTACTCTTATTTTAAGTACAGAAGTTTTTCCATTTTTGTACACCGTAGTTTCGTTATCCTCCCTCGTAGACGAGGAAATAGAAAAATAGATGAACCGGTAGCAGGCTTTCGAGCGTTTTGTTATTCAACGGTGTCCCGTAGGTCGTAATCCGTTGTACACACAAACGAGGATCAGTAAAAAAATGTACGTATATATATACAATCACATAAAAACAGCTGAGTCGTTTTGGAATAGTCATGGTTACATCTGTCCTTGAACATTTTTAGTTTTGATAGTGCCGATGACTCGTGCTTGTAAAAACTAAACAATTATTAGTGGATTATCTCAGAGAACCGAATGTTGATCTAGAAATAGAATTTCTGAACAAGTTTTTCAGTATTCAAGGATTGTAACAAAAATATGGCAGGTGATTACAGTAATCAGCAACAGGTCTGTCAGAATAAATCGGCCTTGAAGAACGACGGATATCAAGCCTCGCGCATAATTCTTCATTTACATTTCGATTAAGCGACGGTCTACGATTTCGCAAAATTTTTCGATTCCACGTGACGTGAATAATCCAGTGGAATGTCCATATGAACCTTGAAATCTCGATTGCAATAAAAATTGCCGTGTCTAAAGGGGTAAAAGGGTATAATTACATAGATCAGTTCCACTTAAAAATTTATTTCCGAGTCTATCACTGTCATTCGATAAGATCAAATATTATAAAGGTACAGAAAATATTACTCATTTCAAAATTATATTCTGTAAACTTGTAAATACAACGAAACCAGAATTTAAATCGTTAACACTAGAACTACCGACGATAAACGTCTATCTATTAGATCGATGAACATGACAAACTTTTGCAAATATACAAACTTATAAATGAACTAACTACTTCACTTTAATATTGCAATACAATTTTGAAAAGATCTGACAAAATGCATTGTTGTCACAATTTAATCATCATTATTAAAATGTACTAACCAATAATTTTGACAGCTTTGGTAATTCCAGCGTTAAAATACAATTAATTATGACTATCCACTAATTCTAATCCACCGTTATACAGAGAAGAATAAACAAATCTGCACATTATCATCTGGAGCATCGTGGTAAAAGAAAAATAGGATGTTAGAGATAAAACATTTACACTTTCGAAAGTTGTCGCGCTCGAATGTGGCGTATCTGCATCGAAACGGAAGAAAAATGCACGGCCAGACGAGCGACGACTCGCTAATCCACTTTGATATAATTACGCGGAATGACACAAACGACCGAAATGGCTAGATCTGCATACACATGACGCAACGATACGGTATGTAAACTATGCCACGTGGAAAAGCACGGGGGTTTACTTATCCCCCGATCACGCTCGGCGTGTTTACGATTTCCATTCTCGGGCGTTTGCGGCGTTTCCGATTAATGTTTTCGTCATCCGAATTTCTAAGCCCACGGATCCGAGAACGTCGATAAGTCGCGAGCGTGCGTCTAACTGCGCATTTTCATGGACCCCTTTTAAGATCCTTTGCGCAGTTAGCAACGTGCATGTTATCCTTCAATGGCCATCAATCTTTTTAGTAAAAAAGAATATATATATATTCTTTCAACTCCCATCTTGTAAACCAGAAATCGATTAACTCTTTGAAGCACAGGATTTTACAATAAAAAGATACCTAGTGGGACAGTAATTATTTTGAGACAACATCGTTCTGTAACAACGGTTTAGTATAACGAAAAAATCACTATTAATACAAATTAGTAGGATAGATCCTTGACTTCCATTAAAACGAATACCGATATCGTCAAGAAATAGCGGATTACTTATCGTTACACCTAATATTTATCGATGTTCAAGTAGTTTGTTTTTTTTCACAAGACTCGAACGAATTTTCATGTCAGCGGCCGTTCCAACGTAGCGGAAGTTCGAGACCGTCCGCAACTTCCTGTCCGGTTGCTTATCGCGATTCCGCGCCCACAATTCCGGTCGGAGGACCAGACGCGTTCGGCGACTTCCGGTCCGCGGAAAATCGAGCGATCATCGGCTTCGTTGGAATCGACGAGTGTCGCGTTAGACACGTCGCGCGCGTCGTGTCTCGAAATAGACACGGGCGGACCTCGATTATCCGAATTAATCGCGGAAGCCCATTTTGAACACTTCCTGGATTCCTGCGAATTGTTTAGTGTGATGTTTCATAAACGTGATATATTTTAGGCCACGTATATTATATCACAGTATAAAAAAAATATTTATTTCAGACTTCCAGCAATTTTAAAATGCCCTGTAACATTTACTGCACGTTCGATAAGGGTCCTAATACTCATAAACGGAAGCATATTCGACATCTTTTATTAATTTCCATATGTAAAAATAGTAACACAGAGATGCAGGGTCGAAATGGTTCGGTAATCAAGCCGTTAACTTGGCCAGACCATCCAAGTTCCGCGAGTTCGCCAAATATTCCGCACCCCCACGAGAACTGGAGGAACACAGAGATAAACGGGTCATGAAAGTTCGCGTAGGAAGGGGGACTAGTAAGTAAATTTCGCGGTCGGTAGGGTGAACTGGTTAAACCGCGGGCGATTCGATTTCCCGGTCCTGGTTTCGGTGGAAAATTCTCCTCTGGCCAGGTGAACGAACCCGAGTACACGACACAGAATTAGTTCAACCACGCTCTGACCGAATTCGAGAGCCGCCACGAAACGTGTGCCGGTCTCGTGACTCAATATTATTTATAGTTCGTATTTAAGGAAAACCAGCGTACGTGTGTGTGTGTGTGCATTCTTTGGTATAGAACGCGCGCGTCGAGCCGGCTAGCTCAGGCTGGAATCCGATTCGATGGTGCGATATCAAAACGATCGTGCGAACATCGTTGGGAATCTTGCATTCTTCGGGGCGGCTATTTCCTCTTTTTCGCGTCCGTTTGAGAAACTCGAGCCGGTACTCTGACTTGGCGGAATTTCGTAACAGGTTAAAATTCCATTCCCAAGTCCACGTGTTCCGATTATCCACGGATCACCTCTGGACGAATGGAGAAGCTTACTTCCGTTATAGAAGTAAATAGAATTGCATTAGAAATGTATAAAAAAAATAGTGAACATCTAGAAATGATAGAAATGATGGATCTTATTAGATATGGAAAATAACCTCCGACGAACTATCCCATAAGAAATGTCGGCGCCGAACGCGTTAAGCTTTAACGAAACAGGTGATTCCACCTGTCCTCGGTTTAGTGACTCAGTGTAAATGTTAAATATTTTAAATTCTACAAGAGACTAAGGTCAGAGTCTTCAGTTTTCGTAGAATCTCCTTTCCAACTGTTTGCCATGCAAATATCTATTCAATAATTGTACATGCCAATGCCAGCTAATGGTCTGAGTAATAGTTACGATGCTCGTAATTATCTCGAAAATCATCGGCGCAGATAATACGTCCGATCGTTCAATTACTCGTTCCAATAAAACAATAGACCAACGTCCGAACAAACCGTTTCTCCGTGTCCGTTGCTCCCCCTAGTTTCTTTTACGTAACGATCAATGATCGATTCCATAAGATCGCATGGAATCGACGAAACCGTCGTGTATCGCCGTGAAATATCATCGACCGTGCGTCACAGATAATTTTAATCGTTAGCAATAACCGTGGAAACGCGGGCGGTGCAGTTTTCCCCTCTCTGCATAATGTTTATTCTATGTTTACGCGATGAAATCATGACCTCGAATCGCAAATTAAGTGAATTTCAAGCGGCATTGTTTCTTCGCATTTGTTATACGCGACCGAGACATTAACGCCGCGGCTATATTTATAATGGAAAAGAACAAATGTAAAGGCTGGCGACGAGCAATCGTGCGTGGAAAATTAATTAATGTTACATTGAACCCCGAGTCCAATGAAAGAAGCCTCCAGTTCACTTCTTTGATCTGTACCCCTGGAACGCGGGTAAATAAACTGATTAAGTGAACTTGATTGAACCCTCCTTAATTGATACGTGTATCAGCATGGATGGATAAGGGACATAAGACGTTAATAATTTCTAATTTCGTTCGGTCTGTGGTGTATGAGAATTGATGGTGAGAGATACTCTTATTCGTACATTGAATTAGGGGCCTAGTAGACTGTTAACGATCATGTATTGGTGAAATTGTCTAATTTATTAGTAATTTCTGAAGAAAAAAAAAGTACAAAGTCTACTTCTTACCAATCTCTCTATCTTTTATCATCTAACTCCACGAGTTAAGCGTTCGGTAAATTCGCGAGCGCTTAAATCTGGTTCTGGTGACGGAAACGAGCTCTGTACATATAAACGTGTCCGTGTGGTGGTGAGTGTGTGATTATACGAACCGCTCGTTTTTATCTCTCCTCAGGGTCTCAGCGGTGATTTGGGCGCGCGTGAAGTTCTCGTTGGCGAATTGCGTGAGGCTGCCGAACCTCTGCGGGAGGGTTGCGCTGCAGAGGTCCGCGAGAAGGTCGAGGCAGCGGTGAATGAGGCCGTGCAGGCCTGGGAGGACACCAGGGCCGAATTAGATGCCCTTTGCACCAAGTATCAGCACGCGTGCAGATTGTGGGAACAGTACAAAGACTCGAGTGCCGCGGTTAAGGCCTGGGTGGACACGCAGATGGACAGCGTCGCGAACCTGCCACCTGAGGAGGCCGTCAAACACATCAAGGTACGCCTTCGCTAGTTCTCATTTTTTACTCTGTACATTTACGATCGTTGTTATACGGTGGATGTTTATATGATAGTTTCTTGATATGCATAGGTTCTAGGACTAACTTGTGTTGTAAAAATACAATAGGCAATTCAGAGTTTCTTTTTTAATAATAGCATTGGGAAATATCGAATGTTCGGAGAGCCGTCTTTATCGTATCTCTTTGTCATTATTGGCAATCTGTCAAAGAGGCTTTATGTTGTCGTACCCACGACACCTTTTAACAAAAAGTAATGAAATTTTCTATTCACTTAATTTTTTACATTCACTCTAGCTGTATATAAAAGATCACATTTTCTTTAGTTCTGTGACTTATGTAGGTACTCCTCTGTACTTGTTTCTTTTAACGTCTTTATCTTCCATACTTATTTTTAAACCGTATAAAGTACATTTATTGTAAAATCAAGGAAAACGACTAAAGGGTGTGACGGATAGAGATAAAGAGCATAGAAATGACAAAAGTAGAAGGTCCTCTTGATTTTATATTTAATGTTTGAGTCACCAGATAAAATTTTATGTGTATTTAAACCAAGAGAACCGATGTAATCTGTGAAATGAAATTTTTACAGTACGCTTTTCTTTTCAATTGTATTCGCATGCCTACTTGTGTATACGCGTTTCTATGAGTAAGGGATTGTTACAAGTCCGAATCCCTTAAATTCTATTGTGCTCCGTCTGAGCGGTTAATTGTTCCAGCAGGCGTGACTCATCAGTACACACCGGTCAGTGAATTATTCCGAACGTAAGAAGTAAATTCTCAAGAGCAAACGTAGTAAATTAAATCAGTATTTTGTAATGTCCAGTCAAACGAGTGAACGCAGAAATCCTCTGAACAAACATTTTAACGTCTTCAAACATCTTCACTGTATTTTCAATTTAAACATTGTCAGTCACCTCAAAGAGACTCCAATTCCTTATTCCAAGATTATATTATTCCAGTAAAAAGGCAGTTTTTAAAAGTTGGCAACGTATGTACCTAGTATCAACCACCGTTCTTATCACTTGTAAAACAACGATGACATAATGTTCATTATCGAAATGTGGTAACGTTTGTACATATTGCCAAACCAGCCAGGCTGTCTATCACGCCCAGATAACCGTTGAATTTCGGTATATCTAAGAATCATCAACGCGATTAGATGGATTAGTTTCTAAGTTTTTTGCTTATTAATATTTTTTTCGAACTACCGACGATAAAATCAGAAATTAACTAATTTCTTCACTTTCATATTTCAATAAAGGTTGTAAAAGATCTGTGAAAATGCATTATTGTAGCATCTGATTCATCAGTCATTACTTTATGAAATATTTAATGTCCAGTGCCGAGGAGCCATCGAACACTCACCAAGAATTTACTGCAAGTACATACAAATCAAAAATTTCTTGAACGCTAAAAATGAATTTGCCCAGCAAAAGGTTAACAGTATTGGCAATCGCTTAATCGCACCCCACCCCTAAGAATCATCCCCCGAAATCATCCAGAACGCTTACGTGGCTGCGCTTCATCCTCTGAATGGGGTCCCTTGAGGGAGGGAAGGGGTGGGTTAGTGTCATCGCCCCCGCCCCCGTCGCGTCACGAAGCAGACCGTGCGTCGTCGAACCGACTATTCACCCTAACGCAAGTGCGCCCCGAAACGTGACTCCGCTGGAGGGTAGGTCGTTGGAATACAGGGCAAGAGGGTCCCCCCCACTCGGTGTCGGGGTGGATGCGCATCGATCCCCGGAGAGACGCGAACTCACGCCCTGATATCGCTGCTATTCATTTTTATCGTACAAACATACGCCGCAAACAGATACCACCGTGAAACACGCGTGTGGCATAAGGCCGATTTCGCAACGTTCCCATTCGTCACGCCGGATTATGTGCTTTTTCTCGTGTACGCGTTGTCGGCTGGCCAGCAGTACCCCAGCTTCCGGCCGATCGAGAATCCGAGGCATGTGCTACTACGTCACGGGACGACACGTGTTCACGGGCAGCGCTACGTCCGTCGCGGGTAGACGCTGCGCGGCGTGACCGCGATCTGTGTAAAGAAAAAAAAAAGGAAGAAAATAGTTGACGAGATGAACGTTGACCTAAATTGAGAGTGTATCATGTGCACGCCCGAGGAGATAAAGGTATATATATAGGATCGAAGGATCACCCTGTATATCGATCCGTTCCTTCTTTTTTTTCGCTTGGGGAAGGCATCGAGGGGATGAGACCCCCTTTCATTCTTCTTCTCCCTAGCACAGTGTGTGTATCCTTGTCTCTGCTACGGTTATTACCCTTTTCTTCCCTTTGTTAGTCCTGTAGCTACAGTGGCTGGTTCTGACGGGATGTTTACTTTCGTTTTTTGCTGTGGAACGAGTTTCGTATGTGTAGTTGGTGGTTTTCCCTTAACTGGTGGGGGTGCGGTCTGAGGAAACCCTGTGAATATTTTTGGAGTATTTTATTTTTATTTGATTGCTCACAGGGGAACTATCAAAGCGTCAGAATAATCGGTTCGTGAACTCTGGGGAAAATTATTTTAAAATGTCATAATTAAACTGCGGACGTTTATGCATTTATAACATCCCTTAACTTGGAAAATACAATGAAGTAAGGGTTTTAATACAGTTTAATACTATTTATGTGTTATTGCTAACGTAGTTAAGCATCTAGTATAGAATTCCAAATTCGTATTAATTTAACGATTTGCAATATGTTTGACAAGTTGTCCCTTGTACCAACATGATACAAATAGAAATACATTCGTCTTCGGTAGTTTTAGTGTGAAAGTGGCGTTTGTTTGGTCGAAACAACTAGCTGTGTAATAAGTAATAAGATTTCTGCACTGAGTAATAAGATTTTCGTAATAAATAATGAGATTTCCGCCTCACCAATTAAGGGTTAACAAAAAATGCAATTGACACAACGACTTCGATCTGACGTATTATCCTTGTTTGCGGTTTCACCATTTTCTTCTTGACGTTTCCGCCGGTGTGGCAGATGTGTGGTCTCATAGATGGTTCTTGAAAGAGTTCCTTTGTGCGCGTAAAGAAGGTTTATATATACATACATTTTTTTAATATCTAACCGGAAGTGCAGTGTGTGATTCCGTCGTTCAGTTTGGTGTTATCATTACCCGGTTGTTCACTATTTTCTCTCTATTGTTACGGAGTGTCCACTGTATAATTCCGCGAGAGGAACGTTCCATACTTTCTTTCCTCGCGTAGCGAAGGAGATTCGTTTCTGTAATATCTAATCAGAAGAGTGTGGTGGATTCTACGTTTCAGTCGTGTGTGACGCAACGAACTGGAATAGAGTTTCTGTGAAACCTTTTGTGCCACAGTGAACTCTACTAAATCCTAGTTTATATTTACTTCTCACGGTACGGGCATCGAAATACACAGGATACGTGCCTCGAGATCGGAGTTGAGCAGAATTTTAATCGTATAATATCTAGTGAAAAGAAATAAAATCCATGATATCTAGAAACTCGTCTCTACGGTCTAAGCAAAATATTTTTCTTGTTTTAACAGTTGAAATTTCCAACTAATTTCTTATCTTTCGTTCAGTATATTCAGACCTGCTTATCTCAAGATGCATAACGCGCGAAGATAAGGAAGGTTTATGGCGTTGATAACGATATTTAATTGCAGTTCTATGGTTTCCAGTGATTTTAAACAGTGAACTGTGGTAAACGAGTGTCATTATGTGGATAGAATACGCGTATTTGGACTGAATCGAATTGCATCTGGCGTGGGCATCTGTCATTCGTAGTTGTCACGCTTTTTTCTACGACACTGCTCTGTCTCTCTCCCGTTCATTCATTCGTCCATTCACTTCTGCGCACGTCATCCATTCACGTGCTACCGCGTGTACGTGTGTGTGTACGTCATGGTCGGTTCGTATCATAGATGAAATATGCATTCAGTATGCGTTCCGAACGATGCAACGCTCGTTCTGTCTCTGATGCACGAGTTTTCGAAACAAGCTGCGAAGTATTCCCCTTTTCAAAAAACCAACGATACTATGTCTTTCTTTAGGGTATCTTCGTGCTGTCACTGCTTAGTTAGATGGCTTTGAGAATTGTTAGAGTGAATAATAAATTAAAATAACGATCTATGAAGCTATTAATCAGGTTGTTGTCCCTGGAATACTATTAATTCGATTTATAATTGCTTCAATTACTGCAGACTGTAACCTCTGTTAAGATATAGAAATGATTGAAGAAACTTGACAAGTTTTTATGTACTAATAAAGGTAACAGAACATCTAAACCTGTTTCGAAAGGCCATTCATTTTCCACTTGACGATAACACCTAATCAGTTTAAAGCTTTTAATAAATTACAGTCACTCTGTGTTAAGATAAAATTATTCTGTTGCATGAAAGAATCGCTATCTCACCTGCAGACACTTTCTTTCGCTATGAATAGTACACACGCGATAACACCTCACCGTGTAAAGAGACGCTTTAAATATTTATGAGGAAACAGTGACCAGGATATGTACGCGTGACAGAGTTTCTCTGACGGTTGGAGAAGGTGAGACAGGCTCACTTTGCTCTGGATGTCTGAACTAGAACAGATTCTTCAATAATTGAGCTACTCTGATTTTATAAATATCTACAGTAAACCCTCGATGAGTGTCCGAAGGCTCCTCAGCATTGCCAAGGAGAGGTCACTATGTATAACCCTGACTTTTCAATGACTTTTACCACAATGATCGAGCTTGGAATTCTGATGTCAATAATATTTGTTACACTCGCATATAGTCATTAATTTTAAAAATATTTAACATTAATATCTCGTTAACGAAGCCCAAACGAAAGATTTTTGGACGAAGATTTTTAAGAGTTGGTCGATTCTATTTTACAGATTTGCGAGGAGACGATGGCCGAGCACAAGGAAAGGCTGGTGGAGCTTCGAGGCCTGGTGGCCCAGATCGCGTCTGACGTCGGTCTGGACGCGAGCGGCCCGTTGCACTGCGAGGTGGAGGCCCTCGGACAACGTCTCGAAGACATCCGCGAGACCTTGTCCTGTCTCGCGGACGCGGCGGACGCCCGCGCCCTAAACCAGGAGCTCGCGCGGGGCGATCTATGCCAGACGAAAAATTTCCTGGACTCGGTCCAACAGGCAAGTAATTATATAATCTTTTCGCGGGCCGATTCTCGTGCGCCGACGAAACACCCGAGACAGGCGTGATTAACCGACTGTTTCGTGTTTTTCTTTTCTTTTTGTTCTTTCTTTCATCGCCACCCCTTTGCGGCGCATCGCCAGCCGCATTTTGGGCGCAGTCAGGCGATGGATAAAATATGTTGAGGATAGGAGATTTGGACTAGATTCTTGTAATTATGTATGGAGGTTCTGGTAATTTCAAAGGAGGATAGCATGCGTTGTGGGAGTTTGATTGGGGAATTAATTATGCATACAGGGTAGGACATTGAGGATTATCGACCCCTAGATCTGTATTATAACCACATGGCGTTGGAGTCATCTGACAGGAGTGATGGTAGTTATATCAGGGAACAGTAGGAATTATAGCTCATAAGAGAAAGTTAAGTAGAACTAGAGCTCATGATTGATGGAACAATAACTCTGTATTCTGTTACGATATAATAAAATTCACGGAATCGGTACTGTATACAAATTCTTTCCAATCAATTTTAGCACATTACTTTTATCAAATCTTCGTAGGATAATATTTTGTTCTTGTTTTAATTATCAGACCTGGTCCCATAATTTTGGCTGGTAGTGTATGTTCAGCCACCCAACAAAAGCTACTTGTACAGAAATGATTTTACTCCTTCTGTGAATTTCTAATAAAAAGAATCAATGAAACATCGACGTCCAGTCGTCGTCTGGTGAAGAGTAGACACATAAACTGCATCGTAAATCTCAGTGCGTGCTGAATGATGCATTCCCGGTCAACTTTCCCCCGACGAAAATTCGTAAACAGTAGCCCCGTTTCATAAATATTTTGACCGTGTACATGGGTATCGATGGAAAACGTGTTGATACGGACGCTTCGCGTCGTATGGTTAGCAGGGCCGACGTGTTTATTTAAATTAGCGCCAGACGCCACTGGGAGCTTCTCTTCACCAACTGAGGTCACTGGCTCGACACAACATTAAAATTTGTAAGGAAACCATGCCTATCAGTACAAGTTATTAGAAATCCTTCAGACAGTATACGCTCTGACAGTTACACACTCTGACGGTGCCATTAGCGTCCAAATTCCAACCTGTGTTACCACGTTTTAATTATCGTAGTCCGAGCTTCGTTAAAATTCTAGGTATTCCGATTGTGATCTCTTCAGTGTCGTATATTCTTCGAACAATTATCAATAGATTCTTCTCTTAAGTATCTCATTAAGTTCAGGAGAAAATAGAAAACTCGTTGGGTTCGATAAAAGTTTTGTTTTTATTGTATTTCACATAAAATCACATTGTATTCAGATAAATAATATTTTTTACCGAGGAAAATTAAGTGTGAGTGGTGATTTTAAGGTGTTTGGACTTTCACTCTTCTGTTTCTTTGAAAAATAAATCTCAAGGTACGATAAATTATGTTAGATTTGGTCATACTACAATCATATTAAGTTTTTCAAAATTCAGATTACAAAATCGGTTCAGAAAAATAACGGAAAGACGTTGAACGGAAACGCCACGGTTCGACGTTAAGGAATCGCGTAAAGATTCACGGATTGCCTCTAGGCGCGATGTCTGAATTCCACGGGGAGCAACGTTTCTGAGAAACGAGGGGTTCTAAAGCCGTAAGTTTCATATGCTGAAGAACGACGTGTACGCGGCTTTCCCGTTCTCTTATTCTGGCCTTCAGCGGATTCGTCTGGAGCGCACGAAATGCCTCGAATCGTACACCGTCGCCGTTTCGTTTTCTTCGCGGACTGCATAACGCCTAACACCTGCACAATTCAACATTCCACGTCAATCCGGGTACATTCGCAATTTTAGAAGTTTACAGGTTACAGAATATTCTATATCCGAATTATTGGTCTAAAACTATTTTTTACACAACTATTAGAGGATAAACTTAAGAAATGATTTAAGCACCATTCGAATGCATAATAATAAATTCAGATCAAATCAACATTACAGACCCAATAATATACCAATTTATTATTTAGTAAATGTTTAACTCTTATATTATTATACGTTATTAAACTCAATTATTATTCTTTGTTATACAAATAAGCAAAAATACAAGTTCAAGATAATAACTTTTTTAACTGGTTGAAAGTAGCAAAAACCACCTTACCAATTATGACCTTAAAACCGGCCTTACCATTCGAGGGTTGAACATCAGACCCTCTGAAACCCAGTTCGCCCCAATCGCGATCCTCCGCTACAAATTGCCTCTCCACTAAATCTTTTTACGACCAGTTCGAACCTCGTGATTCGAGAGTGGTTAAAAAGAAACCGTGGTGTGGCGCGTGTTACGAAAACTCCCCGGGTGATGGTTATTTTTATTATCGTACAAGGTTGCCCCGGAACCGTAGCTGACGGAATAGAGGACCTTGGCCGATACGTTGTTCCCGTCATCGTTCGGATTAATAAAAAAAAAAAATACAGTTAAAGCACCAGGATCAGTGTTTCATTCGAGCCCTTGATGAAGTTAGTTGCAATGTTGCAAAACCTGTTGAAAAAATAACTCCACCAGGCCACGGTTTACACCCAAAAGCCTCAACAGTAATAACACTATTTCTTTAACCACTCGAAACGACGATATCGTTTTTCGTACGCGTCCATCAGTTTCCGGCGTGCTATTGGGTGCTTGGCACAGGCCCCGCGGATCATTAGCTCCGCACGCGCGTTTACATTTTAATCGCGATAGTTCCGAAACAATTTGTTGTGTCAAGGCCGCGAAGGGCTTAAAAGCTTGATAAGGGGTTGGTGGTGGGGGCTGGCAATTACATCAGTCACGAAATCCGCAACAGCTGAAAATCCAACGGCCGTGCACCCGGAGCCAGCAGCAGCACTCTTTGGCGAAACTTTCGACGCGCCCACCTTCGATTCCACCGCCACACCGTTCGCGTTTCCGATCGAATTTACGGCCGAATCGGCGACTACGATTCGACTATGCCGACGGGAAATCCCCAAGGACGTCCGAGAACCGCGAATAGACGTAAGTAGGTGTTGCTCGGACGAGGCTGGAGTTTGCTGGAACATCGATAGGGGGTGGGGGGACAGGTGAACGCGATCGAGTGGAGCACCGTTGATGTAGGGAGAAGAGATTGGATTATTAACTATGAAACTTCTCCGCTGTTATCTGTTCGAGGGTATAGAGACACTTATGTAAGATCGATTAAACTCGTGGATTCGAATAGAGCAGTACACATCAATATACTGCTGCGATGAATGGAAAACGAAAGATGTCCTCAAATGTTAATATACAAAACCGAGAAATAAATCTTATAAATCTGACCATTTCAATGAAAGCTAAAAAAACATTGACGGAACCAAAAACAAAAAATCGACACTAAAGAAAACCTTTGAACTAATCCCAATGAATTCTTCTGTTCCCTTTCAGAGCCTTACCGCAGTGAACCAAGGCGAGTCGAAGGAACAGTTGAAGGTTCTCCGGAATCACCTACTCGCTTTGACCTGCACCGAACCGCAGCTGCAGTCCATCAAGGAATGCAGCCTGGAGGTGACCACGCAAGAGCCTTCAGTGGTGGAGGTGTTGCAGCTTTGGCAGAAGGTCTTCAGGGAGACGTTCCAGCAGTATCACCGATTGTCCACTCGTCTGGTGAAAACGCAGGACGGCGCCACAGCGTTGAAGCTCTGGCAGGAGTACCTGACCCACGTGCAGGACTTCCTGTCGAATGGGGTGCCCAGCGACTATAACGGGCTCTCGGAGCACAGGAACCTTTGCGAGGTTCATCGGAACCTCCTGACCGATCAACAGAATCTCATTCTAACCGTGAGAGCCGAGGAAGGCGGAAATCTCTCGACCACGGAACAGTTTAACATACTAACGAATCTCCACAACGAGACGTTGGCCAGGATAATGGAAAGGCACGCGGCGGTACGAGACAGGTTGGCTGCGTGGGACAGATACAAGCAGGACCAGAGCAAGCTGCTGACCTGGCTGAAGGAGATCGAGAGGGAACGGGGACAGTTACATCTCAGGTTCATCCACCTTAGAAGGCTGGATAAGATCCTCCAAAGGATACAGACCCTGCTGGACAAGCTACCTCAAGGTGAAGCTCAGTTGGAGTCCCTTCAGGAGCAACAGGAATCTTTGCTCGTCAACTGCGACGAGGCATTGGCTGTGTCCATTCGAATGGAGCTAGCGGCTGACGCTCAACGGATCGCTAACCTGAGCGCCAGTTTAGAAACCTGGAGGGACTTCATTCAAAGGATACAGAGACTACATGGGGAGTATGAGGAACAAACTAAGACGATCAGCACAGCGTTCGATGAAATTGGTCAAATATTCAGCACAGCTTTCCACGCGAAATCCGCCAGTTTATCGAGAATCAAGGAGCAATTGGAATCCGTGCAACAGCTCCAGACCAGGCTGTCCAATATGAGTCCAGAATTAGAGTCCCTTGGAGTCATCACGGAGCAGTTGAGGGAGTGTCTGAGCCCCTCGGATATGAAGACGTTGAACCAACAACGATCGTTGTTGTGTCAACAGCACGGCGATCTGGAACACCAGGCGGCGTTGTTGGTCTACAGGTTGGAGGAACGTGGCGGGTTGTACGATCGTTGGAAGGACCGATTGGGTAGGATGTTGACGTGGATGGAGGAGACTGAGATTCAGATCCAGAACTGCGACACGATCACTCCGAACGAACCGGAGGAGACACTGAAGAGGCTGGAATGCGAGCTGCAGGCAGAGATCGCCCTGAAGCAACGTGATCTCTCGTGGTTGCAGAACACCGGTCACGATCTGATCGTGGTCACGGAAGAAAGGGAAAGGGAACAGTTGCAACGATCGTTGGATGAGGTGAACGAGAGGTGGGATCGTTTGTTGGCTACAGGGAAGGCCAGAGCCACGCAACTGGTCGATCTTATGAGGCGGATGAGCGCGTTGGAGAAACGGATAAACGAGCTGAGGAGCTGGCTGGCCAGCGTCGAATCTCAGCTGTCAGAGACGTTCGTGATCGAGACGATCCAGCAGAGCTGCATCGACGAGAAGCTCGAGGATCACAAACACTTGCAGAAGATGATCGAGGCAGAGAACAGGAACATCAGCGAAGTGTTGAGCTTCTGCCAGGCGTTGCTGAACGAGTGCGACGCCTGCAAGGTGTCCTTCAACACGGACGCGATCAAAAATGGAATGGAGGGTCTAGAACGTAGATGGAAGGCCACGTGCGTGAAATCGGCAGAGAGGAAGAAGAAGATCGTGCAAGCGTGGAAGATACTGCAAGAGTTACGGAAGATCAAGGCTGAGAACGAAGGCTGGCTCGGCGAGACTGATAAAGCTCTCGTGGACCTGGAACACGGTCTGGACGAGGTCTCGAAAGAGGAAGCTGGTAGGATCATCGAGAGGGCCAAGATCATTGCGGACGATGTGGAATTACGTGATCCAGTGATCAAGATAATCGAGGAGAACTTCGGACGCCTAGCGCGTACGGGTTTAGAACCAGATAATCTAAAGTCTCTTATCAGTGATATTAGACTGCTTATCGATAAGTGGCAAACGTTGGAGCCTAGAATCAATGCTGTTCTACTGACGCTCGAGCAAGGTCGGAAGAATTATCGGGACTTCATTACGGTGCACGGCGCGGCGGTTGTCGGACTGACGCAGGTCGACATCCGACTGACCACGATCCAACACCTTGCCACGCCTGAACAAAAGGCTTCGGTACGACGCAGGCAACAACAACTGAACGAGATCGAGGAGGAGCTCAGAACATTCAACGTCACGCTGCAGAGAGCAGACGAGTTGGCGTTGAAAGTGATGCAAGAGTGTCATCCGAGCGACGTACCGAACGTTCAGGAACTAGTGGACGAGTATCAGCTTCTGTGGAAGGACATCGCGAACAGGGTGGCATCTTTGAGAGCTGAAATCGAGGGACAGGAAAAGCTTGAAGTCGACGAGGCTGTCCAAGTGGAGACTTTAAAGTTCGAGCAAGACACCGCCGTGCAAGTGGACACTTTGCCCAGGTTATTGAGAATGACATCCAGTGACGCGTATTTGATGGAGCTGGAGGCTGCGCTCGTCGAATGCAGCGACGCTTTGGACACGTTGGAAGCGGCTGTCACGCCGGATCCTGTCGCTGGATCTGGACTTAACGCAGCTGCGAAGAATATTGTAAGTGGATCAAACGAATCTCTCGGCACTTCGAAGGCTCCTCGGCACTGAGAAAGAGGTCCCCAGGTGTAATGCTGATTTTTTAATTAAGTCTAGTACAGTAATTGAGCTTGGAATTCTGAAGCAATGATGTCTGTTTCAGCCACATATGGCCATTAGTTTATGAAATATTTCATGTTCAGTGCTGAGGAACCTTCGAACACTCGTAGAGGATTTACTGTATCGTTTATCATCGTTAAAATTTTGTAATTTCGTAGAGTAAACTGATTGGAAGCTGTCAGTCGTCTATCGAACTGGTTCGACATCTCCACGGATTGCTGATAGAGGATGGAAAATTGAGTCCCCAGGCTGCGAAAGGTAACGAGGTGGCGGAGTTGACGAACAGATACGAAGACCTACTCCAGCTGGCGAGAACACGGGAACAACAGATCAGAGAACTCAGGTAGAACCCTGTACCGAACAATTGTTCTGATTGTTTAATTGCGACTGTTGCACGGTGGACGTTCTCCAATTCGAACCATTGAGCCAATATTAAGCGAGAAATTTTTTTCACACACAGGTCACCTAACACCGACGTATACACATCCCCCTGCGATCAGTGAGTGTTCCCCCTTTCGCACTAACAGTTTCTCGTTGACGATCATTAACGTTCTCCATTCATTTTAACACACACTTTTTCCTCTGCCCGTTTCACGTCGAAGCAGCGAACTGTTCATTTAAACGAAATACAGTAAAAGTTGGATTAGTACCAGTTGTTTTATATTGACAGCAATTTTGTTTCTTAGTCTTGATTGACGAAAATTTTATTTTTTATTCCATAGCGATAACGGCAGGCTGACCTGTCCCCTGTGCTCCCGCCGCAATTGGGCGCAATTGGAGAACGATCTATGGCGGCTGGAGAAGTGGCTAGAATTCGCGGAAGGCACGCAAAGCGAGCAACACTGTCCGCCCAGCAATATCGATCAGCTCGAGGATGTGATTAGGGATCATCGTGAATTCTTATTGGATTTGGACAGCCACAAGAGCATTCTCGCGAGCCTGAACACGGTCGGGGCCCATCTGGCCGATCACAAGGAGGAAACGCGACGAGCGACGCAACTCAGAGAGAGATTGGTGATCACGAACGATAGGTGGGACAAAGTGTGCGTACAGGCCGCACACTGGCAGGAACAACTGCAGGTCGCGCTGATGTCGAATCATCAATTCCACCGTATCATAGAGGAAATGGTTACCTGGCTGGAGAAAACGGAAGTCAGTATAAGGGCCAGCGAGCCGGTTGACTTGACCGAGTCGCAGGAAATTATGAAGGCGAAGTATAATAAGTTCAGGTACGTTAAGATATTGTGTGTCTAAATCTTATTACTTGGCTACTTAATGGAATGGACTGTTCTATGGAAGTTCTAACGAAATCAAAGCAATTTACAATAAAATTTGGACCTTCAGAAATTAAAATTTTTTTCATGAAAATTTGGAACTTTGTAAGTTAGACTATTCCTTCAATCCTAAATCTCCTATGTTAAGATTAGGCCTAACTACAATAAATTTAATTTACTCAGCATTTTACCAAAATATTCTGCTTACAGTTTTACATTTAAATAATTCCACCCATATGTGGGTGACGGGACAGTCAAAGTGTTAAAGCAGAATAATAAATAAAAGAAACTAGGAATTAAGGAAAATTGCCTTTTTCCAGGGAGCTGAGGAGCGACCTAGAGCGTTGCGAGCCCAGAGTTCTCTCGCTACAAGAGTCGGCAAATCAGTTACTGGACGAGAAAGGTGAAACCAGAGCGTGCCTACAGGAGCTGCGACTCAGGTTGCAGTCCCTTCGTCGTCTGACAGGAATATACGCATTGAAATTGGGGGCTGCGCTAGGAATGGACCCGAGGGATGTTGGGCTTACTGCCACGACATCGTCCCTCGCTTCCCTCTCCCACGACGTAAGCGCCGTCATTTTATTGTTCTCTTATTCATATCGAACGGAAACTAGAAACAGTGTAAAATTCGGCTCGAGGTATCTTGAACGAAATATCGAAGCGGTACACCTTACAGTAGCTTCTTTTTAGAGAGAACGTTTCCAGGGAACGTCACAGTCCTCTGAGGCTACTTGCCGAAAACTGGTTCTCGCTTCTTTTGAATGTTAGTCCTCGGTGTAGACGTATGCACCACGTCGTAGGATCACGTTAATTGATACTTCGAACACGGGGCACGGAAACCGGTAAACAAAATCGACGGGAGACGAATACAAATATTAGTTCAGCAACCAAATGACAAATACATACTCGGTGGAGATCGGAGTTACTTAGAATTATTCGAACTCCGAGTAAATTCTCGAATGAAGATTTTGTTTTTTTATCGTTCCGTGCCTCGTAACAGTAGCATTCACACGCACAGTACCTTATTCTTTGTGTTTTCTCTTTTACTTATTGTAGCTGCTCGACGAAGCTGCCTCTGGAACCGTACAGCCCCGCGACGCACCCGGCACAGAGTACGTTGTTACATTTTCTGTTTTTTCGTTCGAAGCAACGTTTCCCAACAATTTTTACCATTGTTCGGAGATTTTGGATTCACTCGATTCTTTGAAAATGGACCCTTGAATTCTTATATATTTCAACTAAATAAGGGCAGTTCAACAACAACAAGAGAAATAAATGTTAATCTTTAACTGGTAAGGTGGTTTTCTTACATAAAAAATGCGAAAGAACTAATTATGTATCAAGTAATAAGATTTACACCTTACCAGTTAAGGGGTAAAGAGAAAAAATAACTACACCAAATAAGTGACCCGACACTTCTGAGCGATAGGGTACACCCTTTGATAAAACTACCATATTCCACTAGTAAGAAGAATATTAATGATCCTACCCGAACGTGTTTCAGTGGTGACGATGGCCATCGAACGGTATTGTCTCGGGGATACCGTTTCCTGGGTCGGGTATTGCGAATCTCCTTGCCGATCCAAGCCCTGATGCTGGTGGTCCTTGGTGTCGCCTCTTTGGTGCCATCCGCCGAAGAGGACTACAGCTGCATGCTGTCGAACAATCTCGCGAGAAGCTTCACGCCAATGGTCGTCTATCCGAACGGGCCACCGCCGATTTAATCGTAAAACGACTCGGTCCCAGACGCGCCGACCTCACGAGTCCTAAAAAATCATCATCCGGTCGGAGCCATCGAAATCGCGCGAAGCGGAAACGCGAGACCACTAACGATCTGCGTACCTACTTAACTAGTCTGTCGTATGGCGATCTTCCTACACTGTCGAGCAGAAAAAGCTATCTCGGTTGATTTTATCAGGTTGTACGATCGTCCGGAGAGAATCGAACGTCTTCTATCCACGCTTGTCTCTCTGGGCGGGCGCTCGTGTTGCCTGCGACGCCATTTTGGCGCGTTGACTGGCATCTATTAAAATTCTCACTGAACGAAAGTGATTTCTTCGACAAAATTGAGAATCTTGTGTGATCCAAAATTTATTATGTTTGAAATATTCTGATTTTCTTTTTTTAGAATTTATAAATTGTAAAACAACTTTATTTCATTCTAGAAGAATTGACTTTTGTTGAGCTGTCAAGTATCGATCCGTGAACAGGCGACATATATATGGCAGTCAATGCGTCACCGACAAATAACGATTTATACCACGTGTGATAGAAAGCGTTTGTATTTGTAATAAACACGTTATACGGACCAAAACGATCGTCGCTGTACGACCAGCAGCATCCGTTTTACTTAACGTTGTTCTGTATATTCGTGATCCATCGTGCAATATTCCTGTTTCCGCAAGAGTTCGAGACACTTTCGGTAAATAGAAAAAGGTCCACGACGTATATATATATATATAAAAAAAAACGACCTCTCGTATTCGACGGATTTTCGATTCCGAGTTCTGTTAGTCCCTCCCCGACATTCCATGTAACATTATCACGAGCGTATTTATTTAGATCTATACATTAAAAAAAATTGCAGATACTGTTCCGTTGATGATTATCTTTGATTTTGTTCTGTATTCGATGAAGTGACGAGAAAGGGAGGAAAGTTAATGTCACATGGAATGCGCGAGAAACGTTGACGATTTAATTAATTACGATTATTAACGACGAAACGAATCGCTTTTGTATGTGTGCACGCACGTATGTTGGTAACCGCGAAACGCGTTCGCGAGGGAATCGAGTGTATTCTTTCCGCGGGTTTCGTAATTTATGCTAGTAACGTAAACGAAAGATATAATACTTGTCCGACTTTATTTTTTATACCTTGCGTTTATAATATATAACGAACAAAAGAGAGAGAGAGAGAGAAGAAAGAAAGGAAGCGCGAAAGATAGTGAGTGAAAGAGAGAGAGAGAGAGAGAGAAGTGTATCGAATATGTTCTTTCTTTTATTTTGTACGATTACTTAAGATGGAGAAAAGACACGTTGTCCCATTAATAACGAACAGTGTTACCCGTTTATCGGACGAGGTGGTGTTCTTTCCAGGCGAAAACGACACCGGATACGCACAAATCGATCACGACATTCATTCATTCGAGGGTACAAAATAAACGACTGTATTTAACGCCACCCCTTCGCCGCTAGTTTCGCTTCCTAATTTATCGGTATCTTGCTTGCTGCGCGATCGAGCTTTGTTATGTATTTTTATAAGGACAGAGCTTTCAGAGGGCGGTGTACATCTGTCGATGTAATATAAATTACAATAAATTGAAGCGTATACAAAAGTTTCATTCGTAGATTGCCACTTTCAGAACTGAGTACTCCAGTAATCCCAGCTACATATTTTGGTTCTACTCGAGTTCCATAAATTTATTGCTATTGTGAAGTAATTTTTAGATCGTCTTGATAAATCATTAGCCGAATAATAATATTTATACCAGCTGCTTTATAACCTTGCAATGCAAGGGAAACATTCGCTACGACCCTTAGAATCCAATATGGCGGCGCTACAGTATGCACTTCATCATAGAGACATACTAATCAACTTTTCATTCCTTCAGGTACCTTACCGTTGACGAAAGTTAAATACAACCCACACCGAATTGCATAAACCAAGTCCATTTATCCTCGCTATTGGAACGATGTTTAAGATTATTAACTTCAGACAGAAACATAAACACTGCATCAACGCTTGGTGTCCGACGGCGTGAAAACACGACGCAAAGTGTGAATAAAGTCTCTGCAAACGGGAAAATCTTCTTGTCCACAGATAAAAGTAACGTTGACAACATAAAACCCAATGTTAATGAACAATTCTAAAATGTTAGTCCGCCATTAATGAGCCAAGACTTCCGGACCAGACCAAAATGGGGCAAGGTAAATTCGAAGTTCCGAATCACTTGTCTTAATTTTTAGAAAGGTGTTTCACTGTTTGTATTCAGGACCAAAGCTTGGTTAACTCTTCGATCGTCAGCTGCACGACCCTGAATCATCGAGTCGCGTTATAGGTTCCAGTTCACTAAAGAGACGAGCAAACAGACGTACGTCTTTAGCGTGGATTTACGTGTAATTTATCCAAGCGCAGCGGCAGGTAGAAATCGCTGTGGATGCGATCGAGGCGCCGCAATAAACATTTTATCAGTGGCGCCTGAGGAAGTACATATACGCCGAACATTTCCGAACATACAGTCGAAGCGAGACAGACAACACACGCTTTGCGTTTTCTATTGACACATGGCTGTCGAAGTTCATTATACCCTACAACTGAGGCGTCTCTATGCAAACACCGGCAATTTGCGTATCTTTGATATGTATATAATCATACATATGCATATGTACATCTTGTGCCTTAGAAAAGCGGATGAAGGAGGATTTAACCACGTGACGAGAATCGATATTTTAAAACAAGTAACTTAAGATATTCTGCAGTGTTAATTCAATTGTAGAGTGTTGAATAACCAGATTCTCCAATATTGAAACGCGAAAAAGTAATTCCAGTAACTAAAGTTCAAGTCGGGAATTTGTGAAGTATATGTTATTTTAGTAAACATCAAGGACTAACTACTAACTGAAGGAAACCCACCTCTACCACGAAGTTTCAATTGAAAAATCGACCCGACTCTGTTGCTAATGACCTAACCGTCGATGTGACATTAAACTAAATTAGAAAAAAGAGAACAACTTCATAGAAACTGAATTATTAATGAAGTATATGTCGGGTAATCATTTTTAGTTGGTACACTTTACGATTATCCAGCTGTGCAGAACTAACTATCGGACGAGTTAAAATTGTAACGATTAATTTATAATCGTATTTACCTGTTTCGTTCCATAACTAAGTATTCAGTCTCGCTGCAGAAAACTTTCAATATTTACCATTGGCTTACCGTCAACGTGTATTATTTGCAAGGGTCTCAGGCTGTTAGAATCACTTCCGATAAAATATTTAACGGTGCAGCAATAACATTACCGACGTGTGATAGTAAATTATTACCTCAACTGTCACAACAATGCGTCTCGTGCTTCTCACGAAATGCTCCATATTCTTCCAAACGAAAGAAATCGATAAATTGCAATGCAGGAACACCGTAAAATTACAACTTAAAACAACAACAGTTTCCTTATGGAAAAAACATTATAAATCAATAATTTACATGCGACGGTCTCACAAGAACAGGTGTATGTACCGCGATAAAGATCGATGAACTCTACAGACAGACTTAACCCCTTAACGCGCATACTCAAAGGGTTAATAATAGATTCCTTAATACTTAACGATCATCACGGATCAAACAAACGGGAGAACGTGTGCAATAGTGCCTGCTAACTCCTGTCGATCGAAAAAACTGTACAGGTAAGCCGATGTTAATCGAGTCTAATGAATTCTCCAGGTGCAGTGTCTACCGCAACCACGGGACAGGTTTTTGCGCAAGCGTCTCATTCGCACCGCGGCGACTAGTGATCAAAAAACTAACACCTAGTGTTATAGTGGGTTCCCGAGTGACAGGATTTCGTCGGCGATGACAGGTTGTCATAGTGTCATCGTGGCTGTCCGCGAGTATCGGCTCCTCTCGATCATCCGACGGATCGATAACTTCCGGTAACAATGTCGAAATCGAATTCAAGAAGGGTGAAGAGCTTGGACGATATACCTGAAACCTTTAAAAGACCTAATCCCGAAAATCACAATGTCGAATCGAAGATTTCGAAAGTTTCTTCGGAAGACGCGCCGGTACTGTTGGAAGAATATCACCTGAACCAGAGGAACATCATCGATCCTCTGGACGATAAAGATGCAAATGACGACAGACTCACGGAAGGTCTCTTGGAAAATTCGAACACGCCGAAAATAGTAATCACAAAAGTATCCGGAAAAGATACGAAGGTATTTGCGTGGAAATTTTTCTTATTTTTTTTTTAACACTTCAGTTAACGAAATGTTTGTATGCGCAGACAAACCCTTTGGAAGCACCGAACTTTGTGGACGACGAGGGAAAATATTCAAATGATACGCATAAGTCTACAGATATTTGGGGAGAGAAATTGAAGAGTAACAAGCGCGTTCTTTCCTTAATCGACACGGTTCTGTCGATGTTCTTGATCACTCCGATGTCCGTTGGATTTTGGAGAGGAACGTGGACGTTGATGGACCTCCACATCGAGTGGTGAGTTCTGATTGTAATATTAGCCCCCTGAATCACACACATTTTTTTTAATAAAAATACACATTATTTTTCAATCCCTTGTGTTCTAATCAATACCTTTCACGTCAATTGAAAAAGGCAAACACTGAGAACTTTGGTTTCCATCAACCGCGCAACAAAACAGATTATGATTCAAATGGTATACAAACGATCGAATTAATCGACAGTGATTATCGAATAAAATCAATGGTAGCAGTTCGTTGAATAATTTATAATCGACTTTTCCAGGTTTCCAGGAGTCCTGTGTTACGTTCTCGGAACTCTAGTACACATGAACTTCGCAATCTGCAAGAATTTTCTGCACTCTTATTTCATCGGTGAGTTACGGAAGAAGAACTGGACCAACAAAGCACTCATAAAAATCGTGCAAATCGTGTATACGTACGTCTTCGGCGTTGCCTGCAACGTACAATGGCGTGGCGGATGGATCATCTTCGATTATTACTTCAGCAGCCATTTGCAGTGAGTTTGTTCACGCTTCGTTCTCGCGAATTTCTGGTTTAAATATAGAAATATTATCAACTTTTTTATAATGGACTTAATGTAAAATACTCGAAATCAATCGAGGGTTGTTAAAACAATTACAATAATTATTTCTTTGAAGAAATATGAATTTATATTCATTGTAGAGACAACTACGGATGATCGTGTTGCTGTTGTACTCTGACGGTGAGCATTGCTTAAGATGCAACGAGAATAGATCGTTAATTTTCTTTAACACTTTCATTTACTATACTAATTCTATACACAGTATAATCGAAGTAGCAGTTTTTCTACATCAACAGTATATAATCTTGAAAAGTATGAACGATAATTAACATTGATAATAACATTACTGACTTTCAATGCTGAAAAATATTGTGTCATAAATAATACCTGTCCCATCTGCATCGATTTTCTTCGAGTATTAAACTTAAGTATGACTCAACGTAGCAACAGTTTGGTGTTTACATTTCAAGGAAGTGATTGAATTTTTTTGTACTAGAAATTCATTTCAGGTTAACAACAAGCATGCTGTTAATGATACTAACAAGCCTGACGATACTCCGTTCCGTTCGCAATGTTCTTGCTGTTCCTTTCGTGATCTTCGTTGACAAAGCTTCCTTCGTCTTCCACTTTCCTACGAGATATAAATTGGTGAGTTACAAATTACATTAGTTCATTCTATATACATATCTTATATTTAATAGGAATATTGTTAATTTTTTTATCTTTTCTTTTTATCGATAATCTCCTATCAACGTAATTTTATTTCGTGTTGTCTGACAAAATTACTTTCGACGAACATGTCAAAAACTGCTAGATTCTTTATACATATTTACAAAATTTGTGTACATACATAGAGTACCGTGAGTTCGCAATATACAGCAAATAAATATCTTTTTGTTGGGGTTTCCATATCGAATCAATAATACACCTTCAGTGATTTTATCACCTGATATTTAATCACGATCAGATGGAATTACTGAAAATTACATAAGAGTAATGACATCAGACTTGAATGTCTCGTAAGTAAAGTCTTTGAATTAAACATAAGATCATGTCTATAACGTGTTGAAAAAAAAACCACCTACGTAATAAACATAATAGTACTACTTATTACGGGACAATACAGTTATTACTTTATCTTAACGAGCTCGCTATCGGCACGCAGTTCACTGCGGCCAGCGAATTATTGAAGTTGTATATATAATATTAATACTATACTATACATACGTTTTTCTAGAAAGAATTCGTCTGGCTAGACCCAATATTTCATTAACAAATTACAGCTTTCCTCACTTCATTATGTTAAATAATAATAATAGGATTTAATTTCTTACAGTTACAATTACAACTAATTGAAAGTTCACTAAAGAATTACTACGTTCCTGGTTTTTCACTGAAACCTCCACTTGTAGCTCTTCACCTTCGACTTTCATATAAAACGGAGGACAGTAAATCGTCGATAAGTGTTAGCAGACTCCTCTGTACTGAGTGTTCAAACTATATCCGTAAGTATTCGAGGATATGAATATTCAAGTAGTATGAAGTATTCTAGTAGAAGTGATCAAATTTCGGATCGTACCGAGTAGGAATTTGAAAAACAAATAATTCTGAAGGCCAATGCGAAAAGAATTTCACGGTAAAGTGCAATAAAAAGTACAGTTCAAACGTCATCCCCACCACTGTAGCGCTCAGTGGTGGGGATGACGTCTGACACTCACTATCAGTACCAATGGCCTTCGAACACTTATCGATAATTTACTGCATTCCTTACATTCTGCTCAATATTCTTAATTAGAACTTTGAATTTTTTCATTTTATAGACTGTAATATTTGACTATTCTACTCGTACCCGCGTAACAGAAAGTGTCCCACACGAGTCTCAACTTCTTACCGCGAGATTCCTCGGACGTTCCAATATGGCGGCGAGCTTCCATCCCCGAGCACGTCGAACGAAAGGGTTACGCGACACGCACCGATCCCCACGGACAATGACAGACACGCTCGTGACGAAGAAGAAACGTGTGATCGACCCACGGTGACGGACAGATCTAGAAGCACACATTTATCTTTTTTTTTTTTTTTCGTGCTGCGAACAAAAGCCCGTGTCGCGAAAAGAAAAAACAAGAAAATGACGGGTCAAGGTGAGAGGATCGTCGTAATCCAAGCTTGATTGGCGCACAAAAAGATGCCGATTAACGAGGCGTTCGGCACGACAAAAGCCCCGATGAATCTGGCGGACAGGAAACGCCACTCAGAAAGATGAGGCTTCAAGGTGGCTCGACACGCGGAGCCCAGCCTCTTCTACGATCGGGCTATCTTGTTTCTTATCGATCAACGCATCGGTTCCGGAACGGTTAATCCAGAACGGTACCACGTCGATCACGATTTACGCTTGGGTGCAATTTTCGCGCGCCTCGTGACCATTCAACGGAGAACGATGAACCTGTTCATAGACTGATTTTGATGGTGCTTGGAGAATTGAACTTAAACGATTCTCTTCTGTCACATTTATGTACAACGACAGAATGGTACCTGACCAGGATTCAATCGTAGAAGCTATTAGACACGATTAACACCTTATTGACCATTTTGACTTGCTTGGTAGTTCTAGTGTTAAACGAGGAAAGAATTTTCGCCCTCTGAAGTGGCGACTATAAAAAGCTGATCGCAAAATTTCAATTCTTCAACTTCATCAAAAACAAATAGAGTGTTTCGCGTAATTATAATACTGAAATTGTATACAAAAGTATAACCTACTAGATTCCAGAAAAAAAGCGCGGAATCTCCAAAAAAAAAAAAAGTTCCGTCATCGTTCACCAACTGAACGAACAGCTCGGTATCGAAGTAAGTTGCGCGGAGCAGCGACCATTTTCTTAACGATTCCCCGCCATTATCCAATTACCATTAATTACAATTGAAGCTAGACGAGGTGAGCAAGAGCAGAAACAGCTCCAAGAAGCTGGAAGGCCACCTTCCGTGAATGTCAGGGTCCCCGCCCCCGTGGAGACTTTCTTAAGAGCGTCAGTAGCTTTAAAGAAGGCGGGGGAGGGAAGGGAGGACCACGTGGGTGGGGGTTGTCGGAGAGATCGCGGAAGGAAGGGAAGAGAGCCGAGAGGCACCGTACTCTCCTATTCTCTATGCCATGGCCCGCGGTGACGAAGCCCCGTTCATGATAATGCGATAGTGTTGGTCCGTGCTTAGCACTTGATAAAAGATAGCGGTGAGTGAACAGATGCCAGTGCTCACCCGTAGCCCGACCTGTCGGCCTGACAGCCGCGCGTACTCGCCCCGTGTGTCGATCCGGTAAAGCACATCGACATTCGAAACACTCTGGTTGGGACCATCATCGAGACCAGTGTGAACAGAGGTTACGAGTAAACATAGGATCCCTAGAGGATTATCCTGTTGAGCAGGGATCGTTGAATCATCAAGATTTTCCCTAAAAGTCCCAAAGACACTGGAACCATCGACAAGATGCGCGACGGCGCTAGTATGTTGTGAAACGTTTGAGGATGATGTTCAGAGGAAGTGGGGATCGATTAGAAACTTATCCAGTGAGTATCGAAGGGTCTCCAGAATCAACTAGGAAGTACACTTTTGGTGAAGCAGAATTCTTGGATAGAGGATGATCATTGCGGTCCAGCGACAGTATTACTTCAAGAAGATTCGCTGTAAACGTTGATGGTATCGTCGTGTATGTACCTAGTCTCTTTATCGGTTGAACAGAAAGAATACCGGATCCAAGATTGTCTTATATAATTCACGACGAAACCATGGGTCTCGAGAGTGTCCCCGAAGCAAGGTTCGCCATGAGGAATCGATAGATCCGAATAATTGAATCCCAAATACTCAAGAGTCAAGATAGCTACGGGCAAGCGTTCAGCTGCCCCAAAGGGACGGATTCAACGCGACGGATCCACCACCTCGTTGATCAAGCTCAATTGCTCGACGCCGCGGCTGTGAAATCGCTGAAACTCCAGCGAGGATAGCAACATCATCAGCAGGAAAACGAAGCATCGAGGGAACAAAGAATGTCCAGCGGTCGACGGTGTTCACCGACGGCTGGTGACATGCACCATCATCGAGAGCAGCGTATCGACGCAGCCTCGAGTCATGCATGATGAGCGATGCGACTAGGCTCGATCAGGATTGGATGAGAATGGTCGAGTTACGAGGTGGCACCGGCATGACGAGCGGTCTGAGCGGTCGTGGTTCGTCGAGTCGTCTCCATTACACGATACTCACGATCCTTGACACTGTGTTCTCCGCCACTGTGGCCGCACCGGCTGTGGTCGGATATTGGAGGGGCACCTGGGGCCTGAGCGACGTATACGTATATCCGGAGGATCTTGTGCTGAGCAGCTTCACATCGATAGTGATCGGTTTCATAGGGCTCTACGCGTTCAATGTATCGCAAAATGTCCTGAACGGTCTACTCCACCCGGACAAGCATAGACTCTCGTACTATGTCGGGTCGCGACTTTACACGGCGATTTTCGGGTTCTGTTGCGTGAACGCATGGCGTGGCGCATGGCACGTCCTCGACCTCTACACCGAACGGACACCCGGCACCGTGTTCGCCACCACCGCGGTCAGCCTGCTCGCCCTCGCCATCATGCGCGCGGTCAGGAACATCTCCGCGCCGCCGTTCTCCCTTTGCCTGGACTCGTGTCCCGGATACTTCGAAGTGCAGACCATGTTCCGCGTGAATGTAAGTACTAGCAGGTTCCGTTGCCACGAGACAGTCCTGACCTGAGGGGTAGATGATTAGCGAGAGGGCTGTTGGGTTCTTTGAATCCTCCGGGTGGAATGAGGATCTTGATTAGTCTTATAGGGGGAGGATGAGCTTTGGGAGAAAGAGATGGAGACTCATGGAGTTTCATGAGAAATTTCAAGAGTATTGTTGAAGGTTCTGGATCAGAATTTGAAGTAGCATGCTCGTTTTTGGGGGTGGACTAGTCTTTGAATACTCTGGATTGGATATCGTAGAGTAGAGGATCTTCATAAGAGGGCAGTTTTTGTAGGATGAGGATGGGTTTTGATAAACTTGTTAGAAAAAACATATGGAGACCCCTGTGAAGAATCATTTTTATTGCAATTTACTTAGGAAGTAATAATAATAAATTATATAATAATATTGGAGGGTGAAAAATTACTCTCTTGTTTTATCTGTCTCGAGCTTTTTTGTATCCCTTTGGTTTTTTCAAATAGATATAGTACCTGTGGTTTTTTCAAATAAATTTTCAATAGATTCAATAATCCTTGATGACCTTGTCAGGTGTAGAAACTAGGGATTCTTGAGAAACAGTTACCAAGAAAGGGTCTATTATAGATCCATGATATTTTTCTCGATTCATCCCTGATTTCTACAGTTTCTTGGTAACTGCTTCAAGATGTCCAGAATCCTGAAACTAGGTTCCTCAGAAATCCCTAGTTTCTACACCTGACAAGGTCATCAAGGACTTTGCCTTTTTATTTGTACGACTAATTGGAACTATTTAAAAAAGACCAAAGGGATACAAAAAAGCTCGAGGCAGTTAAAAGAACAGTGCATTTCTTCACCCATCAATATTATTACATTACATATTTCACTATTATTACTTTCTAGATACAGTAATGCAAATTGCAGTATTTACGTGTGACTGATATCGGTCATTTGGACAGGATGGTGTCTTTGTACCTGAACGAGATTGCGGAAAATTTTCTATCCCTGGACCGATAACACCGTGTACCCTTTATCACCGTGGATTATCATCGATCTTCTGCCATTCCGTTTCACCTATTGTCGCAAACAAATAACATAGCCAAGCACAGTACTGAATCAAAACAAACTAGAGAAGAAAAAGCGTGAAACAGTTTCCAAAAAGGGGACAAATGAAATCCCATCTGTCTTCATTAACCCTTGGAAATCAGACAGTTTGGACTTCTTTTTATTTAAATTAATATAAACAATTACTAACTTAAATCAATTATCAAAAGCTGTTGAGTTGGGTGAAGTTCTCGAAAAATTCGGGTCAAAATGACCCAGTCGTCGTTCAAGGGTTAAAAGTACATCGCTTACGCAATTCAAAATTACGTCATACCTGTTAAATTATTTGAATTTTCGTGGAAATTAACGTAAAAAATCACGAAAGATCGCGGATCTTTGGAAATGCACAGAGAATAGAATGTTTGAAAGCAAATTTGATTTCGTCGAACACGATAGGAAGAAGGGTAAATGTTAAGTAGGAAACGTAAAAGCTTAGACGGTGCATTTTGACGCATCGCTGGAGCCCGTGCTGTGTGCTGCGCGGACATCGATGTGTAAGGTATAAGCGTAGTTTCCGGCTGTCTCTCCCGACAGTCGAACAGCATTGCGTCCGTGCATACGCACGAGCGGAGCTTCCAGCTGCACTAATTTCTGGGCCGCTTGTGTCCACGCTTTCTCTTCATCGAACACAATTTTTTCTTTTTTTTTTTTAATAATCACCCCTTCCAGAAATTAAACGTCGATATCTCCTAGATCTAATTATCTTTCGATCGACTGAAACTCCATTGACATTGAACTTCAAATATTAAGTATCTTGACCTTAAACCATTGAACCCAACATTGACTTCGTTTTAACAACATTATGTTTTTTAAATAACATAATTCTCTTTAAGTTTAATAATGGTTGTTTCTTTGTCTGATCTTCGAAGTAAATGTATTATCCGTTGAAATTAAATTTTTAATTATCTTGACTTTTCAAATTTGGACACCTTCGATTTATTTCGTTTTCATTTCCAATCTGAAGATCCAAGTCTTTTTATGTTATGTGAAATTTCGTGTCAAATTAGATTTCAGTTTCTGGTGTAATTTATTCGTCGCAATGATATCGAAAAGTTATTTTAAAAATCACCGTTCAGGCTTCGCTCTGCAATCAACGGAGACAGTGGAACGAATCTTGACTTAATTATCGTCAGTTGAGTCCTCTCTGTGCAGTTAAAAATCGAGGACAGAAGGGTGTCATGCGAAGTAATCGGGCGACACACGCCGACGCGGGTTTACCTCGTGAACGATGCATCAACCGGAAGATCCTTTGAGTATTGAGTGATAATGGTACATCGGTCCTTAATAGGTTAACAATCGATCGAACATTTTCAAGTTCCTCTTCCCAACAATTTCTACTTCTAACAACAGCGTGACACCATCGCAATATATCCCCTTCGACAGGCCGGCAATTTCCCGTTCAATGAATCAACGAATTTAGGGAAGCTTGACTTAGTGATTCGCGCGAAAAAATACATCGACAAGCTGCAAACGACACGATGACAATATTGAAACGATCTTATCGCGATCGAAACGATACTTGAATAATTTCGATTAAGTGACTTTGAAATCATGATGATCGATGGTCAACATTTTTGAGAAAAAAAACAGTGATCGAGTGCTAGATACTACGACATTATACTTGGAAATTAGAAGGGAACTTGATTGATCGAGTCAATTAAGGAAGAAAAATTTTCCAGCTTCGAACACTATTCCTTCCGAAGAAACAGAAGCTTCTTCATATTTTCAAAATTGGTTCTACAATGATCGCTTTATTCCCACCATTGGGGGAGTCCCCCTGTGGAACCAATCAAAACAGAGTAAACAGAAGCTAAGCTGAGGCACGGTTTAATGCAAGAAAACATGAGGGGCTGAAAACCTTCCCGCTTTGCCACGAATGCTCCGAAGTGGATTCTTACTTTAATATAATTCCTTTTATTCCATGAACTATAGCACCTCCAATTCGATTCGTAGACCCAAAATTTGTCAGGAATTGACATCCACGAACTCTATTGAATTTCGATAAGAAGCTACACATGCATAAAAACGGGGAACCAAGTATATACTCCTTGTCGTAAATAATTTTTGACGTAAGCGATGCTCGACTGACGATCGGCAGAATGTTGCTTATCGTAGTTCACGAGTCTCGTCAAATATTTCTCGAGTCCTCACCTGCGAATCACGCGTTATCGTTTGTTTATGTTGTTTGATTGCAGAACACGAGAGACTGGTCGTTGTACTTATTGGATTGTGCGTTCAGCGTTGGTGTCGTTGGTACCCTGGTCGTGTTCGTCTGGAGGGGTGTCTGGATGCTTTTGGATATCTACCTGTTCCCGGACGATCGAGAGTACTCCGTGATCGGATCCCTTGTAAGCGACATTTTTATTTTCTTTCAGATGAGAACCCCAGAGGCACGATTTCACTCGATGAATAATATTAAGGCATTAATAATGTGAATATTTAGGCATAATGAAAATATTTAGGCATTCTTCTTAGGTCGGACACCCTGTATATATATATATACAAGAAATGATGTAAAAAAAGTGACAGAACATACGCTATGCTTCACGTGACACACGTTTCAATGTTCACCCTAATGAATCGTTATTGTTGTTATTAAACCGCGTATTTCGAACAGAGCGTCGATGAAATCGATGAACGCGTGTCGTCGGGTGTCATTAGCAATCACGTGTTGAACGACATTTTGAAACGTGCCACCTACGCACCGTGCGCTAGCGGCACGCCGTTGGTCCGATTGTATAATTGAATATTCGCCAATTGCATGATTGCGAGGGCACATGACAAAACTGCCGATGTGTGTATGCGTGTATGCGTGTGTGTATATATGTAAGACACTTTATTGCAGACCGTGTATACTTGTCTGAATGCGGAGTGCGGAGAACGCGGTCACCGGGAGGATTTGTTTAATTTTTCAATAATGACGATCGTTGATCTCGAGCCCGGCCGGTTGCCACCGTTCACCATCGTTCTATGATGGTTTTGTTCGAAATCACACTGTCGAAATCACGGTGGACCAATCCTAAACCAGAGGTCATTCACCCGATGCTAGATGGTTTTCTTCTTTGAAAAAATCATATGTGAATGAACAGATGAGTACAAAGATGGTATCCCTTAAAAATGGCATAGGAAGGTTTTATGTCTGTGTCTGTTTTATTGAAGTATCATTTCGGAGAACTTACAAAATCTACAGGAAAAGATCATGCTATCTGATTCTATGATTAAAATGCTTATCGGTTGTTCGACTGTGTCGGATGGATTGAACGATCTATTTCTGTACCGTTCACGATATAACATGGGAAAAGTATCGGTATCAAGTACCTACTCGAGTCTGCAGATAATGTATTCATTCACTATTATGTAAAGAAGCTTCGAAAATTCGTCAAACGACCTGTTGAAGTACCGTAAGATGGGGTAACTTTGACCCAAGTCAGAAAATGATCATTTTTGATTTTGCAGCTCTTCAAAATTTCGGAATTAACCTAGAATTAATACCTAGAAAAAAACTGAAAAAGTGAACATGAGAATTTTCTGACTTCGGGATCTAGTTACCGCTGACTGAATCAAAGCCACCCCTTAACTTAGGCTACCTACGTCGTACTATCCTGTGGCTTACTTACAAGGGATGGCACGGAAGTGTCCTCCTCCAATTTTAATGAAACTTCGTATGTCTGTAAAGCAGTCAAAAATAAGGGATACGTATTTTTTTTGATCGGCTGAGACGCGACTTTAAGGGGTGAAACCACCCCTCGAAATTTCGACCCGAAAGTACTATCTCGAAAACCAGAGGAGATACATGAAACCTTCTAATGGACGAGGTTCGCGGTTTTTTATGTAGAATAATATGCTCCTATCAAATTATCCAAAATATAATTTGTTTATAACAAAAAACTTTCGGATCGAAACTTCGAGTGGTGGTTTCACCCCTCAAAGTCGGGTCTCAGCCGATAAAAAAAAATACGTATCCCTTAATTTTATCTGCTAAACAGACATACGAAGTTTCATAAAAATCGAAGAGGGGCACTTCCCTGCCTTCCCTTGTTAGTTCCACGTTTTATGTACTCAGTTTTCGATCTTATTTTTCCGAAAAGTCTTCCTCGTATTGCGATTCCGCGTGGTTACGAGCAGACCATCCGCAAACAGATGATCCCGCACAAATATTTCGACATTGTCTTCTCTCTGGCGGCAGCCACGCCAGGAGGAGGGGGAGGAGGGTCGTCCCCGTTGCAAAACGACGCTCGTACGGCGCCAGGTAGCCGCCACAGACAATAACACAAGAATTGTTCCGGTGTTCGCGCGGTGTCTATCTGTCGCCGCGATTCTCCCGCGATCGGGATGATGATCGGCGACCACCGATCGAAATTGTTCGAGCGGCTGAAAACAATTTCGACGCGACGACGCGACTTTCGCCGACGTAGATCGACTCGATAAAGATCCAGGTGTCGACTTAGAACGCGATTCGACGCTTGAATTATATTTCGTTATCGATGATACGTCTACGGCCAGAAAGAGAGAGAGAGAAATTTCAGATCACGCGGATCAACCACCTCTTCCGTCCAATCGGGGTATTATCGCGCGTCGCCGGTCGATCGTAACTTTCCGATTTCGATAAACCCGCCGGTGATGTAGGCACGTAAACAGATTTTCGTGGCGCCGAGCCGGTCTGACTGGCAGACGGAAGCTCGCGGTAATTAATCAACAGTTTGTACAGGGAATTATCGCGATAACTTGGAAACGAACCTTGTTGCAGGTGTTCGAGAAAGTCTTGAAGTTACAGGTCGTCTTAAAATTTCAGAGTTACGAGTATGCCAGGCATGATCGTTCGAATCCTCGACAGACACTCTCTAATGATCTATGATCCCCCGTCATTTTTCTGCAAACAGTTCCGTTAGTTTGATATAAAATGATAGCAGGAGACGAGGTAATTGAGAACGTGCAATGGTGTCTTCGATAATTTAGGATTCGAAAATTTTAAACTGTTATACTTTGTTGTTTGCGTTTCGCTTAATGGGTTCACTGTCACTCGGATGTTAACGGTGATTTATAGCCTCTTTGTCTGTTAGTAGATGGATTCACAGCCAAGAAATTTATGACTCGCAACTTTGCACTCCTAATTCTGTTGAAATTTTGCTTTCCAATAACTCCCTATTGTTTTAGGTCTTTTATTTTGAATGTACTTCAGAAAATTGTTGGTTGATAGGAATCAATTTAAACAGATATTTTTCAATAATTTTATTGTTGATAGCATTGGAACATTGCTAAAAATGTCGAGTATGACTTGGCATAGGAGTACCAGTGGATAAAATTGACGTCGAGTCACATCCGACAATGGAGTTCAAAGGGTTAAAGGCTCCCACAGACGATACTATTTGTCGTAACGATAAATTGCACAGGGAGTTGGGTAAATGTTTAAGACGACAGATTTTTCGGCTGCTGTATTGTCTACAAGTCGTACGATCGCGGCCACAAACGTTGCAACTGTCGTTCAAATGGTCGAAACGATCTAGATTGTACGATCAGTTGTACGAAAAATCGTATCGGTCTATGGGACGTTTAAGAGATGTTCCATCCGACACGGTTGCGCGATGATCGCGATAACGTAAATTCTCAAGAGGGTCGATGATTGCGCGAGGGTCGTCCAATTCACGCATTTACTCGCTTGCAATGCCGCTTCGAAACCGTGAAACACACAGCGCGCCGCAGCTCGCGATTTGTCGGCTGGAACTGATTCGCTGAAACCCCCTGGCCAGAGAAGATCGGACGTCATCGCCGAGCGTTTTTCTCATTCGTGCCAACTGGATCGAATGAGAAAGATCGCTGGTCCTGACCCGTAGGATCCATTGTTCCATGAAATCAGCGAAATGGGTTAACGCGTTGGCTGCCGCAGTGAAAATGGCCGTACGTAGCCAGACATACTTTACTTCGTTCTTTAAGTCATAAATCGTCGAAAAAATGTTTTGTTAGCAGAGACTGTTGGTCCTGTTTTAAATTATATTGTTCCACATTTATGATAAACAAAGTGCACTGTGTCGACGATAAGAGCCATATATAACACTTCTCAAACATTTTTGAATATTCAAGAACCACAGAAATAAAATATTATTCTGATCTTGGTACATATTATCGTACGATAGATTATTAATATAAAAGTTTAGGAAAAATATGAACCCAATATTGTCTCGGTAGCTGCACAAAGTAGTTTTGTAAGCCACATGCAATTCGTGAATCGTAGTTTGCCCACCAACGGTATAGGCCAAGTGCAAAATTGCAAACTCAACATACAGTGTCGCTGTCATTACTGCGTCAAACCCAGATTCAATTCAACGCCATAAAACAAGAGCAGCATAATATATTTACGTATCGAACTGAACATCACAGACGTATCGCGACAAAATGGCAGCCAACGATCTTTTAATCTAAACCAATGTTAAATTGGTCCCCGAATCAGGACACCTAACCGTGCAATCGTCCGCTCTCATCGTTATTCTCACGCCGTAATGACGCGATCGATATATAAATCGAATTCTACGAGTATGTCCTAACCATCGACATTGACAATTGCAGGCCATTGGATACGTGATCGTGACGGTGACGTTCTCCCTGCAACCGTTGATGAGATACGTCTGCGCTCGTCTCCAGGGTTTCTCGCGTCTTATAGCCGCGGACAGTTTCCTTCTGCTGAGCTTCCTGGGTACGGTGAACGTGTGGCGTGGCATCTGGAACCTCCTGGACCTATGGCTGGTCCCGGACAATCCGGAACTCTCCTGCTGGATCACGCATGTCGGATGTTTCGTGTTCCTAGTGCTTCTGAACTGCAGCAATTCGATCCTCGTGCGGGGCGTCTACATCGACGCCGAGGAGGAGGACGGAAAGTGCGTCGTGTTCCCCTGTCACTATCTTCGATTGTTCTTCAAGGTTCGTAAACAGTTAAAAATGACACTATTTGTAATTATAGTATTCGTAGATCGCTTTGAATCGGTAACTCTGATGGTGTTTAACCCCCTCTTGTAGCCTTTTGGTCCGCTTAGAAACGAAATGGTACTTTCATCTTTTCAATCTTAATATAGAGCACCGGTTCGTTATCACCTAATTGCACTCTTATTTCTTTAGAAACCTCTAATAGTCTTCTGCTTGAAAATTTCTAATAGTCTTCTGCTTTAGAACCTCTGACCGCTATTCAGAGTGCAGAAATGGAAGATAGGGGAAGATTGTCGAATTTGGATCACCTAATTGCATTCGAATTGTTATCATCCAATTGCGCTCTTATTTCTTTAGAAACCTCTCAATAGTCTTCTGCTTCAAAATCTCTGATAGTCTTCTGCTTTAGAATCTCTGGCCGCTATTCACAGTGCAGAAATGGAAGGTGGGGGAAGATTGTCGAATTCGGACCATTTGGTACAAAAATGTTTCGAGCGAAAGTTAGCCGGTATTCAATTGGCAATAAATTACAATAGAACTTATTGATAAAAAACTTTTTATTCGATAAATATACAAGACCACCTCAATATTTTTCACCAGAACTGTATATTTTTGTTATTCTCTTTAAAAAAAGTGTTAGGGTATTTAGATTGAAAATTTGTTAGTTCAGAAATGATGATTTTTGTCCCGAACGTCCATATGTACAAACCTTGCCACACTCTGCGATAGTCCAACTACAGCAAACTTCCCTCCACAAAGAGACATTGTCCTTTTTGAGAGTTGGGGGGGGGGGAAGATGTATACCTGTTTCAACCCAGAAATTATTTCCTCCCATTCATATATTTCACAAATTCTGTCCGCAGGTCGAACGCGAAAAGAAGGAAGCGAGGCGACGAAACCTGCTGGTTGCCTCAAAGGACTTCCGGCCGCGAACGGACGGGAACGCGAAGGACACGGAGAACGGTGCTCTGCTGCACAACAGCGCGCCTACCACCATCTTACCGACCAATCCTGAATCTCTTGTCTAACCGTTCAGGTCGAGGATATCGGTTTATCCCCCGCGAATGACATTCGAGTATTCCGATCGACGTCGAGTCGAGTCGCCCTTGGTCATCGAACGAAGAAACAGGCATCCCCCACAATTCCATGGAACGGTCTACAATTCCAACAGATACGTGACAATGTTTGTGACCGAGTGATTGTGCAGTGAAGTTCAGCCGAGGCGAGACAAACCTCGCCTGACATTCGTCGGAGCAGTTTAACGAAAGCAAACGCCGATAGACGGGTATAGAGAGGATCGAGTAGCTAGATAAGTGTTGTAGATCGGCCGATAGAGATGTAGATAGACGATCAGATAGACGCTTAGGACACCGATTAAGTTAGGCAAACGGATCGAGGAGGATCGAACGACTTGGCGACCATGGACTTCCGTGTTCGTCGTTGGCGAACGATGGATCGTCGAAGTGAGGATTCAGTGGAAAGATCGGTGAACCAGTGCAGGAACAATCGTAGAATCATCCGCGGCACCGGGAACATTGTGCGCGAGATGATCGTTGTAAAGGAATGGTTTTTGTGTTCGATTCGTGTGCGTGTTCGAGTGGCGTCGGTGAATCCGCCGCGGATCAAAGCTGCGGAGGAACTCGCTTCGTCCTCGAAGATGCACGTGTGTAATGTAAGTTATACGAAAAAACATGAGGTATACGTGTGTATGTGCACATACACGTGTCGAGGTTGTTACTCGTTTAGAACACCAGTCCGCGGGAAGAACGCTGTTGCTCAAAAATTTGGAAAGTCCACACGAGAGCTGTTGTACATTTCCGGTTATTACGTGTTATAAATATGAATGTGAATGTGATTGATCTACAGTGTGATCCTCTTCTTTCAAAAACACATCGTTAACAATTATCGAAGTTATTAAAAAGAGAAGCTTACAGCTCTATCTCTAACACTCGAGTTCGCGTAAGGTAATCAGAACAAATGTCCTAACACAATCACGAACAGTAGCATATTTTTTCATATATTCTATCGAAAACAGTATTACCGATTACAAAAGTTTACACAACGGGATACACAAAATTTACGACCTCGTTACCTAGTGGTCCCAAACTTTTGAGCGACAGTGTATAATTCCATATTACCACGAGACAATAAGAAATCGTACGAAGTGTCCACAGTTCCGTTAAACCGATTGTATCTCGAATTCGCGTCAACATTCGACGAGCGACGCAATCTGTCTTGGCAAGAGACGATTTCCGGTAGCGCGCGAGATTATCTTTCGCGACAACGGGCGAGCCGATCGGCGTCGATTTCGTAGGATTTCTAGTCATCGATTAGCCCTCCCTTCTCTGTTATTCGTCGTCGAGCACGTAAATTCCATCGATATGGAAAATTTTCTTACGCGTAATTCCTTCATCCGTAAATACTTCGATGCGTGGTGTACACGGCCGCGATCCTAGGCCGTCGGATGGAGGAGACCTTGATGATGACAATGGTAATAGACTGGACGCCCGATCGTTTGTGTAAATGGGTTATAACCTTCTCCCCCGCATCCTGTACACCCCGCGGATTTCGCTCTTGTCCATCAATTACGACGTCATGCGCGTACTAATAATTAATTAACTGGAATAATGACGGGACAATGGACGGGCTGGCGCATCGATGGGAAGTGGAGTTAAGTTCGACGGATGAGCGGACGCCCTCCTGGCCTACATTTAATATTTTCACAATGGACAATCCGCGCAAGGGCCCGCGGGACCGGAAGCGTGCCCGGCGACGTTGCATATGTACCTACATAGACACACCCCCCCCCCCCCCCAAGTAATGCGTACAAACTGGACTTGTGCATTCACAATTTATGCAAGCATAATCGTTTGAACGGAAACTTATATATTCCGAGTAATTCGTGCAAACTAACTACAATAAATCCTCGATGAGTGTTCGATGGCTCCTCGGCACTACATATTAAATATTTCATAAACTAATGGCCATATGCGGCTGAAACAAATATCATTTACTTCAGAATTACAAGTTCTATCGATGTGTTAAAGCTCGTTAAAAAATTGACGGTACACTTGAAGACCTGTCCTTGTCAGTGCTGAGGAGCCCTCGAACGCTCATCGAGGATTACTATAGTGCATTTACATTTATCCGAGCAGATATTAATTTGTATTCATTTTCATGAATAGTTTGAATTTTAAGAAAGCATACGATACACTGCTTAATCGAAAACCGCCTAGCCTGTAAATCTGGAAAATAGATAAAACGCGTATAATTCTACGAGATAATTAGCGGAAATTAGTTGAACGTGTAAACGGGCCTCAATTATGTAGAATACAACGACTCGGTTCATTTGCGAAAATTTGCACGCACATGTGAGTTTGCGAAAATTATTTGAACGTGTGAACAGGCCCGATAGAGATCGAACCTAGTCAAAATTGTCCGCCGACCCGTCGCACCGATCGTGGCGAAACCCTCGACAATTGTCTCCATCCCCTCAACCCCTCTTGGCGTATCGAATGAGATAGATGTACAGGGTGTTTCATGTAACAGGAGCAATAATATATACATATACCATGTGTATACATATATTTATACGCTCGTGTATGCGACTTTTAACACGGAACATTGATTGAAATAAAAAAGAAAAAGATAAGGAAGTAATCGTTACCTTGACTGGTGTTTGCTCGAGTTTCATCCAAACTTTCCGATCGTCCATTTGATTACCTGGAACATCTGGCCATGACACATCAACCCTACAGCAACGTCGTTACGAGTTTATGACTAAGAATTTTTAGGTTGAGGTCACGGGAAATGTCGGTGATATGAATCGATATAATACTTCCATTGAACTGAAAAGGATAGATTGCCACAGGCCACCAGTCATATTTGATTCCAAGATTCCTTCTTTTATTCACCTCTGAAAATATATGTATTGTTTTCATCGATGACGGAACGCAGACGTACGAGGAGGTCGGTACCGATTAGATCACGATCGACAAACGAAGGGCGAATTTAAAAATACTTTGGTAAAGGGTCGGATCCACGGTTGGACGAAGGGAGGGGGAGGTAGCCCTGATCGATACTCGATCGATCGCAATTGGATTGTTCTCTCAGTCGATTGGTGGGGGGATCTATTTGAGGCGTCGCGACGCCCGTGGTGCAATGTGTTCAGAATCAGTCGACGACGGGTCGTATCGCGGGGAAAGGTGGAGAAGTGGCCGTTCGGAAGTGTACCAGAACGAGTCGAAGCCAAAGAGCCTGTCTATGCTGATCTCGCGTTCCCGGAGCGTTTCGGACTTCCACGGGTTCACGAAGCGGTGCTTGTAAGGTGACCACCACACTTCTTCCCCACCTGACCGTGGTAGAAATGGCGGCGGACGATCCCCTCCGGAACGAACCGTTAGTTTCCGTTGAGTTCGAGGTGTTCGGCAAGGTGCAGGGTAAGGGTTGCAGCTTTACGTCGGCCTTGAAAGGTCGTACGGTGTTTCGATCTAATTCGTATGTTGTGTGGTGTCACCTCGTGTATGTATGTGTGCATTGAAAAACCCTTTCGCTCGTCACCACGCAACTGGATTGTTTTTGTTTTCTAGAACTAGGATAAACGCACGAATGAATGAACACTTAAGAGATTTTGTAACTATCACAGTCACGTTTTAAAGGATAATAATATTGAGAAATATTTGGCACGTGAAAATTAGATTTTCTTAAATCTACACACGTTTTTTTTTTAAATATATAAGATTTCAATTTGAAAAATCGGAGAAATGTAATTAATTGAAAAATATAATTGCAGATTTCACCAGTGAATGAACAATATTAAGTAAACAAACGTTTCTAGAAATGGCGAGTAAATTAAGTAATTGATTTTCTCAATATTTAATTATTTGCTTATTTTAATAACTTAATTTACTCGTTTTTATATAATATGTACATTCACTGATACGTGTTCATTTACTGCTGCATTCACCGTAACTCACAGACAATCGTATGTATTTAACCCTTTAACGTTCCTTAAATCATTATTTCAAAATTATGAGACTAAAATATATATCGTATCGTATTATTTTGAAGTCGAAAATATCGATATTAACCCTAACCTTTTTGCTTTTTCATTTATTTTCCAATGATATACTTGAATTTCTCAACTGAAAGCGTGAAGATCTACTTCACCTGAAAACAGTCTTGTTGTCTCAGGATAATCAGGATCTTTTCCTAAAGAGTATGATCTCATCACGCCTTCGAGGAAGCAAAGTGGTTGCGACGATGACTTGACAGGTTTCTCGTGGCACGGTCAGCTGTGTCATCGTGGATCAAGACACGGTGCAATTTAGTTCATTATTCGAATATCGCGCCGTTCCAAAGAAATCGTTCGTCGTGTCCGGAAATGATCGTGTGTCAGAGTTTAAAGTGGAATTCACGGGCAATGACGAACCGTTCCGAGATTCTTACTTCGTTCGAAAAGTTCCTTAAACGGGTCGGAGTATTGTTCACCGTAGCAGAACAGTGATTTTGTAATTATCCGACAATAAGTCTTGAGCAGTATAATTGCATCGTCATTCATTTGATGTCTGCCACGCGACCATTGCTCCGTTGACTTCGAATTCGGAACAACATCCGAACCGCGATCGACTCAATCAACGAGAAATACGGTGACAGCAACAGTCCACGTGGAGTCTAGAACGCGTTCGTTACGTTATTTCACCAGAAAACTTCCAATTCGTGACTTGACACCAGCTTATAATTAATCGAGTAAACAAACCCATTATTCGTTATTCTTTATATTTATACAATTATATACAGGTACATACAGACCTTCATTTCTTCTATGATTCGTTAACCTTTAGAGGTCAGACAGATTGTTTCATGACTTTTTAAGATTTTCTAGGTAAAACTTTTATATATTTGTTATAGTCTCATGGTACGAAAAATAAGCAAACCCTCTAGGGCCTAAAAATAAGTTGCCCGTCTTCTAGAAGTTAAACAATCGTTTAAAATTTTAAAATTGTACATTTATAATGGAATTTGTAAATTGAACTACTTTATATAATACTTATAATTTACTATATATGTTGTATCTTGTTATTTTAAAGTCAAAAATATCGTTATTAAACCGACCTGTATTTCTTATTTATTTTTGGAGGGAATACTTGAATTTCTCAACTGAAAACATTGATATCTACTTCACACCACGGATCCTTGCTAACAAAAGTTAAAATGAATGTTGCATCGCTGCAACACTGGAAGTTGAAGGGTTAAGCCATCTTTACCAAGCGAAAGGATCGTTAGAACGCACTTTATAATCTTGTTAGAATTGACAACCATGCAAAACAGACTTCACGATACATCAATGTTCTTTCTATTTCACTTCGTTAGTTTTGATCGTCCATACTTGTTCTCTGCTCTTACAATACAAAAGAGAGAACGATCGTACGCGACCACTCCATGAAATGGAAATATCAAAGCCGCACGATCGTTGATCGTAATTTAATTTCTTTCCAGGTGTCTACTTTCCAAAATACGTGAGAGACATATCCCAGCAGCTGGGAATCTGCGGGTGGGTGAAGAACAGCAAATCCGGCACGATTCTTGGAAAAATGCAAGGGCCACGCGCGCTCGTCGATCAGATGTGAGTCTCCCCGGATCCGTTTGTCGCCGTTCTCCTCGCGAGCCGCCGGGCGCCGATCGGCAAACAGCGTGAAAGTTCATTTTTATTGAAATTTTATCTGCCTCTGATTACCGAGAAACAGATAAACCAAGGCAAATTTGCACGGGCACCTTGCCGTTCCAGTTCCGTTCCGGAGAACAAACGACGAAAAGGAAGATCGCGAGAACGAGGATCGATCGTTGCTGCTTCTCAGCCGCCCTTGACAGTACACTATTTATCGGTAGACTTGAAGCACAAGCTCGATGATATTAACACCTCCAGATTTCCAAATTTGATGTATCGATCGAGAAGCCTGCGTTGAGATCATCGATGATCTTTTCAAACGGTCGCTAACAAGGGAACGACCGAAATTGTCCGATTTCAAACGATTAAAGATACAAATAATTAAAGTTTCGAACCTTCGAGGTATAGTATGAATGTAAAACAAAATTATCGAAGTTGCGTTGGCAAAGTAAAACGAAAAAGATGTTTTGGTGAACGGGGATTGATCCAAGTACCTCTGATTTATCTGCCAAACAACCTTATACATACTTCGATAAGTTTGACTTATATTCATAGTACATCTAATATTCCAAATGTATCATTAGGAACCTGTATACTATCATCTTACAAAACCTTGTGAAAATCGAAGTCGGACAGTTTGGGTCCTTCCCTTGTAAGAGTAATTCTTCCCTATTATTATTAACCCTTTACTTAACCAAACTATTAAGGGATATCACAATCCAAACAGCCGTCCGTTTAATGGCACAAGGGTCATATTAACGCATTGACCGCCACAGTGAAAATGGCCGTACGTAGCCAGACATATTTTATTAAATCATAGTTCGTTGGAAATATATGCGTGTAGTTAATAGAGGCTATTCTTTTCGCTCAATTTCCGGAAACCTTTGGATGCATCCTTTGATCTCTGGACCGATTCAACGATTTTCCGTCGTTATATCGATCTGGAGAATATCGAAAAGACTTATTTCCAACGGTGAATCACTCGCGTTCAAGACGATAGATCCTTTCCTCTATTCGTGTCTTCCTCCGTTCCGTGAATCCGCGTCGCTTGTTCTCGCTCGTATACGAATTCGCTGCTCCCTTAAAAATCGCGTGACCTTAGCCGCAAATTGCCGACTGACCGCCATTAGCCAGTTGGGCCTGACTTTAATAATGATCCTAATGAAATAATGGCGCCGTAGCGCGTCGTCTCGTTCCTTCGCAAGTTATCGCCGAATTACCACGAACACGTTTCCGACAGCCACGTAGCCGCGTGGCATGGACGATTACACGGATAGACGGACTAATTCCACTAGGAAAAATAGGTACACCGTAAACAGAATGAAAACAGACGATGAGCAAAGGCGTAATCGTTATTTCGAGATGTAAGCCAGACCTACTGATCCATAAAGAGGATTAGTCACCTAAGTCTGTACAACCTTCAAATATTTCTAAGTTGTTTATTATATAGTTTGAAACGAAAGTTGTATAGAATCAAGGGGGATGGCAGACAGTATCAGTTTTTTTTATTATTTTGTTCTTTTATCGAGATACGAAGGTCACCTTGACGTATCTTCAAACATAACGCGAAACATTTAACCCTACAATTCGAAGAAAATTATTGAACGTTCAGTAAAAAAATTATTAGGTGTACCAATAAGTAATCCGACTTCAGTCAGATTCAATACTTACTTTCGAGGAAATCAGAAGCCTATGCTGTTTCAATACTATTTATCCTCGTTTTTCAATGTCCACCGCCGTTTTGAAAGAAGACAAGGGTGGAAAGATGTTTTGAAATTATTACTAATTTATTAAAAAGAAATAGTGGATTACTTACACCTAATATTAAGGTATACGGATCTAAGGCGCCTTTAAGCCGTCTTCAAGGTCTCATGTGCTATTTAGGCTTCGTATCTCGATGAAAAAGCAAAATAACGAAAGACTAATTATTATATTGTAAGCCCCTCTTATGTCTATTGTTTACAGTATTTTTATTATACAACAAACAATTTACAAGTGATTCAAGGTGGTAGAATCAGGCGACTCACCCTCTATGTACTTTTAGAAGAAGAAACACCGCTCGTGAAAGACGAATTACATTTCTCATCGGACGAGAACACGGCGGTTGCACGAATAAATATAAACCGCTTGCACGATAATTAGGGAACAACGTCCCACGAGAGCAGGCTGGTTTCGCGGTCGGATTCGCGTCCGTTCGTGAACCTGAAGTTAAAGAAAATAGATCGGTCGAGGACAGAACATCGGTTTCTGGCTTACCCCCAAAACGGAAATCGTACCGATTGACAGCTTCGTGGTTCGAATCCACCGCTTCTTCGTATTTATATTTATTTTTTCGTGTGACGTTTAAGCGAAATTATGGTCGATTTGTACCTCGAGTAACGTTAAACTGTTAAAATAACATAACATCGATCGAACGGTCATGAAATTCTTGAATTTTCAGATGAAATTTGTAATATGTTTTATTGATTTAACTCGTAATGCTTTTAGGATCACAGAAATTATATAATAACAATATGTGCGTACAGGTGACGTGATTACAGAAATATAAATAAAGGGGTTACTTTTTAATTAACATTTATGCATCTAAATATTAACGTCTTAAGAAATTTAGTTCATCATACAATGGTCCAAGTTACCATAAGAAGAAACGTGTTGACACGAGATTAATAATCGACACTATTCAAATCGCGTTCAGACGAACCATTACGTAAGATTTTCTTGCGAACTTTGCATTTTATTTTATTGTTATCGTTTTAGAATTTTCCATTTTCGTCGAGAACACCTGTTCATCGCGCGAAACCGTTTCACCTTAGAAGGTCGCTTCAATAAGTTCTCAGTCGAAGCATCGACACCATGATACGTCTTTCGAAAATTGTCATGTCAAATGATGTTACGCGAAATAATTTATAAAAATAATAATATAAACCACATATATATATAAATATGACGATATGACATACACGAACCATAGTAATCACAAGATTCTTTGACCGACAATGGCGCGGGTTTCAGGGAAAAATCCGAAATCGAATTTGTCGAACGATAAAACCGATTGCAGACAGGTCGGTAGCTTGTCGGTATTGTTGTCACGGGACAGCTGATCGACTTTAAAGATCCTACTTCGATAGAGACCCGCTTAAAATATCTGAACTCGGTCTGATTAGCCGCTAATTATAATTACGTAGCATGTGAGACCGATGTCGCGGCCGTCGATGAGACAGACAACTCTAACGCGCACACAGGCTTAACCGTTTGTTATTTGGCGAGTGATAAATTTTGCGCATCGCTACATCGATTGGCGGAGAAACAACGTACGTACAATGTGGCCCCAATTAATCATTTCGCTGACCCCGATTCGTGGTCCATTCAGGGTTCCGCGTTTAAGGACACACGAAAACGACGGAACAGTGATTTCGATGCGTGGAAACGACGAACGTTTGCAAAAGCGTACAGCCCCCTCCCGTTTGTCTTACAATTGCGGATGTTAAACATTGTGCAGAAATTCATAATAGATTCTAGAATAATTCGCTATCAGCTCGTGGTATACAGGATGGACCACGAAACGTGATCAGCTTAAATTATTCGACTGCTGACTGTTTGATCGAAAATTGGTCTTTAAGGTGATTATACCAAATTTTTTGTCAACATATTTATTCCCGAGTCTTCAATATCACCTTTGGTTTTTTATAAACAAATCTATAATTTTCGATGCCCATCTTTTAGCGGATAATGAGACGAATTCGGCAAGCATCATAACAAATAATATTTTTTCTTCGAAACCAAAGATACATTAAGAAAATATTATTTACCTTAATTACCACGATATTCAAAATGGTATCCATCAGCTGCAATACACTCGCATAAACGATTAAGAAACGACTGCTTAGTTCTATTTATGACGTCTGATGGTTTAAGCATGCAATAAAAGTGTTTCGTGGTCCACCTTGTATATTGGGGGATGTTTTAGAAATTCGGTAACAATGAACTGGAAATTGTAATAATGAACTAAAATTGTTCCTTTAAGGACACAGTGGCTGACGAGCGTGGGAAGTCCCGGTAGCCAAATCGATCACTGTGACTTCACGAATTGGGAAGCAATCAGCAGGCTACAGTACAAAGGATTTGCCATACGTTTTTAATAAAGTTCTCGTCTCGCTGAATCACAACCGGACTCGTCCTGGAGGCACAGGCTAAAAGACACCGATATTATTTTAGAAATTACAGAAATTGAATTATAAATATCTACTTCCATTCGTTAAGAATGTTTTGTTCGTGTAACAAAGCTCCCCGTTTAGAGTATCAAACACTTCGAAAACCTCGGAAAAGAATTTATATTTATATATTTTGAATGTAGGATAGCAACAGGAATCCTGCGTCGTTTTAATCTTAGAGGCTTCGTAGCAGTGTAAATAATGTCTTGCATAAAACTGATATTCTTGCTAAGCGTGTATTGTGAATTTCACACGAGGAGCACACGGTCTCGTTTGTGAAATTTCAAAAGACCTTACATTGAGAATTGTATATACAGTTAACATTACAATTAATATTAATGTACATAAGTCATAAACCGTATTCGCGGTTGTACGACACGCGTTATTTCGAATAATGTATAAAGAACTTGAAAAAATGTATACATACCACTATATCGTGATGTACAATTAATTAAAACCAACATGAAAGCACAGACAGATTTATTGAACATATTCCTCGTTATAATCTAATTTTATTTAAAGTGTTCGTTGAACATCATGTTGCACCCTCGTAGATAAACGTCGCGTCTAACATCTGCTGCACAAGATGATAGTCGGGATGCGTTTCCGGCAGGTGCCTGGAGACTCGCCTTATCAACTCGATAGTCTCATCGTTAGAACAATTTGTACAAATCACTTCTAGTTCGTACTGAAAGAAATTAATCATGCTGTCACTTATATATCTTACTAATAGTTATTCAATAACCTATTATAAATAATAATTGTCAATTGTAATATCTTAGTTGTAGCATTCAATAATAGATTTTATGACACACAACGCATACCAGACTCTCTAAATATTTTGTGAGCACAGGACTTATACGGGAAACTTCTTGCAGAAGATCAGGTGTTCGCGAAAGATAGGCCATCATTCTTCTTCCGGCGATTGGCAGCAGATCCTTTGCTAATGCTTCAACATCATTTACCGCTGTAACGACCTATTCAAGAATGAACAACACGAAATATTAATTCATTATTCATTACAGATATCTTTCTGATAGCTCCCTAACTTTTCAAGTAAGATTTTTTCTTATTTTCTGTTATTGAGAACTCAAAAGAAGGAATGAACGTGAAAACCTACTAACTCACCTCTTCTGCCAACTGATCAAAACCATTCACATATAATTGACAAACTTGATATATCCTCAATCCATCATTGTTAAGTTTCCAAATAGAGGCTAGTATTTGACATCTGCTCATCCAATGAATGGCTTCCGTTGAACTTAACCTTTTATCATCGGTGGTTTCTCGGTGAATATAATCCATTGATGCGGCAATTATTCGGCATAAAAATGTCGTTCTTACATTGTCTCTTTTATCATCTCTATACCACGTAAGCATCACTTTATCTGTTATAGTTTGAAAGAAATATGGCTGCACCTGCATGCACGTTCAACATTAAATACGTATAAACGCTACTGTTCGGTGAAAAATTTTATCTTTATGAACTACATTACACATTAACGTTTGTCTTACCACAGATTCGAATAAATTGTTCAATGGTTTTATCACTTTGAGATTAAAATGCGCCATCATATACAAAACATTGGCTAATTGTACATGCAACATTAGCAGATCGTACCAAGCCGGTGCTTGAGAAATAGCTAATGCAGCAAATGGTTGTGGTCCAGAAGTGCATCCTTCCCATAATTCTTCTGATTTAACTACGCTATTTTCTCCGGCCTCTAGGACCTCCGACTAAAATCAAATTGTTACGTGATAGTTATTTAAATAATATGAGCTTGTTTTTAATTGTGGGTCACATTATTATAAACTTACATCAATGAATATTTCTAAGAATGTAACACAATTCTGTAAAAATATAACTGTCTGTGTATCGGTCAATCCAATTTCCTGTATACACAATCTCTCTTTCGGTAATTTTCCAAGTTTATTCATCAGTTTTGCAACAGTTTCCATTCTCTTCTTTATATGAACAGACCATAACAAACAACAAACGCCTGAATAAAAAAAAACCATTTACTTCGTAGAAAATAAGGGAAACTTTTTTACAAAATGAAACTACTGAATAACTTGCCATGCCTCATGTGCTTCATCGGTATTTGTCGTAAAACAGATAATGCACTTTCTAGAGATTTTATCTGTGAAACGTCTTTATTCCATGACATAGCATATTCCCAACACACATTAGCTAATAAAACACTACTTGTCAGACTATATGGAAAATAACGTTTTAACAAGGTAATACGTTCTGAAAATATGTTAAATAGCATTAAGGAAAATTGTTGAAATGTAGACTTTAAAAAGAATCGAAGTACAGATATATATTACCTAAAATGCATGTAGTGGCAGTTGTATCGTCTTTTACTTCGTTTCCAATTTCATCGGAAGTTAATGAAGGTTTTTCTGCCTCGTGCTGTGAAGCATCAGTATTACATGTTTCATCTGTAGCACTTGTTAATCCTAAACAGTTATTTGTTAACTGTGCTTGATCAAATTCAATGTCTGTCATATCCACTAATTGAACTGGATCAATACCCGTTGAGACAATCCATTTCGCAACAATTTCTGACACAGAACCTTAATAAAATAGCAGAAGTGCAAACTTGTATTATATGATGTAATTATATGTACAATATTTCACACGAAAATAATAAATACCTTTTCCTTTCAAAAGAACTGATCCCAAAGAAATGTCGAATTTAACAAATGGTAATTGAAAAAATTGTGTTGTGGCATCTGAAAGCAGCTTTTGACTAAAACAACATATGGTTATTAGAATTTTGTAATCCTTTTCTTTAACAATATGTTCCGTTATTGATTACCTCACGATAGCGTCTAAAATTGTAATGTCCTCAAGATTTCCAATAAGCAATGTAAACTGGCAACTATCTTTGGTAACATTTTCCCATTCACTTGTTAAATTATACATTTCATCGTTTAACTTCGCATTAGGGACAGGCTCTTTCATTTCCTTTATTTCTACTGAATCATTCCCGTTTCCATTACCCTTATTTTCATTATCAATATTCTCTTGAGTTTTATTACCACACTTTTCTTTATATTTTTCCAGACACGTAGCAACTGCTCTACATGCTAAAGCAGCAGTAAGGGCATTAAATGGATTCGTAGAATCCGAGAGGATAGTTCGAACGTTTTTCCACCATAAAGATATTTCGTTATTTTCGGCGCATATTTCTTCTACATCTACAGATTATGAAATATGTAGTTACAAAAATGACAATTTCGTGATGACAATATTTTCGAGATTAAAAAGTAAGTTTAAATCTTACTGTCTACTGAACAAATAACATTTAACAGCTGTGTAAATTGTTTGAATTCCACTCCTAAGCATAACTCCCTTTTCTTGTTGAGCCAGTAAATTAAGACAAACTCCATCAAGACAAAAGGCTGAATGTTACTGTTCGCAGCAGCTTCTTTCCAAGCTTCGATTCTATCATTTGAATGCATACACCCTTCAAACATTAATCGAGCTAAAAACCACATTAAATAAAACATTTAATTATAACAACGGTAAATTGTTACGTTCACTTTTAACGTCATGTCACTTACCGACTTGAAGTTTCTTATCTGTTTTCACGCTTTTTCTTATATTTATCAATCCTGGTGTTCCAAACTCAAAACAGGATAAGAAATCTAAGAAAATTTTTCCCTCTTCTTTAAATTTCACTTTAGTTTCCCCCTTGGAATTTGTAGATTTAAAATTATTTATTGTATCAGACAATTTATAAATTCTATGGACTTCTCTTTCAGAAGTTAATAAAATCAAAGCTAATTCCCGACTATTTAGATCAATGTCGTTAGAAAGACTATGGTTTCCTGGACTATCAGACTGAGACTGAATGTGTTTATAAAATTTAATCACTTGCTGTAACTGTGTTGTTAATAAGTAAAGTGTTTTTGCTGTAGGTTCCATCTCTTCATTGTCTGAAACATGTAAGCTGTTGTTACTGTTCCCAATCATTTCTACAAAAGTATGATAATAATATACAATATACCCTGTTCATTCAGTTTCTTAATAAAACAATCTGTGGCTGCGAGCAAAGCATCAGGTATAATATTTTTATTTATCATCAACATTTCTATTATTTGTACTTTTATTTCATTAGTCTTCAGATCTGTACATACACTATGGATTTCTGATACTAATTTTTCGTGGTCGAAATCTTCTTCGCGTAAGAATGTCTTCAATTTTTTTAATAGATGTATATCCCGTGCTCTTTTCCCATTCTTACTACTCAGGGCAAAATGAAATGGCACAATAATTTCTTTTAAACCTCCCAACGGATCCATAAAAACACATGAATACTGGGGTTTATTCTTTAACAGATGCGTAGCATCATTCGTGCCAAGAAGTCCGTAATTAACGTAAAGTAATCTGCACGGCAACACAGGGAAAACTCAATTTTACACTGAGACAGTAATAACAAGATATTTAGTAAAAATGATGCTACTCACCGCCCATGCTTACTAGCAGTGAATGTTGTAATTTTAGGACCTTGTTGAGTACCCCATATATCTATTACACCCTTCTTAGGAGCATAAATAACTAAAAATAAAGCGGACCGCAAATGCGACGTTTGTTTAAATTTGGTAACTGCTTTGTGCATTCCAGAGTGTCTTTGTTCCTCTACTTCGATCCATCCACATTGAGCATTACGATATCCTTTCCACATTCTTATGGCTATACCACGTCTATTATCTATTAATATTACTCTACCCATCGTATCTGATACCACCGACAACATTTTGTTTGGACTAGACACTACCGAATAACCCTCTCGCGTAACATCACTCAACCCAAATCTACATGTCATTGGCTCAACTGGTTCGTGAGCACTAGTTTTTGGTACCTCCGGTGAAGCATGATTCTTTGAGTTTCCCCAACTAATCGGCAACCAACTAAAAAAGAAAGAATAACACGAATATTTACAGTAACAATTATAAAATAAATACATGGAAAATATTTAAAATTTATAATCATGATTCTTCAAATATAATTTCTTACAATGAAATACAGTAAGTTGAATTTCAAAACTGTTATTGCTACACTACATTTCAAGTTAGGTACTTTAGTAGCACTCTTACAGGTAATATATCTTCTGACCCTAAATGCATAACATTAATATATTATGCAACACTCACGGAACAGCAGTTCCAATAGCATTTGCTAGTTTGCTGGCCATAGCTATTGCAACATCAGACAACACCGGGGCTGCACCACCTTCTAACGCATAATGGAAGCCAACAAATGGCCTTTTACCAGTTGCGATAACTAAATTATGTTGCGGGGCACTTGATCTGTAAGATGCATTATATCCACCACATATTGAAGCTGTCATTAAATGATCAAAACTATTTACAGATGTAGTGCCAATTACTTCAGAGTCATTTACAATATCCTGATTTTTACAGCCCCACTTCTTATATGATAAATTTGTAATTGGTGGTAGATCCTCGCAGTTTGCTTTAACTGTAGAATAAAACATTGTTGTAGATATCAAATTCACATTATTTCAGCTTCTTTTAAGCATATTTTATCTCTGTACCTCTTGCCAAATGATTTCTACATGCTCGTAATGTTGAAAACAAAGGAAAACCTTGTAACACGCACACAGCACTATTGTAAATTACATGTACTTCTTCGGCTAAACCAGTATCTCCGGCATGTTTAGGTGAACGAAAAGATTGACACTTTAATCCTATGACTGATTCATTGTGTAACTGCTCTCCCAACAATAATGCACCTGTCTGAATAAAACACAAATTAAAAATATAATAGGATAAATTACAAATTATTTTTATAGGCAAAATAAGACTTACTTCTGTATAAAACCGGATGAAACCAGTATTGAAACCAACTATAATGCATGTCCAATCTGGATTAGTACCACCACTGGCTTTTCCCAAAGATAATAAAGGCAAACAGATCAGACATGTTATCCACTCACTGAAAAACACTTACAATATATGGACATATTTTCAAACAAATTCTTAAAATTAGAAAGGTACCAAAGTTGACATAACAATATTGTAACCAGAACTCACTTTGGATCTTTTGCAACTTCCCCATACCATATCATATGAAATTTGTTTTTTGTTTCATCAGGCTCTAAAGAATCCCACCTTGCTAACATGGAATTACAGTATACATTGTTCATTTAGTTTCTAACTAAATTATATATATTTTGTATCAAACCAGTTCATAATAATATATTATAATAAAAGTATCAAGAATATAATTAACTAAAGAACATATGTGTAAACATAAGAAGCGATACGCACAAATTAATATGATCATCTTTGTATTATATGCCATTGCAAGTACATCTCCAGTGGATGAAAGCGACACAAAACAATCCTGAAGAGGTAGCTCATTCTGCTGGATGTGAGCTAAAAAATACCAAACATTGACATTTGTCATTCCTTTAAGATGACAAAAGAAAAGACACAATAACTTACATCTTCTAGTAGAATCACCAAAAAGTACCTCCTTTATGTTGCTTGTATTGATCAAATTCGCAATTCCCTTGATCTGACAAGACATATCTAATCGATTACATAAATAATAATTATTTCAGAAACAGCTTCCAATTCTCTCAACTTTGACGTTGTAAATAAATAGAGGTCTCAGTTGAGCTGAACAGGCCGTCATCAAAGCTAACACGCATGTGCAACGAAAAGTTAATAGATGAGTACATCAAAAAATTTCGCATGTTTGCAAACCGGATAGTATATTGCAGAGATTCTTCGTTTCAGAATTGGGGAAGAAATAAACACCCGCGAACGGCTATTGTGTATTCTTATAAACGTATATACTACGTAACCAAATAGCACAGAAAAAAAAACAATTCAAATTACCATACAAACCGACAATGTTAAGCTAAAAATCAAATACATAAATACCGGACATTATTCGTATAGTATAGGAAATGTTCAAGTAGATTTCAAGTCGAAATGGAGAACACGTGTTGCATGACATCACGTGACGTAATTTGCGACGTTTAGAAAACAGTCGCTAGAATTTCTCCAATTGGTGGAAACTGATCGTTCGGACCAATCAGATCACCCGTTTCTCCGCAATGGTCCGCGTAACGTGTTCAGCCATTTTGTTATTATTTTCGAAAATCTTTAGGTTGGGTTTGAGGTGGACGTAACGCGACCGCTTTTCGCGTTTCTTGTTGAAAGTTCACGGTGGAATAACAAAGGGAGACGCTCGTATGAGATTCAAACGAGAGGGTCACGACGAAGAACGGCCTCGGTGGGTATCGTACGTTTACCGAAGCACGAAGGCAGTCTTCGCTGACGATCGTCGCAAACGGAGCAGGCAGCAGGAGAGACGAGCGAGAGAACGTGCGAAAGTCAGAGAGAGAGAGAGAGAGAGAGAGAGAAAGAGAGAGAGAAAGAGATATAGAGACGGTGAGGAACGGCGAGTGAGTGTGTGGAAACGAGGAATGAAATTGGTCGCGCGCGGGAATCAGCGGTTGTTGTGTGTTTGGCCTTTTTCTGCTTGTGATTTATCGCGAGAAATTGTGATTGTTGGTGCGAGACGTGTGTTTTTTTTACTGTAACTATCAAGAATCTACGTGCGGGTGTTGACGCGGTACGTTGAAACATCCTAAGCGACACTTTTATACATTCGACAACGACGCAATGAGTAAAGTGCACCCGGACAACAAAAACCAACGGATTCCGACGATCCGTTTAACGATACATTTACACCGCCGTCGTCATTTCATCGTGCACGATCCAATGTATCGCACGAATCCCTTTTTGCACGTGATTTATAAACGTCGCGCACTATAAATTTCTACATAACCTTGTTGCGATTGTCAAATGTAGGTTAGGTCGAGCGGTCGCAGTGCGGTGACCTCCCTCGCGTACACGTTAACTGCGATTTCCTCGTTTATTATTGCTTCTATTCGGTCTCGTTGTTTACACCGTGTTTGACTTTTTTCTTTCAATATCACGAACTTTATTACAAACAGAGATGGGCTAGATGTATTTCAAAAAAAGGTTCTAGTGATTAATACCTTACTAATGTGTGATCTTATTTGGAGGCAAATATTAAATGTTTCAGCGTATTGCATTTGTTAATTGTGCAGTCACAGAATGTTTTTATTTCTTTTCATGTTAGAATAAAGGATACATTAATATTTTGCAATTGTGTTAAGAATGGGTATTGAATATATTATTAACATTTCAAATTCCATAGATGATTATACAAAGATTGTTCTTATTTGATTTCATCGTCAATTGAATATATTAATACTTCATACATTACTTGAACATGAGTGTACATGAGATTATTCTCTACTTTTGAAGAGTTTGAGTAAGCATAATTTAATTCATGCAAAAACTAATAATTGCAACATAGATATTCATCTTTATCTGCCTATTCAATAAGGAAATAAATACTGTAGTGTTTAACATACATGGTTAATTTAAAGGAATATGTATTTTCTATTTAACAACAATAATGGAGGTAAATATTCTTTATATGATGAAACATTGAGTAAGAAATGTTAATGTATTCAGAATTTAACAGTGCATTATCTAAAGAGTAACAAATATATATCTAATATTGCACAAAATTAATGAATGAACAATAGAAACTACAATGATATTTGTCAATTTATCTATGTATTCAGACAGTTGAATGTATTTCAATTAGAAGAACTTTTTGATGTGCCAAATGATTTAAAACCATCTCTGGTTTTAAATAAAAAGTAAATTTTAATTCTGTCTCTTCCTCCATAGAATTATAACCAATGGAAAACAATGATTTTTTTTAAAAGTAATGAAATAACAAATCTGTATTCACAGTATATTTTGTAGTGCTAATTATATTTCTAGATTTACTACTGAAAATGTTCATTTTATTAAATTGTACAAAATTGTGATCTTTTTGGTATTTTTTAACTTTAGCAATAAATTAATATCATAATACACGTATTACTTTATATTGGCCTTATATACTCTATTTTAATAGATCATAAAGAATTATATTACTTATTTTCAGATAGAGTGTATGAAAGCTGGACAGTTTACAATAAATAATGACAACTTTAGCAGAACAAGCTTCCAAGCTTTTGGACTTTAATCAGAAGCTTGACATAACGCTTCTGGATGATGTAGTAGGTTGTATGTACACTGGAATAGGGGAGCAACAGAAAGTTGCACAAGAAGTATTAACCACACTTAAAGAACATCCAAATGCATGGACACGTGTAGATACTATTCTAGAATATTCACAGGTAATTCAACTTATTCACATTTGTTATTCATCAGATGCATAATAAACCTGCTTCACTAATATAACTGTTTTTACAATAGAACCAACAAACAAAGTATTATGCTTTACAAATACTGGAGCAAGTAATAAAGACACGATGGAAAGTATTACCACGAAATCAGTGCGAGGGTATAAAAAAGTATATTGTAGGCCTTATTATAAAAACAAGCAGTGACCCAGAAACAATGGAAACACAAAAAGTTTACCTTAATAAACTTAATATGATTTTAGTCCAGGTAAGTCAAAATATAAATTTTTTTCATATTCATAAATAACAGCAAATATTGTCTTTCATTTTATTCAAATGTATTATCGTTTTTATAGGTTTTAAAACGAGAATGGCCAAAAAACTGGGAATCCTTTATTGGTGACATTGTTGGGGCAAGCAAGACAAATGAAAGTCTTTGTCAAAACAATATGACAATTTTGAAATTACTATCAGAGGAAGTATTTGACTTTTCTAGTGGACAAATGACACAAACAAAAGCAAAACACTTAAAGGATACAATGTGTAGCGAATTTTCCCAAATCTTTCAACTTTGTCAATTTGTTTTGGACAGCTCACAAAATATTCCACTAGTATCAGTTACGTTAGAAACTCTTTTAAGGTTTTTAAATTGGATTCCCCTTGGGTATATTTTTGAAACAAAATTGATAAGTACTTTAGTATTCAAGGTAAATAAATTATCTATCTTCTCCGTATCATACTCGTTTTTGAACGTAATTATCCTTTAATTTTTCGTTGTAGTTCTTGAATGTACCAATATTCAGAAACGTCACGTTGAAATGCTTGACTGAAATTGCTGCTGTCACAGCAACAACTTATGAGGATATGTTTGTAATGTTATTTATTAATGTAATGCGGCAGCTGGAGCAAATATTACCACTCGATACTAATATACGTGAAGCATACGCAGCTGGTCAAGATCAAGAACAAAATTTCATTCAGAATCTAGCTATATTTCTATGCACATACTTGAAGGAACATGGTCAATTTATAGAGAAGAAGCAGTTAAATGAAATGCTACTCAAAGCATTGCATTATCTCGTATTAATTTCCGAAGTCGATGAAGTTGAAATATTTAAAATCTGTTTGGAATATTGGAGCGCGTTATCAATTGATTTGTATAGATTTGTAGCTCCAACATCATTGTTTATGGCTAAAACCATAACAATTCCACCTAGAAGAATATTCTATTGTCCAGTTTTAACGAAAGTGCGGTATATTATGATCAGTAGAATGGCGAAACCTGAAGAAGTTCTTGTTGTAGAGAACGAAAATGGGGAAGTTGTCAGAGAATTTATGAAGGATACTGATTCAATTAATTTATATAAAAATATGAGAGAGACTCTTGTGTATCTTACTCATCTTGATTATATGGATACCGAGAGAATAATGACAGAAAAACTACACAATCAAGTAAATGGATCAGAATGGTCTTGGAAGAATCTCAATGCGGTAAGTGATCTTTAGAATATCATGATGAAGGTTCTCATTGCGGTATTGCTTTAATCTAACGATTTTTTATGATTCTTCTGTTAGTTATGTTGGGCAATAGGTAGTATTTCGGGCGCTATGCACGAAGAAGATGAAAAACGATTTTTAGTGACTGTGATCAAGGACCTTCTTGGTCTTTGCGAACAGAAGAAAGGCAAAGATAATAAAGCTATCATCGCTAGCAACATTATGTATGTAGTTGGGCAGTATCCGAGATTTCTCAAAGCACATTGGAAGTTTTTAAAGACTGTTGTAAATAAACTATTTGAATTTATGCATGGTAAGAATATTTTATTATAAGAACGCGTTTAAGATTAAGAAAATTAGTTTTTATTCTTTTTTAACAACACGCATTTTAAATTACTAATAACTATTTATTATAGAAACACATGATGGTGTACAAGATATGGCCTGTGACACGTTTATAAAAATAGCACTAAAGTGCAGGCGACACTTCGTGACAGTACAATTAGGCGAAGCAGTACCATTCATCGAAGAAATACTTTCTACTATTAATAGTATCATCTGTGACCTTCAAACACAACAGGTAAAATAAAAATAGTTAAGGGAAAGGATGAAACAAACTTTTCCTGTAAATAGACTAAAACGATTTGTTACTAAATCTTTCCTTAATTATAATTCAGGTACATACATTTTATGAAGCAGTTGGTTATATGATAAGTGCACAGACGGACACAGTAGTACAAGAACAATTGATAGAAAAGTACATGCTTCTACCAAATTTACTTTGGGA